GCGTTCTCTCGAAGCACTCCTTGGCAAGGACCGATCCGCTGGACTTCAAAAGGTGAGGCTCAGGTCGGTCCAGCAGGACCCCGCCTACTTGGAGGGTCGGGGGACTTAGTAAGTAGGTCATACGTAGCCCTAAACCCCAAACCCTAAACCCTAAATTATAAGTACCCTAAAAGGGATCCTAATTGGGGTTATGATACTTATAAGTCTCTAAAATAGCTAGTTCCTAAATCCTCCGGCCCCCCTAGGCCATAAGCAGGCTGGGCTCTTAATAGGGTTTAGGGTTTAGGGTTGTTAAGGAACTTAATTTAAGTTACCATTGTTGTTAAGGAACTTAACTTTTGTTATTTTAACGAACTTAATTTAAGGTACCATACTTACCATAATGGGATCTATAGAAAAAAATATGCTTGTCGAATTATGGTAACTTAAACTAGATTAAGTTCCTTAACAAGAGCCCAGCAAGAGTGACGCTAAAGTTCATACTTGGGCAAATGACAGCGATGAGTAAGAGAAGTCCCAGCGAATAACCTTCGATCTTTGGCGAAGGCATTTTGAACCCAGACTCTGCCGACCAGCTGAGAAGCTCTGGCGAAGACATCTCCCCTAACCCTACAGAGGCTGATGTAGGGGCCTTAATAATAACAAGGTTTTGGGCCCATTATACTCTGTGTAATTATTAAGCCCCCTATAGTACCCCCCCCCCCCCCCCTAACCCTGAAACCTCAAAGTTGGGAACCCTGATCAGAGCAGGTTGGATCGCTCCAGGCTCCGAGGTGCAGGAACGGCGAAGTGCTGCGGGGCTTGTCCCCGAACAACACCTGCTTCGGCTTTACGAGTTTATAGTGAAAGATAGAAAGTTGGAATATGATTATCCTAAACCCTTTATGGCAAGTTATAGGGTATCCTACCCTGAAACCATATTCCAACTTTCTGGAGTTCCCTTTAGGGTTTGAAGTTTGGGTGTTTAGGTCTACCATAACCCACGAGAAGCGAGATCAGAGCTGAACCTGCTCAGGACGTTTGTTTCGGCGCTCACAGTCGGACAATCCAGGCGAGGCATATGGTTCGAGGTGAGGAGTATACGGGCGACACTCAACCTGCCTCGGAACTCAGTGGTTTGGGACTTCGGTTGATTTGTTCTCTCCTGCCTGGGGGACTGTGCCTGCAATGCAGGCTTCACGACTCGCATGCACGACGCCAAGATTGCCGCTTCAGGTAAACTAGTGCTGCTGCACACGTCTAGGGCAACCCGTTTCATCGCAAACTCCATGTCATGCGGTACCCGCTGATCATCCAGAGGGAGGGTTGAAAACAATAAAGTCCTCGAGCTGTCTTTGTGTATAGGGCCCATGCCAATCACTTGTCACTTGCTACACCCTTTCAGCCACAGACCTCGAACATGTATTGTATGTGAAGGCCTGCCGCAGTCCTCCATCATGCCGAGTCGGTACCTCTTAGTAGCCTTGAGTACAAAATCTTAGGACAGATCTCCCCCAAACTGTAATCCCCCATATCTGCTTCCCTGAAGCACGAGACGAATACCCTAAACCCTATACCACTAACCCCAGCATCCTGAACCACAAACCTTACAATCACAAACTACAAACCGCAGATTTCCCGAAACCTGAGCCGGCCTGTGGGGAGCGAGATCCCAGGATCCTGGACGCCAAACCTCAGGCTTGGGGGCTTGGGACTTAAAGGGTTAGGATTTAAGGGTTTCGACGCTCACACTCGCACGAGGCAGGCAAGGCTCCACATAGTCCACAGAACCACAACTAAGAGTGTGCAATGCCCAAACACATGAAGCAACCATCAATAAGAGGGTTCAGGGTTAAGGACATATAGGGCTTAGGAGTTAGGGGTTGGTTAGGGTTCAGGGTTTAGAGGCTTGGGACTTACGGGTCAGGGTTTAGCAAGAAGGGTTTAAAGGTCTCAGGAGGAATTACATTTGATGGAAAGAAATATAGACCGATAGATTGGCAGCTACATAGATAGATCGACAGATCGATAAGTAGACCGAAAGGGAGATCGCGAGAGATATCAACAGACATGAATGTATGGACAGAGAGATATGACAGGCAAACAGACAGAAAGACACATAGACAGAGAGGCTGCTAGACAGACAGATAGCTCGAGAGAGAGAGAGAGAGAGAGAGAGCGAGCGAGAGAGGGAGAGAGGGAGAGGGAGAGGAACAAATAGGTGGAATGTGAAATGCATGAGTCCAAAATACACATATGTAGATGCGCGCTTTCTGTCTGAGCGGCCGTTCTTGGTTTCACATGATACTGAATCATTTCACTTACCAAACTTGGGGCTCTTGCGATCGAACTATGACGACATTTTCCAAGGTTGAGTAACCTTGGGTTTTAACCAAACAGAAGGCAAAGGTACCACGGAATCTAGTCCTAAACTCCACTGAGCATGCCAGCCCGTCATCTCCGTGCAAGGGGCTGCAAGCGCGTCACGTCAGAGGCCTTCTGCGCCTCAGCGCTGTCTGTGGTGGGTGTCCAATATGGCAGCAAGCCAAAAAGCCTTTGGGCTTCATCCTGATTAACCGCATGAATTATGCTCTTTTCAAGTACTGCCCGCGCGAGATTCCACAGGTTCCAAGATGTAGCGCTTCAGACTGTACCATATCTATGCATGCCCTCAATCAGCCGGATTTGAAATTTAGGCACATGCAGAGTAGAAGATTGAATGCATATATATATATATATATAATATCCCTTCAGCGTCCCTGCATATCTCTATAGTCTATAGTTAAAGCTTTGAAGGCCCCTAAGTTATGCTGGACAGTGCGCAGGTGCCGAAACGAGTCCTGATCATCACAGACCAAGGAAAACCATGGTTCAGGGTTTTGCATCGCAGGGGGTATTGGGTATTGTGTGCTGAGAGATTTCGTACGAGCTTCGGGGAGGGGTGTGATAGGCCACCATAATCAACGGGGTAGCGATTCGGAAGTAGCATTTCGCGATACTGCCATGGACCAGGACCCCCAATCCCCCATAACGACCTCGGACCGCCCCAACAAAACCCTTAGGTGACAGAAGCCCCGGAATAGACGAACGTCTTGAAGCAAACGAGGACCGCCCAATAATGACTCTAATTTTCGCAAGAACCTCCTGCATAGATCCACTCAGGCAAGCGACTACGAGGACCGCCCAAAAAGGACCCCGAATTTCACTGTTTCAGCAAGACCTTTTGACGAAAATGAGGACGGCCCACAAAACACCCTTAAATTCAGCAAGAATCCCTCGAATAGATCTCTTACAGCTGCTGTCTCCAATGCCCTTATAAACCCTAAACCCTATGCCTTTCTCCAAGGGACTAGGGAGCTTCGCGTTCGCTTGTCCCGGTCGTCTGCTCCCCGGAGCACACTCGGACGTCCTGGCTCGACTCTTTTGAGTCATCTAGAGGCGGTTTGATTACGGTGGATGATATAAATCCTGCATGACCCATTATAAGGAATATACCATACTTCCCATAGTTTGGGGTACTTAGGCTAATGCAGGATTTTTATCATCAACAGTAGGGCTTAGAGAGCCCGGCTTAGGGGTTCGGGGATTCCGGGTTTTGAGGTTTCGGGTTTAGGTACTGTTCAGAAAACCCCCCTTTCAGTCCATGCCCTAAACGTGCAACTATATCGACATGCAGCCCATATACGAAGCAACAACCCGTCTTTCAACTATTGAAGTCCCCCTGATTATTTGACTAGAAAGGGGGTCAGGGCTAGGCTTGAGGTACCGAGGTGCAGACGTATCCGAACCCTCTTGTTCGGCTGCGATTCCCCCCACAGACGCGGTTCAAGCCGGACACATCTCGGAGTTCTGTGCCAAGGCGTGGCTGAGAAAACCGATCGCCGCATATGAGTTTAACACGCTCCTTTGGGTTTACAGGGTTCAGGGACACGAAGCCCTGGGTAGCCGATGCTGGGTGGAAGCTGTCGGAGCAGGTTTAGAGCCAATATGAGCCAATTCTACACAGAGCTTCGTGGGATCTCGATTCACTTCATGCCGATTCATAAATAGTTCTAAGAAGGGCCCTAACGTGCGTATGGCTGTAATTATATGAACAAATGATCCAAAAACCGCTTACCTTTTTTTTCTCTGTATAGAGTTACATATACAGTTACGATATTCCGTACATGTCGAGATGTAGTTGCCTTCCAAACAACCCTGGTTGGGGTCACAGATGAGGCTCCGAGTATGCAGCCATACACTCCGCAGAAAGCTTCAGGACTACGGTGCTGTGATAGAGTGAAACATACTCTTCACCGAGTCTCAGCGATTGCAGACAGACTGCCCCGCACAGGGGCGGTATGTCTTCAGCATAGAAATCATGATATCATAAACCCTGTAGGTCAAATCCAGGCTGGGGGTCGAAGATGTTGGATGACCTGGTTGCTATTCTCGGCTCTAAACTGCCAGGCGCTTGAAGTGATGCTGGCAGCTTCGCTAGCTTTGCTTTGATGCAAAGTTGCCTTTGGCTTGGGCGTTAACTTTCCAGCAATATGCTTATGGTGAAACACTCCAAAATAAACCCCTGGCAGAAGTTAGCATGGACAGCAGTGACGAAACCTGCTAGCGCAGCAAACGTACTGCCCGCCTCCCTTAACCCTATAAACCCTATACCCCAAGCCCTTTTTGCCACTGGACTGAAGTCTAGATACCCCAAGCCCTAAACCCCAAACCCCTGATGACCTTGTCGGGTTTACCTTCCCTGTAGGATAGTATGACTGCCTGGGCCGCTTTGCCGCTCCTGCCGTTTGATAAGAAGAGTTTCCCTAGCAAGTAGGAGTTTCAGAAAGCCTGATCAAAACCCAAAAACATATCAATACTGAGAATTAGTATTGAGCAACGAGCTCTATTGAGCGATTTCTTAGGGGAATAAGGACTAGAAGGTATCAGTGTGGCATTTTACCCCACGTGCCAAGCCAAATCCTCAGACACGAAACCCTAAACCCTAACTCCTACAAACCCTTTGTAAATCCTCAGGCCCACTAAAGCGGCTCAAAGATGGAAGCCATCATCTCCAAGCGGATCTTCTGAATCTCGTCGCCTCGGAGTCATCAGCCAAAATCCCCCGGTCTGCCTATGTGTGTGTATGTCCATACACATATGAACACATACACATATACATATGCACACATACATACATACATCTTCGTATATATGTATATATCGATGTATGTTTAAGGGCCTGAACATGAATTTGGAGTAGCGCTTGAAGTCCTCTTTGGCTCGGTCGTCGTGTCATAGGAGGAGTATAACGGCATGAGGGGATAACATTACTTCTAACTACGTACCCAGACTCCCAGGGAAAGGTGGCAACAACAAAGAGATTACTATATGGGCCTTAATAAATGGAATAGGGTCTGGGGGCCATTATACTATAAATACAACAAGGAACCCCCAAAATAGTTACAGGCAATTATTTAAGCCCCTGTAGTAGCGTGAGAGACTCGGTTCAGGTTCACTCAGGATTTAGCATGTCTGGCTTCCTGGGAGCTTCATTAAGGGAACTGTTTCATAACACGACACCGAAACCCCACCGGAAGCCAAAGCCCCTAGCTAGAGCCGAAAACCATGCAGAGCTGCGAGACTTCTTGGAAAGAGCTCCTTCAACAATGGCCCGCTTCTGCTTCTGCACATCCAGGATACGCTCCTGCTAATAGTGCTTCCACTGTTCCGCACATAACCCACATCTATACCCGTAAACAAATTTACATATCTGCGTGTGCAGGTATCTGCAAAGTAACTACAAGTGGATACATGTATAGACAAACATTTTCGAGTAGATGGGTGCATAGGTAATAATACAGCTATAGAGATGTATGAATACAGAATAGGACGTGAGGGCGGTGTGCGTTTGCGAGTCGTCTTTTGTATGAGTTTTGGTGACCCGGAGTATTCTGACGTCGCATGCTATACTCAAGATCTTATGTTGAGAATACAGGCGTATATGAACACTACAAACTGCGGACATAAATGTGTCGATGTACGTGCGTGAGTGTGCGAGTGCTCGTATATGCAGTTTATACATATATATATATATAGAGAGAGAGAGAGAGAGAGAGAGAGAGAGAGAGAGAGAGAGACATGTATCTTTATATTATTCTCTCTCTCTCTCTCTCTCTCTCTCCCTCTGTGTGTGTGCACGTATGTACGCATGCATGCTGATGTCACCGGAATGTGGAAGCTCTCAAGCTAATCAACAGCTTCGACTCGCACGCTCCCTGGGAGACTTAGATTGTGGGCCTCTTTTGTATCTTAGGGTTTCGACTCGCGCACTCGCACAATGCAGGAAGGGCTTCTGAGGTCTCTTTTTCGGCGCTCACACTCGGACTCTTTTTAGGGTTTGTGGATGACAGTGCTCGGAGTGGGATGCCAAAAGAAATGCCATAGCGATGCAGAACAGCGGATGCGACACCCGACGGCCCCAACGAAGCACCGTCCTACAGCTCGGAAACCTCCGTGCCTTTTAACGTTGCAGCCCTAAGCTGGCAACCTCTGCTTGCAGAGCGAAAGATGGGTGTCTCAGGAAAATCAAAACCAACAAACACCTGGGAAAATCGCAATGCTTCAACTCCTGCACCGCGATACGCCTTATCTTGTGTGATGCGTAAAGCAAGGTCTGGGTTCTGGGATTGCTGTGGATCTTCTTGAACCCCACGCTATGTATGCAGGCGTGTGTGCATGTACCCATGTAACCGTGCATGCCGTGCTTCTGCACTGTCGAACCGTCTTCCGCCACAGAAACTTGTGACGGTATGCATCCTTCTCTACAGGCTGCTTGGATTCAGCCCTAAACCCTGCCAGCCTAGTAGAGCCTGAACAACAAGCACAAACCCTGAACCTGAAACTCCAAAGCGCTTAGAGCACCGTTTTCGCTAATGGACTCAGCGCTTAAAACCCCTTAACCCTAAACCCCTGTTTTGCACCTGGATTATGCATATGCCTGGAACCCTCTCTCTCTCTCTCTCTCTCTCTCTCTCTCTCTCTCTCTCTCTCTCTCTCTCTCTCTCTCTCTCCCAGGCATTCGAAACGTCAAGCCCGGTTGCAGGACACAGATGGAAACCCTTAAACTCTAAATCCCTTTTTTGTTTCAGCATGGACTTGGACTGTGTGCCAGCAGCCCTAATTCCTGGCAACCCTTAACATCCCCAAACCCTAAGATTTAAACTCCTAAACCCGGAGACACGGTCAGCTCCTCCACTGTTCGCTCGGCAACGAAGCGGAGGGCACGCACAGGGCGACGTTGGCCCAAGCGGTGGAGTCGGTCGATGGCCTGGTCCTCGCAACAGCCCATTATGGCCCAATGACGTTTGAGGCTAACAATAATGAGAAGAAGGGGAACAGACCATAGGACCTAAATCGATTAACGGTTTCCTACTCGACCACAGAAAACAACTACTGTAAGAAGATGACCACCCGGCCATCGACCTACCAGCGATCTGGAACCAGATACCATCAGCGAGTACGCTGTAATCAGCAACTGGTGACTTCGAAAGTCTTCGGATGCGTGCATGGTCCTGGCAGCATCTTGCTCGGATGTTTGCTTGCGAATCTTGATCAAATGTATATAATCGAGCACGATGCCCAGCGCAGAGAGCGCATCAATGACCTAGCCTCCATACACTTCAGACAAAGCGTCGGCGAATCCACTGCAGTATGGGCACTTCTTTTTTTCTAGGCGCCAAGGTGCTGCGAAAAGCGGAGAATGCAAACATTTATTTAAATGTACTTATCCGACGGAATTTTCGTCGCAATAGATGAGGCCGGCTGCTCTTTGGCATCTACGTGGCGAAGGTAGCCAGTAAGGGCACAAGGTGATAGTGGTGATTACTCCGCGCCAAATCCTCAGGCAGATCTCCTCCATCGTTGGGGTATGACTCTGCCCCATGTTCCAAGTAGAGTCTCACAAGCTGCTCATGCCCTACCAAGGCGGCATAGCCCAGAGGCGAAATGCCCGGGGCGATGGCCTGCAAGCGGGTCATCATGCTGCAGCGAGTAAAGCCAAGGATGGCCACCTGAGCACGGGCCGAATGATACTGCCACATGGTGTTGTCGCTTGGCCGTGCCGCACGTGCATTCACATCGGCTCGGTTCGTCAACAAGAGCTTGGCAGTCTCGAGCACTGTCCGATTCCCCCTCGAGAGCAGGGAAAGCGCGTGCAATGGGCTAGCCCGGGGATCTTCGCTTGGATTGCAACGGTAGGCAAGAAGTGCCTGAACTGTCTCCGGGTTACCGAAAGCCGCCGGACCTTCCAACACGAAAGGTGGCATTTCGGCCCGGTTGTCCAGCAACACTTTCACATGCTCTGGCGTGCGACTCATGTAAAGGGGCGGCAGGCCCAACCGATCCTTCTTATTGACCTCTGCACGATGCTCGATCAATGCTGTCAAGACATCTGGTCCTTGCATTGATTTCATAGCTGCCATAAGTGCCGTCTGAGAGTCATAGTACCCCAGTTCCGTCAAGCCAGTGAGCACATGATTCGTGTCTGCACGACTTTCCGCAAGCAGGCGAACCATGCCCGCGTCGTCGGAGAAAATGGCGCACATCAAGGCATTCATGCTTGCCTTATCTCGGGCGGCGTCCTGCAAGCCGTCGAAGCCGAAGTGCGATAAGAAGCTCTGGAGATCCCTGCCCTGCGTCCCGTGGAGTTTCAACCACAAGGCCGTGTAGAAACGGTGGTGACTCAAAGGACCCCGTTTTTGAAGGTGCTGAATCTTCTTCTCCAAGGCCATTTGGGACAACTCGACTGCCTGAGCGCAATCTGATTCCACTGTGAACTCGCCTTTGGCGATGCCTTGGCCGTCCCAGTTTTTTAGGATGCTATGGTTCTTGGGCTCAATAGTAATGATTCTTGTCTTCTGATGCAGATGGTGAGGATGGGTGCGAGGCCGACGATGGCGACTCCAACTACAGTACGTCAAACTACAGGTGCAACAACGACCGCAACTGCAGCGGCAGCAGCAGGGCGACGACAACACCAACCCCAGCAGCAACACCAGACCCACCACTGCTAGCAACCCAGCAAACCAACAACACCTCCACCACCGCCGCCGCCGCCGCCACGACTCACCACCACCAACAACCACAACAACACCAACAACAACAACAACAGCAAGAACAACAAGGGTGGCAGGTGAGTAGGCAGCCTTGCGGGATGTGTCGTTTCTTTTTTGGAGGTTCTTGGTCAAAAGCCTGGAAACCTCAAATTTTGTGTGGGATTCGTGAACAAGATGATGTTTCGCAGCTTGTTCTTCCCCTAGTGTTTTGGTTTGGCAAATACCATGCTGATCTGATCGTCCTTGTTTGTGTAGATTGCTGGGCTCAGTTGCGAAGGTTATACCTAGAAAGCCTGGAAAAGACGAGTGTTTTTGTATTGGTGACGTTTCAACTGTCAGGTAACAACAACGGGCAAGAACGGCAACAGGGAGCAACATTGTCGTGTTCATTGTTACCGAAAAGAAACGCAACACAGAATCCACATTTGCATGGACATCATCACCCCCCGGACCTCCCCCCAATGTAGGAAGCAACACAAGAAACACAACACAGAATCCGCATTCACATGGACGTCATCGCCCCCCATCCCCATCGCCCCCCACCCCTGCACGGAGCTGAAATACGAACGGAAGTCTAAGCTGGCATGTGCAAAAACTCGAGAGTCTGCAAAAATCGCTGCGAAATGGAGAGCTCAGCTTAATTTTGTACACAATTCTTATGATAAAACACAGCAAATTCGCAAATTCAATTCCGGGCGAGGAACGTGCCAAAACTCGAGTTTCAGCACATGACAGCCCTGAAATCGCTCCACCCCGCGTGGTGGCAGACACACGTGCAATCACCACCACCAACAACAAAACACAACAAAACCAACACCAAAACCACCACCACCACCACCACCACCACCACCACCACCACCACCACCACCACCACCACCACCACCACCACCACCACCACCACCACCACCCGACCACCACCACCACCATGATACTCACAACTCTACAAGGTAACATCTTACTGAATCCCCCGACCCTGCAATTAGTCGTAGTAGCTGTAGTAGAAGTAGTAGTAGTAGTAGTAGCAGCAGTAGTAGCAGTAGTAGCACCACGACGACTATTACTACTGATACCACTACCACTATCACCACCACCACCCCCGCCATCACCACCACGACTGCTGCTACTACTACTACTACTACTACTACTCCTGCTGCTGCTACTACGGCTACTACCACCACCACTACGACCACTGCCACGCTTCTGCTGCAGCTTCTACAAGTACAACTACTACTGCTACTACTACTACTACTACTACTACTACTCCTGCTGCTGCTGCTGCTGCTACTGCTACGGCTGCTGCTACCACCACCGCCACTACTACAAGTAATTACTTGTTATAGTCCTAGTCTTAGTCATCCTACTCCTAGTCACCTGCTCCTCGACTGTCTCTTGCCCATATTTGGACGACCACTACTTCTAACTACTAATAGTACCTGCTGCTGGAATGTGGTGAAAACGGGTGGTTCTCCCAGTGTCAAAACAAGAAACCTTTAAACAAAAAATCCCAAGATACAATCCGAAAGCCTTTTGCATCCTTAACCCCCAAGCGTGCTGAACAGTGTTCTGAGATGCTGTTGCTCTGCCAATCTAACGGGTACATGAACTCGGCCTGCACGTTTGAGTAGACGACGATGACCGTGGTGTCGGTTTTGTTTGACAATAAGCGGCACCACAGTTCAGCGCGACACCACCTTAGTGTTTTATCTGACAGCCGGTAAAAAAGCAGCCGTAGGGGCGGGTGTAGGATCAAGTTTCCGTTAAGACTTCCCCCTAAACGCTGTGAGCCCCAAATTCTATGCTCTGAAAATGCCGCTAAACAGAGACCCAGCCACCCTCGGGAAAGCCACGTTGAGTAATTCGCCAACAGCCTTGAGTCTTTGTGAGTCAGCTCGGGGACCAACGCGATGAACATGTTGGAGAGCTCGACATAGGCTGGAATGCTTTGAACCGCCAAAGCTGCATCCGTCTTCGTTGTCTCTTCATTCACCCCTGCCTCTCGCACGGTAATTTGCGGGATTGCGAACCAGTCGAGAAAGATATAGCCATCGGCAATCTGCTGGCGTGTACTTGCTGAGATGCTGTTGTCTGCGGTGCGGCAAGCTATGTCCTCGTGCACCTGAAGTGAGCCACCGATGACTCCCCGGATTGCCTTCTGAAGAACTTCCATTTGCTTTCCGTCGGGGTCCGGATGTTCTTTGCTCAACCACTGGTGCGAGACGAAGATCAGGAACATGCCTGGGAACCACTTGTATAGCAAACCCCGCGCCAGCAAAATGCTATGGGCTTCAGGTTTGCCGCTCATCCGCATGAAGTCCGAGACTTTGACGGCCCATAGAGGATACCGACATTCATGTACGGTGGACTGAACGTCTACACCACGAATACTTATTCGGCGAAACACGGAGGTACATGCAGGTACTTGCATCAGTACGGCATCTTCGCCTTCCCCACAAGCTGGGTGGCACAACGAGGCACCCATGGCTCGGACGAGCAAATATATGTGCCTTTGCACCTACGTCTGGCTGTCCCTTGTGGATGGTGTCCCTACTACAGAACATAACGTCACATGCCTTGACACGTTGCTGCTATATGGGATGATGCCCAAAGAACCAAATACTTCCTACTGCATCGTCCTTGAGCCTGACACAAACAGCGTCCACGACCACACGAACTTCGAGTTCTGAACAGTTGATGCGCCAGGCACAAACCAGCTCTCTGGCACAGGCAAGTCAAGTTGAGCAGTACTCTATGGCGCTCTACTGCTTCAACTTCCACAGCTCGCACAGCTGAAGCTAAGGAACATGTGTGTATATGTATATGTTAAACTCACATATTAACAGGAAGACTTACTGACTCATTCCATGGCTAATTATCCGATTCAGTAACCAGGTAAGTTCTAGATATATACATCTCCCTCCCTCTGTATACATATATATATATATAACTAAGTTCATTTCAGCATAAGAGCTGGTGAGAATGCGAAAGGTTGAACACGCGTGATTCCGCATTTATTGCACTTAAACCGACGGAAACAAGAATGGCGGGTGGGATGGATTCTTGGCAAACGACAAAAGACCCAACATAAACTCAAGAAGCGAAAAGCGGCAATTGAAGAGAAACAATCGCACGCTCTGCTCTTCGATTTCTTGACCTTGCGCGCGGTGCCTTTAAATTTCGAACTTAATGCAAGGAAACAACGCGTATATGCGCGGTCAAAGGGCACATAGCCGAGTGACAAGGGCCCTCTTTTTAATGGCACATCGTATGACCTATGTTTAACATTACATTGTATGGGTGATTTCGCTCCGTCACTTGTTCGTTCCTGTTTGTCCCTTATGCTCTGTTTCTGCTTCTACGTATCTAGGCCTAGAGGTTAATCATATGAAGACGGTTTTTCGTTGACCTTTGTCGTCAATATAAACGGAGAAATCAATGCGTGCTTTAAGCGAAAACGCCTGTGAACAACAGGAACGGAACCAGGAGTCGTTCATGAAGGATTTACCCTTTAGAAATCCTTGAAGTGAGTCCTGTTGTATATAGCCTATGTGCGTGATAACTTAGCACGGTGTCACAGAGTCAAGTGTGCTCAGGTAGCGAGCGCAACAGAACGAACGAACGAAGATGACTCAAAACAAGGAGTGGACGTGGAGATGGAAAGCTTCTGATGGGATGTAGTTCAATGAAGGAGAGACAAGCGAAACCGAGTGTGATGCGTGTTCCTTTCAGTTAAACACAGCTCCAGGTTTGTAGTGAGTGTGTATTTTGCTTCGACAACTAACAACAGACGAAGGAAACAGAAGTGAATATTTGGTTTGTTCAAGCAAAACGCACGTGAACGGGATCACAACTGATGCCCTGTTTTATTTAAAGGATGACACAATGGAGTAGAATGAAATGAAGCGTATGCGTGGTCTGATTGTTGCGAAAAATGAGGGGCGTAAATTTAAGAGAAACGACCAGATATTCTGTGTCATAATTCTATCAACGAAAAGTGGAAACGACGAAGAAAGGGAGTCAACAGAAGAGGGCAGAGCAAGCTGAAAAGAGAATAGCACAATGAAACAAAACGTGCCTTTTCTTCACTCCATTTCTTTGTTTCATTGGTGTGTTTGCTTTTCATGTGTATCTTTTGGTCTTGAGATTTGTCATGTGGCCCTTTGTTCAATTAAAATAAGAGTAAGGAAGGCATGAAGAAAGCGACAGTTATCCTTTATCGAGCAACATTCTAGGTTCAAGGACTGAATTATGAAAGAGCACGATGATGAATTATGTGTAAAGTAGGGTTCGCTTTTGTGTTTAGTTCAATGAAACAAAGCACGGTAACAAAGTGTATGCCTGTTTACTTCATTATAGATAAAATTACACAGGCGATAGTTTCTACCAAATTAAGAACATGAGTTGGAATGGAACAAGCGAAAGAGAAACGCATGTTCATCTGTTTCGTTACAAACCAGTTAGCTCTGTTAGGGTTCCAGTGGTGTTCGTCTAATGAAAAGAATAAAGCTTGCATTTACTCAGTGTGTTCCTTTCTTGGCTTCCATTCAAACATGTATAACAAAACAAAACCTAAAGCAGGAACAAAGGACTCAGATATCACACATAGAACTTTTTATCAACCTCTTATTCCAGTTCATCTCCTACCATTACAGTCTAGATGCTTCAAAGTTACTAGATGTTGGATATGGGCCCTGGCCAAGTTAAAACCGGCACAGCGGGTACAGAGCGGATCCAAGATTCCAAGATCCAAGACTGCTGCGGAGTCTTTTCTTGGAAATCTTGGATACCAGAGCCCAGGCCGGTGCAACTTGTACCGGTTTGTACCGGACCAGGTTCCGGTATCCAAGATGCCAAGAAAAGGCTCCGCAGCAGTCTTGGATCTTGGAATCTTGGACACCGGGTACCGATTTGTACCGGGGCCGAGGCCTCTACCACGGATCCTTGGGGTGTTCACCCAGCCACAAAAAAGCAGGTCAGTACCCACCGCCTCAAATAGCTTTGTTTTCGTGTGGTGGGGTTCACCCAGCCACAATATGGTAGATCCATTGGGGGGTACAATATATACATACCTATGTTTGTATTTATGTGTATATATATATATGTATATATATTTTTATTTATATATATATATATATATATGTATATAAATATGTGTATATATTTCGGCTATACATATATATGCATATATATATATATGCATATATATATATATATATATGCATATATATATATATATATATACATATGTACATATACATGTAGGGTTATGCTGTACTATTATAGTTTGTTTTTCTTATGCTCTTATCATAGACCACATAGATAAATAGCCGTGGCTAGAGCTTCCGAGAATTCAAGACACCACTGCTTAAGCTCTGACCAATGCTGACCTACTCACTGTTTGCCCACAGTAGATCGAGATTGTGCTGGCAACGCAAATCCCCCGAAATCGCGCACCCTCAACCAGGTTCCCAATGATTCTGGCACGCTCCTCCACGGCAGGATTCCACCACCTCGGGCGACTGGTATTTACTGGGCTTAACTTGGCATTGGGGCGAAGCATGCAAAATCTGACTCGCTGTCCGACTGAGGTATGTGTTACTGGAGTTATGTAGCAGGACGCAAAAGATTACATGAACCCCAGCAAGTCTTGTCATTCGCACGACCTGGCATGGAAACCAGACAGGATTCGGGGAGTGGTTCCCACAGAGGGAAGTTGTTCTGACTTCATGTGCATTCCTGAACGATGTAGGCAGTATTGGCACACCGATTCGAGCTCAGCGCTTAGGGTTTACTTCACTGGTTTTCGCGCTGTTCGGAGGGTGTCGAGTCCTGGGCTTACTGTAAGGGTTTGTTGATGCATGGCTTAAAGGTTCAAGGAATCGGGCATTGGGAGCCGAATGGTTTAGAATTGTGTGGAGGAGGGAACCTGAAGAGACTGCAACCCGCGAAGGGATTCTGCTCAAGTCATCCATGGAACATGTGTCTGTGAATCCCAGTAGTAAAACCACCAGATGTAAACAATCGAATGCCAAACCGCGCGTCGCTCCGTCCGTCTGTCTGTATGCAAGCATATGTATGCATGTACGCACGTATGCATGTGTGCATGCATGCATGTAATGTATGTATGCGTGTATGTGTGCATTTGCGCTGTACCTGCAGGTTTGACATTGTCTTCGTGCATGTATGTACGACGGTCTGTGCGTGCGAGTGGGTGTGTGGATGTATACCTGCACGCAGCATAACTTGTACATACATACGCCTTTTTCAGATACACACGCAAACACACACAACACACACACACACATATATACATATATACATATATACATATATATATATATATATACACACATAAAGGGCCCCAAACACCGCAGCAACACTACCTTGCAGCACAAAAATCTGCAAGTAGGTTCCGAACCGCTCTACAGTTCCGACACACTGCTGGTTAAAGACACGCGGTGGAATCGAGGACTTGCGAGAGGGAGTGGTGTCGGTTACAGCCATGCGATTCCCGAACATCCAAGCCCTGCTCAGCAAGTCCACATACCCAAAATTCAAAAACCGGAACCCCATCAAGCAGCTGAGTGAGACCTCGAAGCTTTCAGCCGTGGCGCGGGTCGATTAGAAGTACGAAGTCTGCGGCCGTGAGATTCAATCCTGCGTTTTCCGACAGTAGGGCGCTTCGTCTCGAGGCTTGATATGGCGGCCTTGTAGAAAGAGAAACAGACCTTGCGACCACTCATTTGGAGCTTTCCCAGCTCCCGTTCGCAGGCCATTTCTTTAAGAGTTTGCCTCGTGCATGCTTCTGTGAAACACTCACCCGGATCGAAGCGAAAGCACTACATTCCATCAGGCAAGCTCTTGTGGTTACTATTTACGTGTTTGGGCATAGCACCCACCGTCGTGCATTAGTATATGCTTGGTCTCCTACACTGTAAGTAGACATCCATCGAGACTGTATTCCACGTTCTCCGGAGCTTTAGGATGTGAAATCCAGCATATCTGTCAAATTGTGCTCGCCGTGGAAAAGAAAAAAGCCGAAGAACGCTCCTGAAGGAGTCGGGAACCTGTGAGGACACACTCGAAATCGATCGGCTGACGCTGTTTGCCTCTGTAAAAATGGGCTCTGGCTCAGGCCTAATATAGGGGCCTTGGGTTTGGGGCCCATCATACTATAACTAGAATAAGGAACCCCCAGAATAGTATAGGTAACTATTAAGGCCCCTATAGTACTTCTGGGCTTGATGAAGAGAGCCGCAGGCGACAAACTACTACAGTAACGACGAGAAATGCTTCCCGAACCGCTCCGACATCCTGCAACGCAGAATCGCTCTTTATGCCTCGGTGCTCGGGTATCCTTCAGCCCAGATGCAGACAAAGCCGCCACGCCAGAAAAGACTCTGCTGTCAAACACTCAGTCACCAGCAGATTGAACCAGAAATGCAACCTCATCGCACAAAGCCCCAATCCATGAAGAAGATCCCGACTCTAAACCCTAAACACCGCCCAGACCTGTGCCAGCCGCCTTAAGGCTGCATAGCATGACCTATGCGGGCTCTGGAATTCAGCGGAAGGCTCCCTGGGTCTACTTGGAGGGTCGGGGGACTTAGTAAGTAATAGGTAATAAGTAGAGTTATAAGTACCCTAAAAGGGATCCGAATTGGTGTTATGGTACTTATGAGTCGACCTTCCAAGTAGGGATTGGGCAATGCATGCCTACTGAACCCGGAAAGTCACGAGATAAGGAGTAGGGGTTTAGGCTTAGGGTTTAGGGTTTAGGTTGTTCAACCGGCTTTGCTTTTTGATCCATGGGTTTTTAGCCAGCTCGGCTTCATTGACACAGTTCAGCAGACTTTCTTGGGACGGACAACAACAAACAAGTACCACTACTTTCAAACCATATCGCCCCCCTTGCACTTGGCGGCTTAACCATCGGCAAGCATGAAGAGGGTTGGCTAGAGGCCTGCAGCGACAATGAATGAAGTCACCTGCTTGGCACTTCATTCCAAGGCTCCAACTGGGAGTTTCCGAAAATCGGGGGGGGGGGGGTACCTTATTGAGTCCTTAAAATAAGGGCCCTACTAGTTAGGGTACTATACTAGGGTCCCCTATTTCGGAAACTCCCAACTCTAAACCAGAACCCTAAAACCAGGCCCGGATTCAAGCAACACACAGAATACCCTTTGCACATCAAGCACATGGGTGGTTGTCAAAGTTATGGTCCTCTTTTGGGTACCCTAAATAGTATGTGCCGTACTATATAAGGGACCCAGAAAGGGCCCATAATTTTGACAACCACCCACATGCTGCTTGGTCAGCGCAGCCCCTGTACACACTTCTCAGATTGCCAGCCTGAATATGCCCATGCCCCGCGAAGCTCTGCTGCGCCTGATTGTGTCAAGGCTGTGGGAAAAGTCTGAACCAACATGGAAGTTGTCCGAAGGAGGTGTTGATGGTTAGGAAATAGAACAGCCTTAAGAATCATAAGGCGTTGCAGCCCAGCTGAAGCCCTGCTCCTTTCGGTGTCTTGTGGGGGAGCGTCTGGAGTTTCCTCGCAAATAACGGCCCGCTTTCGGAAGGTCTGAGATGTAGGGTTTGCCCAGTTTGGCGCATCATGCATCGCAAACTGCGGCTGATGTTTACTACACGGCTTTAACTTTAGATAAGAGTCCCGAAATTCATAAAGAAGCTAGAGAAGCACTAAACCCTGCAGGCCGACAGACCTCAACTCTGTTCCTAAACCCTATATACTAGAATGAATAGAACAGAGTTCGCGGACATATTGTAGTATACTTATAATAAGGAAACCCCGAAACCCTATTCTACATATACAGGCCCCAACATTACGCAAACTCACAACAGCCTAAACCATGGGCCTGTACTCGCTGCTCGTGCTTCAGGGAGCCGTCTAAGCGGACGAAAGGCAAATTCCGCCGGAGGAGCTCCTAAGCTGTTGAAGTCTCTTTGACGGGCTTTATTGGCTTTAATAGGGTTTATATCGTGAGTCGAACCTTCGTGAGGCTTTCGCGAGGATTTGCATGGTGTATCAAGCTTTTGTAGATTGGGGGTGTTCCGAATCCACATCCTGGGAGACTCTATACGTTATGACTACAGGGCAAAAACCTGCAAAGCACATACAGAGACCAAGGTTTAAGTTTAAGCGGTGGGTGTGTGCATGTGTTTGTATATATGCATGTATGCATGTATTTATGTATGTACGTATGTACATACATACAGACGTACATACATACATTACATACCTTCTTACATGCTTGATTATATCCACAACTGCGTGCATGCAAGCAGTGAGAGGGACACAGACAGAGAGAGACAGAGAGACAGAGAGAGAGAGAGAGGGAGAGGGATGCAAAGGGAAGCAACATTGATGTGTTGAGGCTTGCATGGCCATACCCTCTGGCTACTGTAGCAGTTTGGGGCATCACTGCTTCTCTGCTCTATGCAAGGCGCTGCTTGCACCAGGTTCAGCATGTTGGTGAACTGGGAGAACACCACGGCCTGGATTGCGCTGCAGGTTGGGTGCTCAGGTTTGCATCTCCGGGTGTAGATTAGAGTGGACCGTGAGTTGAAGTCACGGCAGACCTGTAAGCACTGAGGAGCCTTTACATCCACATCTAGGGCTTGGCAACAAGTACTGCTGAAGCAAACTCCACCAGCACAGTCTTCCACAGTCTGGAGTCGGAACTCTACATTGCGCTCTCCACAAATGTCTCCGCAAGGTCTTGTACAAGAAATCAGGTTGATCCTGAAACACTGAAACAGGACTTCTACGGGCCGAAATCCTAAGCCCTCTGGGTTTTGGTATCTTGTCATTGCCATAGACGCACCTGTGTGGGGAATACAGAATTAGAGTTTAAGTTCAGGCTTGGGGTCTAAGCCACGAATAAGAGGGTTCAAAGTGATAGACCTTCCCAGGCTAATCTCCAGACTCCAGCTGCATGTCACACCGAGCTTCTCACGACATGCCATAATGAACACCAGTACTCGGGCCTTTTAACACAAAACGGGATTGCGGTACCTTTATTCTTTTGTACGAGTTGGAACGCTGGAGGAATCATATGAAGCAATAGTGGGCGTCTACATGAAAAGCACGGATTTGGGGCTTGAGGCTTGCTGAGCAGGAGGGGCCGTAGCAGTTTAACCCGCCATGACTGCTGCTATACATATAAGTCCTGCTGCACCTCTGGCATGCTTCTCCTTATCCCTGCTGCTGTTTTAACTTCTACAACAGTTTCCATTACTACTTCAAGCGTTAGGGCTGCAGGCTCAAACCGATGGAAACCTGCGATGCGGACGTGTCGATGCACAGTGTCGATGGCACACGGCCTTGTCACTACCAAGAGAAAGTCATAATACAGGGCCTTACTACTTAGAACAGGGTCTTCGCGTATATTATACTAGAACGTAGTATCATTAAGAAACCCACCAAAAAATAGTACAGGTAATTCCTAAGGCCCCCTGTAGTGCCAAGACGAGAGTTGGCAGCTTTGGAGCTACGGTTCCGAGAGACACCCAACATCAGCCAAACCCTTTAGCACTACGGTTGATGATATAAATCCTGCATTACCTTAATGACCCTCAATTATGGGAATTATGGTAGATTCCTTATTATGGGTCATGCAGGATTTATATCATCAACCGTAGCACCCCGTCCATAAAGCCCCCGAACGTCTTCAAAGTTTTGTTTTGAGCTCCTTGTTCCCAAGAGGCAGCAGCCAGTAGAAGAAGTTTAGGGTTTAGGGTTCTAGGTTCAGGACTATAACACCCAAGCCTATCAACCCTAAACACCTGTGCGCCGGTGCTAACAGCCCTTGTCCAAGCCTTGTGCGGCTTTTGAAGGTGCTCGTCGCTCCTGATCGTTTAGGCTCAATTCAGGGTTTGGGGCAGTTTTTTTTTTGAGCACCTTTTTCCGTCCGGTTTGGGGCAGTTTAGGGTTCAGGGTTTAGGATTTAGGTTTGGGGTTGTTTCCCTCCTACTTAGCAAGGAAAGCTTTAGGGTTCAGGGTCTGAGGGTGGCAGGTGCGAGTTGATGCTGGGTTGAGGGCTCTTAGGTTGAGGCTTAAGCTTGGGGGGATAAGCTGTGGGTTCGGGTTTGGTCGCTTCATGTCATGAGCCCACCGAAAAGAATCTGCAGCTACCCACATCCTTCGCTCCCCATACGCTCAAACCTAGAAATAGGAAAGCACAGAAGTAAGCAGGCCCCTGGCTCAGGTATGCCAAGGAATTCTGGATCAAGCCCTTGGGTGCCATAGCGGCCTGATCGTGGGGAGAATTCCCGTTTATACTCCCTTTGTAAGTATGATGAAAACCCAAGACCAAGTCTAAGTAGCCAGGCCCCTCAAGTTCTAGTCACGGTTTGGGACCCGACTGCATGGACGCAGAAACCATTGGGCTTAGGAGACGGGGAACTCTGCGCTGCCTGCAGGACACAAACGTCGCACCCTTGCGCCTTAAACCTTCAAACCTATGCGAACCGCAAGCCGGGAACCTCTAGCCCGGCCGGTTTTGAAAGCTTGATGGTTCCGTCTTGACCCAGGCATTTAAAAACAACCTGGGGGGGGGGGGGGGTGGTGGTAGTGGAAAAGTAAAAGATGCAGTGCAACTTGACCAAAATCCTTGGCAAGGTGACACGTTCCCTTCCAGGATGAATATTGCAGTTACCTTCCCTATTCCGTGCAGTTGCTGTAGCTACACTGACTATGATTGCCAAGCCATAGCTTTCGAGGCTACCCTTTTCTGAAGAAAACATGACTCGACGTGTCAGTGAGATGAAGATTTCGGCAGCTGCCAAGCGACTTGTTGAAGACGTTCTCCACCAAAAAGGCCAGCACAGCCTTTCAGTTGCAGAATACCCTAAAGCCTAAACCTCCAAAATCCCAACACTAGGTCACTAGGAACACTGCCAAACTCAAAGTCCTAAACCTGTTCTTCTAAGAACAGCGTCAGTCTTTGCAGGACACCTTTGCGATTGCGGCACGGTGTCATATATGGAGCCCGGAGACTTGGAACAGGGGGTTCGTGATGAAGTTTCCAGGTCCTACAGGAACTTCGTTTCGGTTCCCCACAAGGTATTCGTGGCACGAGGGTGATAACGTGCACGGCGACGGCATCTAGATCTAACCTGTGAGTCGCGCATGCTCATGCGAGCACAATGTTCTAGCTTAACCTTCGTGAAAATTCGTGCTCAATCGTAGTACTTGTTGCATCCTGATCCCAAATGTCATGCAGAGCTCATTCCGCCTCCTTAGTTCGCCAGCTTCTACTGTATTGTTCGTGTTCCACAGGCCGTCCATACATGCTGGTCCGTGGCAAGTTAAAATACGAGGGGTAGTCAGTTCAGAATATTCATCAATGCCCCCATATGAGGCACATGGAACCACACGGCATCTGCCCGTGCCCTAAACTCCAAGCCGGCTACAGGAACTTGCAAAAGCACATCCATCAGGACTCAATCATGCCAAAGAGCCTCCACTAAGACTTTAACAAGACACGCGGATTCTTCTTTAAAGCGGTTGAAATTGAACAGTTCGGGTCGGACCACCAGAAATCCTAAACAACACAAAATGTTCTAGCCCCTGAAACCTACCAACACCCATATTTCCATCGGGTCCAAAACGAACCCCAGTGTCAAAGCTACTGCCCTCAACCCAAGCCCAAAACCCCTAACCCTCTATTATGCTCTGATGAATCCCTAAACCCTACACCCCTATTATGCTTCGCTGAACACCTTTTTTTCAGCATGGACTTGGATTGTGCCAGCAAACACTCCCCAACCCCTGAACCCTAAACCCTGAACCCCCAATATGTTTTGATGAATCCCTGAACTTGGCCCTTAAAGGAAACCCTCTCCAGACCTTGATCTTGGCGCTTGCGCCCGCATGGATATCGCTGCCGTCGTCTCCCTCTACCACCTCCAGCTCCTTTGTGCTTCTCTTTGCTTCCTACTTCGCGGGGACGCGCAAAGGACTTCAGGGCGAAGTCTTATTGTTCCTTTAATCGACCCTCATACTCTCCGACTCAAACGCTTAACGGCCAGTTGATGGCCGGTTAAGGACGAAGGAGCTCCATACCGACAGATTTGAAGGCGGCTCTCAACAGGGTTAAACCAGTGTACGTTTAACATCTCCTAATCCTTATTTCAGTATGGGAGTTTCCGCAAACAGGGGACCCCAATATAGTACCCTAAGTAGTAGGATCCTTATTATAAGGACCCCAAAATGAGGTACCCCTAACCTTCGGAATCTCCCATATTCAAAGGGCAGGGCCGGAGGCCCTGTCAGAGATTTGACACTGTGCTGCCTCCGCTGAATACAAGGCCCTACTTGAAGGAGCAGGTTCTGTGCTCCCCCGTCGGGAGTAAGAAGTAACGGCCCAGACACCCTAAGCATGTCGAAAGATATCTTATCACTAGATATGGGTTGGGGTAACGTCGTCTTTCTCAACATGTCTACGCAGAGCTCCACCCGAAGATAGAACCAACAAGTCTCTGAATCAATGGCGGTATTCCTTAGCAAAACCAGGGTAGCCTGCATCCTGATGGGAGGAGCCTGAGAGACTGATCCTGTTGATGATAAAAATCCTGCACTACCTTAAGGACCCGAAACTATGGGAATTATGGCATATTCCTTATAATGGGTCATGCAGGATTTATATCATCAACCGTCGCACAACAGTTGCGAATGCCTGCGGCTGCGCGATACCCAGCTAACAGTTTAGGACGTACCATACACCAACGAGTGGAGAGGATCCCGAAGCTGTTTGCATCAATGCCACATGCCACGAAGCAGTCGCCAATTCTGAGACTTCTCCCTGAACCCTCCTTCGGGAACACCCGAATGGAATTCAGTACCAACTTCGACTCGTAAACTTTGGGGCCCTAGAGCATCTGTTCAAAACTGGAGGGGCCTCAAGAAAGGAGTGCCGACAGAAGGCAGGGCTCTAACCCGATGACAAGACCTAAGCAGGACGTACATACTCGCGGGTGTGTATGTGTGTCTGTCTGTCGGTGTGTCCGCGTACATGGGGAGAGCAGGGGAACATGGGGACAGCAAAGGAGCAGTCACTATGCTCATTAGTGACCACTTGTGAATGTGAAGTAGTCAAGCTTCAATGCTTCGTCTTGGCTGACAACAGGTACCCGTGTAGAAAACGGAAGATACGCAACTGACGCCATAGCCAAGCTGTGCGACAATCAAGCCGACTCAGCTGTCCATGAGCCTTCACGAACAACTCCGCAAATCCCAAAGTGCAGTGCACCCCTGTAGACAATGAAAGACCCCGTTTGAACCCTTTTCGATTGCGAAGAAGCCTATTACTGCCGCAGGTAATACTATTAAAACCCGAAACTGCCCGAAACCCCTGACCCCTTAACTGGCGCCTTACTTAAGCCGAGAAGCAGCAGGCTTCTCCAAGAGCTCCGACTTTTTGATGGGGCCGCGGCAAAGAGGGCACAACCCGGCACCTCAGTGACGATTCAAAATAGACGCCTTGAGGATTTAGGCTTTGAGGAGGGTTTTTAGCTGCTTCTTGTTCGAGCTCCGTGACCACACCTGTGCCAACCCTGAAGCTTGAAACCAATGCACTAACGACCAAGCTTCAAATCCCACACTCTGAAGACGATGCACCACCAGTAAAAATACAACGGCATCAGACAGGAGTTCCCAAGACCCTCTCTTTTTTTTCTTTCTGCTGGGCTTAGGGGTCGTCAAGACCCTCAGGCCATCGGCCCGCCCAACCCACCCACTGTGTTAGTGAGCGGTCGGCTTTGGGGTTCATCCTGAGTGTGGCAGGGAACTACAGAGTGTGCCCCGGGTTTTCATGCAGCGAGCCCCGCCCTTAACACTAAACCACCTGGGTCCCGGCCTCATCTCCGCGCCCCTGTGGCTACCACATCCCCCGCAGGGCTCGCTTGCACATGTTCCCCCGGTAGGGCCACTTTCGGGAACGCCAGGCAGCAAAGACCCTCTCTCTCGCTCTCTCTCTCTCTCTCTCTTTCTCTCTCTCTCTCTCTCTCTCTCTCTCTCTCTCTCTCTCTCTCTCTCTCTCTCTCTCTCTCTCTCTCCCAGGCATTCGAAACGTCAAGCCCGGTTGCAGGACACAGATGGTCCCACGTGACACACGATTACCCTTAAACTCGTAACCCAAAATCCCGGCACCAGACCGAAACGCTTAAACCCCAAACCCGAAAACCCGGCACCAACCTTAAATCCTTAAACCCAAACCCCAAAGCCTCGCACACCAAGCCCAAACCCAAAGCCCAATACCCCAATACCCACCCTAAACCGGGTCGAGGCACTTCCTTGGCCGAGTTGGCGCAGCGCGGCTTCGATACAGCCCTTGGTGTTTGATGAAGGGGCCTTGATAATTGGAGTAGGGACCCTTTCAAGGGCTCCTTTAACGGGCTATTACAAGCGTTACTTAGTGTTTATCGTCCATGTTCCCTGCTTTCTCGTCCGTCTGAAAGTGGCACTTCCACAAACACTCACTGTTTTTGCTGACATTGTTGGGCTGTCTGTTGTCATGCTTACTGACGACTAATGCCATATGTTGATCCTTGCTACCAAGACTGTAAAAAGCATCATGGTTCATGAATATTTCTGCCGTTCCACTTATCGCTGTTCGTACGGTACTTGCTCTTGCCCTCACCAAGCATAGGTTCCTGAGTAGCCCCTTAATACGAAGGTTACACTTTTTCTACTATTCGGCGTTAATAAGGGAATGCCAAAACAAAAAGGGCAAAAGGTTAGTACTCAGGAACCTAGAAGGTTACCTGGACCTAGAGACGAAACTGCACATCTGCCTCCAAGATATGTTTGTCAAGTTGTTTCTGTTCTTTCGGAATTGGGGTGTTTTGCCGCCCATGCACCGACAAGCAAATATGCGGGTCGGCATATCTGGCATCAGTTTACTGGTGCACCTTTCGTGGCGTGTTTCCCTACGCTATGACATTATGATATACCCCAAAGCCTATTCGGGATCCTAAATTATCCGGGGGCGGCCGGCAGCCCCGAACTTCTGCTACTATCTGGGCCAAGACTGCTGCCATTTGGGACTTTCCGAAAATAGGGGACCCTAATATAGCAACAGAAATAGTAGGATCCTTATTAAAAGGACCCCCAAATAAGGTACCCCCATTTTCGGAAACTCCCATTTCAGGACTTCAGGAGGCCTTTGCTTCGAGGCTGCTCGTTGGGTTGTCACTGCAGTACATGTTAGAGGCCCGCCGCCAAACGTGTGAAGCGAACCAGCATTGAGCGTGGGGGTAACGAGACACCTAGTTATGGAGTTCATGGTTCTCTTTCATCTCAATACTACACTATTTGGGGGTTCCTGTCTATGTTTAAATGTATACCGGGCCCCCAAACCCTACTATCCGTACTCTAGCTTTTCAGGCCCGTCAAGACTCCAGCAACACTGAAACTGACATCGTGAATAAGCCCAGGCGCACGGTGAAATACGTGACCGCAGCGCGTGACGATATCACAGCCCGACTCCATACAGATGCTACCTCGGCTTCCGTGCATAAGCCCTATACCCCTGAACCCTAATGCGCCAAGACACCCTAAACCCGAAATTCCCTGCAGTTGTGGGCACCTTCAGAGACAAACGAAAAGGCAGCGAACGGAATCGGCAGTGTATCTTCAAGACATCAAGATGGCAAACAAGTTTTGGGGCACCGCGTATTGCAATCAAGTATCAAGCTCCTAGATTCCTGCAGCGACTAAGGCCAAGGTGGCGGTTTGGAGGTCCAGCCCCTTTTTTCAATTTCGGGCTGAGGGTCCGTGGAAATAACCTCAACTAGACCTAAGAGTAACCTAGGGATAAAAAGGGTGCCCTTTTTGTGTTAAAGTGGGTTATAAGGGAACCTAAACCCTAAAAATGGGAATAAGGGCCTACTCTGGGTCCTAGTCAAAACCATCGTCAGGAGGCAGTCGTCTTCCTGCGCTTGGGCGAGATTGCGAAGCAGATGCTCAACCTTCCAGGGCAGAGGGCCCCTTAAGAGGGTTCATAAGAGCTCTATATAAGGAATTTTGGGATATAGGGGCCTTCATAATCAGAAGAGGGTTTTGGGATATATGATAATATAATTATAGTAAGGAACCACCGAAATAGTATCGGTCATTATTAAGGCCCCCATGGTACGCTCTCGCAACTCTAATGGAAGGTGCTTTCAGGTAAGCCAAGCCCAAGAGTTCGCCGCCTTGAGATTTTGAAAGCATGCCCTAAAGCCTCAACCGTAACCCTACAAAGCCCTGACTTGCTCGTTCTATGCTTTGGCGTATGTTTTGCAAGTGACTGGGATTGCGAGCCTGTGGGGTGCAAAGCGGTCCCGGCAGTTCTAATGCTTGGGGCTTCCTGCTGACATACTATGCTCAGGTTTACCCCAGGCTCGTTTCAAGCCTCTTTGTTGGTGGTACATGCACTCGAACTGCCACCACCTGCAGTGCGGATGCGAACCGACTTGCGAGAGCAAAAGCCCGTGCTGCACCTTCAAGAACCCTAATGCCCTAATGTCTAGAAGTGCCATGAAGTGCCTGTGACGCCAAAGTCTTACTAACCCGTCGGGTTTACGCTGTCCAGATGTGAAGTACTCCAAGCTTTTGAAATCATGATTCTTCAGGAACATCTACCCTGAAGCCATAAAATACCTGTTTCGGTAACCCTTATAGTTGGACGGGGAGGTACAGGTTTAAACATTCTTGTAATCAGGAGCCCTAGCCATCACATGCACTAAAGATTCCGAGCCCTGCAATTTTCTGACTGTGGGAGCCTTAATAACTGGAAGCTTATAGTACAACGACTCCGACCCTACACACTGCTGTTACTGCACCCTCAAGCTCTGTATTGCCTATGCATTCTTACACAAATACACTACACCTTAGGGGCTGGGTATCCTAGCCAAAACAGGTCAACCTTTTCAGTTTTCAGTTATGCTAGGATCATGAAAACCCCAAGAGGTACCCAAAAGGTTAAAGGTTACCTACTCAGCTACTAGGAAAACTTCACCCTAAACCCTAAACCCTATAATACGATCTATATATATATACATACATAAAAATATATATATATATATATATATATATGCTTATACTCTTACACCGAAAGCTTCACCTTGTCCTTGCCCAGGGCAGCTGTGGCGGCTTCGAGGACCCGGGCAGCATCGCCTCTTCAGCTGCAGCTGTTTCGGAGGATCCTTTAAGGGATCTGGATCAAAAGGGGCTCCTTCAAGGGGTCCTTTAAGGGATCTAGATCTATAGGGGCTCCAATAAGGGGTTCTTTAACTATAGGGCCCAATAGGGGCTCCTTCAAGGGTCCTTTAAGGGATCTGGATCTATAGGGGCTCCTTCCGGGTCCTTTAAGGGATCTATAGGGGCGCCTTCAAGGGGTCCCTAAACGGATCTATAGGGCCTCCTTTACGGGGTCCTCTAAGGGATCAATAGGGGCTCCTTCAAGGGGTCCTTTAAAGGATCTAGTAGGGCTCCTTCAAGGGGTCCTTTAAGGGATCTACAGGGGCTCCTTCATCTATAGGGGCTCCTTCAGGGGGTCCTTCAAAGGAACCTTTAGAGGCACCCTTTAACGGACACCGTCGAGTTCTCTTAAAGGAGCCCTTCAAGCATTTGGCCTCTAGGGAGTATGTACCGTACTTGAACTACAGATGGATCCTTAGCATGATTTTGCGTGCAAGGGTCTGCTAAGGGCTCCTTTTGTGGATTCTACAACAGTGGCCTTATATAGTAGATACAATAAGGTCCGTCGGTCACGGCATTTGATAATTATATGTGAATATGTGGACTACAGGGGCGAGAAGTAGTCTCGTATTATTTCCGGCCCCCCTGTGAAGACTGCGAAGGGCTTTCCACGAGTGCCTACAGGGTTTGTTGTGGCTTTGTTAGGGCAGAGGGTTTGACCGTGTTCACAGGACCCATAATGAAGGTATAGACCGTAAACCATATACGACTTCTTACGATGATTCGCAGGCTTCTTACCTTGCACTCCAGAAGCCAACAACCGATGAGAGCACTGCGATCCTGTGCGGTAGCAGAAACCCTACATCAGCCATCACGTCACCCCGCCGGAAAAGGTCGGCGATCCTCAAGCCCCTGAACCGTGGAACCAACACCCTAAACCCGATGACCCTACAGTCAACCCTGTAGAGTTGGAAACCGGATTAAGGCCAAATAGTGCTGGGATTCCCTATACCTTGCTCTTAAGGGTTGAGGCTATTGGGTTTCCAACTTTTGGGCTCCTACTCTAAACAAACTCTAAACCCCCCAAAGCCCCAAGCCCACGGAAGCCTTTCCCTTGCCGCAGTTCGGTCAGAAGCGCAGACGGGAGCAAGGAGCTGGCACAGCAAAGCCTGGGGCGAACATAGTGTATAATGTAGGGGCCTTAATAATTAAAGTAAAACCTTGGGGCATATTAGACTAGAAAAACCTTTTAAAAAACCCCCAACATGCCCCTACATTAAGGTCCTTTCTGATGTCAAGTTGGGTTCTGGGGTATGCGCTTTTCAGATTTACCTCTAATAAGGAACCCTAAACGCCTAACACATCGTATTGCCAAGCCTTCGGGTTCCTGAATTACGGGCTTGCAAGTGAGGTGCGCAGAGGGTCTTACAAATGTCATAGATAGCTCCTTGATGAGCTTTAATCATAGGAGATTTTGGGAGAGATGGGTTCCGGGTCTATGTTTAGAGTAGGGCTTTGGGAGTAGGTTCTGACGTCTTGATTGAAGGATTTTGGGCTCCGAGTTTGGGGAAGTGTTGGGACTTAGCAGCTTGTCACGCTGGAGAGTTTGGGGTTTGGGCCATTGGGGAGCTGGAACTTGCTGAAAGGTTTTCGGTTGATATGGTGAAGGCTTGGGATTCGATGTTGTGAGTGGGGTTGGATCTTGCTGATGGGTGTTTGGGTGTTTGGGGTGTTGCATTCCGTGGGGTTAAAGAAATTTATCATCACTCATCCTGCGCTAGACTGCCTGTGAACGTTTCTGATTAAAAATTCAACCCCTCCAAATGAAAACGATATGGGAGTGTAAACTGTAGGTTTGGGGTTCTAGGACTGAAAAAGCAGGGAACGCAAAGCATGACACAACGTGGCCTAGTAAACCTCGAACCCCTCCAAACTCTAAAACCCTAAACCCTAAAACCCCCTAAGCCCAAATGGACAGACTATAGCAGGACAAGCTGCTGGCGGAGCCGAACAAGCAGGGACAGCACCTTGAGGGGTTCCAGCTCTTGTTCTCCAAACCAATGTCTTTCAAGACCCTACGTATTTCTTTCTCTCTGCACCTGTGAATAAATAAATAAATATATATATATATATATATGGTGATATATATATATATATACACACAGTTTATGCCTCTACGTTGTATGTTGTCTGCTTTGGTCGTGTATTCTACGATGCCAGATGGTGATCCTCTCCTGTTCATAATCGCTCTTGTGCCGCCCGGGTCTGTGACCCACGGCACCTGATCTCCCGCTGCATGCGAAGATAAGTCTTATACGCGCTTCCAAAGTGCATTGAGCCTTGCTCTTTACGGCCTTGCTGAAAAGTTGCGCAGACTTGGCTTTGGCAGGCTGGTGACCCTGTGCTCATGACATCCAAAACCTAAACTTGAAGCATCTAGGTTCGCTTCGAACCCGAAACCCCCACAAATCCTTGAAACCCAACTATGGTTCACGAAAACCCTAAACTCCTCACCCTCATTATATGAACCTAAGACCCCTTTTTGAGAACCCAGGCTCTAAGCCTGTTCAGATGGGAAGTCAGCCATGCCCGTGCTCCGAGTAACCCCTGTAAATCCTATAAACCCTAAACCCGGAACCCCGGACCCCTCAACCACTAAACCCTGAGCCCCTATTGACCAACTCAACCTTCTGGCCAGGCACCTGCGAGAAGTTTTGGCCCAGCTGGCTCCTCTCCTGTGTGCTGCCGTTGTGCTAGTTTCGCGCTGGAATGCCAAAGTTCCTCTTCATCTTGTACCTTGTGGTTGTCGGGCTCACTTCTATCTACCACTTGGTTAGTACGAGGTTGAGTTTTGAGTCTCATCCTCATCTTCATCCTCACCATCGTAATCATCACCATCCCTACCACCAGCACATGTATCTGCATCAGCATCGCCTGCACCACTGGCTTCGTCATCGGGCTCCTCACGGCTATCTTCACCAGCAGCATCATCAACAGGGCAAGCAGAATCCTCGTCACCAGAAGCAGCAACGACAGCATCACCACCATCCTGGCTATGTCCATGCAAACACCACCAACTTCCCCTCTTGCTGGAGGAGTGCTCCTAAATGGCACAAGACTCGCAAAAGTCTCTAGACCACCACTCCGGGATCCACCAGAGCTCGCAACAGAAACCTGCTATCTGCTAAATCACTGACAAACCCGACCCCACAGTTAGGGTTTAGGGTTCAGGGTTTAGGGTTTAGGCACAGGCTTCCATTTTGGGCGAACATGTGGTCTTTGGCTTTTGTTGACACTCACTCTCGGACTAAGCCTGCAAGGTCTGCAGCGATACTGGTTCATCGACGCACTAATGGCACAGCGGATTGGTTTCATCACGCTGTGCTATATGCTGTCAAACAAATTGATCCGTAAGCCAGCCCCACGATAACAACGGTGCACTTTCAATCTGTTAGCAGTAGCCTTTCCACACACCGTAATGTAAACCTAAAACACTCAAAACCAACAGCTATGCGCCAAAACCTCATAAACCAAATCTCAAACCACCCGAAAGCATAACGTCCGGAATCTGAATTTAGGTAACCTTTAACTTTTTGGGGTTTCTATACCCCCACCATATAAAGGATATCAACACTCATGGCTCGCCTCCAGCTCTTTGACACGCTCCGCTGCGCAGTTGAACAAACCTTATTGCGGGTCCTACTTGTCGGGTATCATGGGGAACTAAAGGTTAACCTTTTTGGTCATGTTGGGGGTATTTAGGGACTATACTACCCTACTCTACTACTAGGGGGTTGAACGGTCAGAGTTCTTGGCTTTGCGAGTCAGCGCATCAGGCGGCTAGAAGAGTCCGGCTTGAGGCTTCGGAATGCTTCGGAGACTTTCAGTACTACTACTACTACTACTAATAATAATAATGATAATAATAATAATAATAATAGTAATAATAATAACAGTAATAATAATAATAGTAACACGACTAATACTACTAATACTATTAATAATACGGGTCGACAGAGAGCAAACATGTTGTGCTTAGAAAGCCTTCTCCTCCTAACACGAAGGGCAGATTTGCCAAAGCCGAAACATACTCACCAGCGCAGCTTCGAACAGACATTCTAATTCCAAGAACCCTCACTGGGAGTTCTGGCCCTAGGTTCAGACGAAGCACGATCATAGAGCACCCGATCGCCGGGGTCCAGTGGCACCTTGACAACCTTGCTTGCATCAGAACGCAGCAAGACTTAGCGCTCAAAACGGAGTTCCGTTGCCAACTCAGGCTGGTATCTGTAAAGTCAGTGCCCCGGCTCGCATGCTTGCCGCATGAGTCAAGCGGTGTTCTTCTGTTTGTCGAAATCGCACAGCAAAGCTAAAGCCTGTGCACCGGTCAAAAAGGCTGTGAGGATGCCGGTGACTCTTGCAATCAAAGCATAAGCGCAACACCTGTATTACAGAAACCTGACATCTCTAAAGAAACCCATGCAACCTCTAAATCCAAAGATCTTGCCTCCAGCGTCTTCCGGGGCAGCATCAACAGTGGCCGGGAAAGCCCTGTCTCAGCATCCTGAATGCTCATGTCCTGGCTTGTGGTCTCGTTGGTTCACTGCGCCCTCGTCACAAGCAGTATGCATGAAATTTGGGTATGCTCGCTGCATTTATGAATTGAGAACATGATAACAATTGAAATATGTGTGGAAGCAGCCGCTTGAGTTTCATGCAAGCTTCATCTGCTTGACGGCTCTTGGTCGGTTCCTCTACTTTCGTGTATTCCAGGTTACACGCTTCATGTATGCAAAACTTCCCTGACAGCCTGCGATTTGTGCTTCACTGAGGTTACGTCAGACAGTCGCAATATGTATGCGATTAGACAAGCTGATAGTGCATGAGCAGGTTATGGATTTCTGGAGCACGGGAAAGTGAAACTAACTTTCTACGTTGCGTGCCCGTCCTTGGGGACCAGATGACCCGTTTAAGTATTGCTCTTATACCCTTATACTATGAATCCCCAGAATGGTATAGGAGCCTTAAACCCTTTTAGGTTCATTTCGTCCCTAAGTTTCTTGTCAACCTAAAGCCGGAACCAAACATCCCAACGTTTCTGCCAAACTCGGACAACCTCGCTGAGTCTTTCTGCCAACAAGGCACACTTAGTGTTGAACCCCGCACTGAAGCCCTTTTGTGCAGCAGGCCTCGTTGTCCAGCAGCCCGGTTACAGCAAGAGCCCCGTCGAACTGAAGCCCTAAACCCTAAACCCTCAACGGCTCTAAACCCTAAACCCTGAATCCTAAACGGCACTAAACCCTAAACCCTGAACCTTAAGCGCCAATAAACCCTAAACGCTGAACCCTAAACGACCCTAAACCCTAGCCCTAACCCCTAAACTGCCCTAAGCCCGAAACCCTAAAAAGTTCGATCGCGGGTCTGACGCCAGACACTTCGAATCCAAAGCAAAAGCCCGAAGCGCAAAACGAGAGCCCTACTTACACACTAACTCGGCTCCTGAGTAGCCCGTTAATAATTAATAAGGGTACCCTTAATCCTACTGTTTGGGCTTATTAAGTGAAGCCAGAAACCAGCACGGAAAAAGGGCACATCTCAGGAACCTAGACTCTGTAGAGTTTGGGTTTAGGGTTGAGCTTGCGCAGTCCTTGGTCCGCCGCAAACACCAGGTCCGCAACAGCAGCTGAAGCCTTTCGAAACCCGAGACCTTCGCAGAACGAAATGTTTAGCCCAGACCCCCGGGAGGATCCAAAAAGTAGATCCCTTAAGGGGGGTTCCTGTAAAGTACCCTTAATAGTTTAGGGCCCCAAATTAGGGATCCACTTTCTAGATCCTCCCGGGGGTCTGGGAGTTCGTTTACCCAAAACGGTACACGCATATTACGATGCAATATCCCTCGGTGTATGGCGTATGTCAGTAGCTGACATGCCGGCGGCTGTCAAGAAACGTGTCTCTCCTCGGAATATATAAAGAAATGAGAGTTGAACATCCTATTCAACCAACACACCTGGCGTACTCAGAACAAGCGGAAACCTGCTGAAACACCGGGTTTTGGAGCAGAAGCACCGGACCCTGAGGGTCCATGTACCTAAATAGTATATACTTTGGCCATAAACTAGTCCCTATATAGGTACGTTGGGGTTCAATGTATACTCATATGGATACATGGACCCTTAGGGGGGCCAAAGTCTGCTGAGGTGAAGCAGCGAGCGGAAAGTGTGTCTTGGTCTTAGCTCGCGCTCATGTCAGCATCATAACGAAATTACAATGCTGCCTTCTTCTTCACAGTATAGGGGCATACCTCTAGCTAACTAAGGCTGTCTGTGAGAGCAACCCAACGCCGGCGGACCTCAACTAAGACGCGTGTACTCCACTTGGCAGCTGTTCCAGTTATGATGAAGGACTGCTACCGCTTGACTTTCGGCTCCAGCATTAGCATTATGATCATGGTTTTGTCTTGGGCAGCAGCTTTCTGCCTAAATTAAATTTCAGCCAGGACGCATCGCGGTTCTTCAGAGGTCGGAGGATGGTCCTGTTTCCAGTGGGCCGCAGAAGTTGATTGTAGAAACTGCTACCCATTGTTGCCATCTGTCTACTTAGTACCTCCATGCATGCAATGCCTACAGTCGCACACCAACATGATTGAAAGGACTCCTGCCAGCTTGCACGTGTGTACATGTGCGTAAACACATACATGTATCCGTAGGTGTATGCATGGGCTTCTGTACCTACTGATTCTATGCCGTTGTACGGATGCAGGGGCATGCGCACGCACAGACACACACACACACACATGCATTGCCGTGGCCCATGGTTAGGAGTGCTTTGGGAAAAGGATGTTGCTCGTCTTCGAGGGTCTCGTAACCAACCCACCTGGAAATTCACCAAGCCGCAGGTAAGGGTTTGCAAGGGCTGTGGACGTCCAGGTCGGGATTTCAGGAGAAAGTACTATAGGGGCCTTAATAATTAGAATAGGTTTTGGGGCCCATTATACTGCAACTATCATAAGGAGCCCCCCGAATTGTCTCGGTAATTATTCAGGCCCCACTATAGTAGCGGGCACCCTGGCCGTTCACACTGATTTTCTGCCTTACTAGGTTCTGTGAAGCCCATCTAAAGCCTTGTGCCCCTTTTGCCTTGGGAGGCCATAAACCATAGGTTCTAGCATTCTAGCAGTACGGAGCCTTTCTGCTCAAGTAAGGGAAGCGAACAATGAGCAAACGCTTAAATGATTCGGGCGGGGGGGGGGGGGACATCTCGTGCCTTTAGGACTGTAGGGCTGTGCACGATTGAAACCGACGATCTGCTTTCGCAACATTTCCCTAACAACAAAGTCCGCTCCGGAAACTGACAACCATCCAGCCTGCGAACTCTGAACTCCGCAAAGGTATACAAAACTGCCTCTGAAACACCTACAGGGAACTCCAGAAAGTTGGAATATGGTTTCATGGTAGGATCCACTATAATTTACCTTAAAGGGGATACGATAATTATATTCCAACTTTGCAAGCTGCGTGCACCGCAAACCTTCACCACTTTCAGACTTTCAAACCTCCCAGATCCTTTGCATGACCCCTGACTTGGAGGGTCGGGGGACTTAGTAAGTAGTTATTGTAGAGACTTACAAGTACCATAACCCCAGTTAAGATGCCTTTTGGGGTACTTACAAGTTAAGTCTACGTATTGCCTATTTATGAAGACTCCCGACCCTCCAAGCAAGCGGCTCGGGGATTCGAACTGTACGGTTTGAGGGTTCGGACACTGGGGCTTTAGGCTGATAAGTTCCTTTTAAGATCTTAGAAGGCTTTCAGAAGACTCATCGAGCTATCAATCCGAGCCCAGGGCATTCAATCTCTGTCTCTTGCTTAGGATTTGGGATTCAGGTTAAGGGTTCGGACTACATAGAGTTTTCAGGGGCTATGTAAACTACTTCACAAAATGCGAAGTTCTCAGCCCAAATCCTGCTTCCCTAACTCCCTCCAAACCTTGCCTCCCTAGACCTGACACTCAAATCCACAAGCTGGCTCCTGTTGAACCAATCGAACTGATCAAAGGGCTCGAGCTTCAGAAAACGGGCCAAGGAGAAGAGGTCCTCAGCCAGCCAGGTGAGATGGGATGGGCTTTTTAGTTGAAAGTTTAGGGCCTGAGGGGCTTCGACTGCAAGATTGAGGGTCGAGGCTTACGGTGGAACAAACATTCGTATGTGCTCTGAAGCATCTTCAACCCACGGATTCCACCCTGTTACGCTGGAGTTCAAAGTTTTAGTGCAGGGCTTGCTGCTACAGCACCATATTCTCTGATGCAACAAGGAGTCTATCGACTTATGTAAAGCCAAAGGGAGAACAGAAGGATAACACACATCCATGAACACGCCCCGACTCAAAGGGAAAACCCGGGTACAAAGCGTATTCAAACAAACTGGTCTCGAACTGAACAATGAACTGACTGCATTCCCCTGGCCCCGACATGTAAACGCGAAACACAGGCATTGCGGAGCCTCCACGGAGTTCTGGATGGGCGTCCCGGTAAGGCACCACTTGCATTCAGCAGTGATGAGCTGGAACACCTGAGGTTGAGGGCATAGTTCAGGGGCTTAGGGTTCAGGCCTCAAGCAGTCGTGCGTTTGTGGGTTTGGGTTCCGGTGCTTTTGGGTGGTTTGCCTTCCATCTTGCTAGGACCGACAAGCCCGGGTTGCAGGGTTAAGTCAGAGAGCACGGCTGAAAGAAGTGTGAAGGTCATCAGTCCACACGAAAGCAAGCACATCAATGCTATACAAGAGTGCAGCTTTGGGTTTAGCTTTGAAGTTTTTGGAGAGGGCTGAGGGTCGAAGCTTCACAAGCGAGGGCGGAGTTCGTGGTTTCTGGGCTTTGGGGTTCTGGATTCCGTCTTTTCGGTTCATGGGGATCTCGGGAGCACTCCGGTCCGAGCCATGAACCTTTGAAGCCAACTGGCCAGCAGACTTAAACTGTGACAACTAACAAGATATTGTGATATAGTTTATAATACTACTAACAAGATATTATGATATAGTTTATAACACTACTAACAAGATATTATGATATAGTTTATAGTACTACTAGAACCCATGGCCAGTCAAGGTATATGGATTTGGGCCTAGGCTCAGGTGTTTATAGGGGTTCCGGAAGCCTGAAGCACCTCCCCTCAACTTCCAACCTCCTGGGAACCGCACCCCTCAAGGGCTTATACGGGACTTTCCGCAAATAGGGGACCCTGATATAGTACCCTAAGTAGTAGGATCCTTATTATAAGGACCCCAAAATAAGGTACCCCTAATTTTCGGAAACTCCCATATCTAAGTGCGGGTAGGCTGCAGCCTGCGCCGTCGCTTGCCGATGGCCCTTGATCACCTGTTGCAGACTGGCAAAACCTTGCAGTATCCAAATATATCTAAGAGACTCGAAAAAGGCTTAGGAGCACTAGCCATCGACAGACCATAGCTTAAGATGCTTACTGACAAACAACGGTCCTATGCAGCTCATCAGCTGAAGGTTCCCAGCTCTGGGGTGTATACTCTGCAACTTACGATTGTTCCTTAAGGGCTGAAGCCTAAACTGGTGTCCAGTTCAGGCATCTTTTTAAGCGACTTAGCCTAGTCAGCGGCACACACTGTGGGGAGATAGGATCTTGGCAGCAGTCTTGGTGCACATCCGTCATGGTGTTCCTGGCCCCTCTCCTCGCGTCCTGTTCGCCTGGCTCTGCAGACTGGACTACGGTTGATGATAAAAATCCTGCATGACCTTAAGGACCCTATATGGGAATTATTGTATATTCCTTATTCCCTAAGCTGTAAACCCCAAGCCCCTAAGACTAAACCGAGCCCACACCCCTGGGCCCCAAAATTGTAGGCCCTGAACTTCCACATCTGCAGTTCCAGCTTGCATAGCTGTGGTGGGCGAGGGTTACAAAGCTCGGGGGTTTAAGCTCAACTCGCAAAACCCTACATCCCGTTCACCCGGCCCAAAACTCACAACAGGAACAGCCTGAAGTGGTGCGGCTCAACATGCATGACCCAGTGTTTGAATATGCTGCCTGGCCACGTGAGCCTCATCGAGAACAGCCCGCTGCCAAGCAACGGAGCCCAGGCCCTAAAGCTATGCTTGAAGCTGTTGCACAGTGTACATCTTTAGGTGATCCGGGGGCTAACTTCCTATTCTCGACCACGTGATCCCCTGCTCAGTTGACCAGGTTAGGGTTAGTATCCTGCAGGACAACAAGGACACCGACAAACAGAAACGAAACTACAACCGGAAGTGCGCAGGTTCGAAAGCCCATCGCGAGAATCCGAAAGAATCTGAGGGCTGGAGACAATCGGGGATCCTTCTTTTCAGAGCCCATGTGCTGAGTTCCTTGCTATGCCGACCCTCCCGTTTGAAAGGAATTTCGAACTATCTAAAGGAAGGACATTCCACTGATCTTCATATATTCATGCTTCAGGAATGAAGCCTTGTCGGCACGAGGAGCCTGGATGGATGAAAGAGCTCAAACGACAAAGATGTGGTAACTGCGTACTTACGTCTACAACTTTCCAAATAAGATGTAATTAGTAGAGCAGAACATCAGAGACTACCACTTCAAGGGCATGCTGCAATCTACGGTGACATGTGGCTGAGTGCAACAACTGATACGTCACTCCCCTCGACGCGGAAAGTCTGCACAGGGGTTTCGGATGGCTTCGTGCTTCAGGGTTTTACGGCTTAGGCTTTGCAGCCGTCTTCCATTATCAGCGCAGTGATGGGGCCAACCCCCGTTGCACCAGAATCCTGACCCCCTCTCCAAATCAGGCCTGGCTCTTGTCCCTGGCTTCCGCCCGAAGAACATCATAGGTAGTCCTGGCTGGGAATGTGGAAGAACTCGGTGTTGTTGCACGAGATCCTACGTTCAAGCACGGGTGTGAGGTGAGTGCTTATTCAACAGGTTGCGCACATCATGACTACACGAACCTCAGTGACGTCCTCCGTCTGTAAGATTTCGGGCGCTAGCGACGGCGTTAGACCGTCAGGGTTCAGCTTCTCAGCGTCCGGCAGCAGACATGAAGCTGTGATGCAGCAAAGGCTCAATGTCACGTCATGCAGACCAAAAGTCTTCGGGTGGCGATCGCGGTCTGGACCGTGATACGTCCTCGCACACGTGGCATTTAAAACAATATGAGACCACATAAACCTGCAAGAACCCGCTAGAAAGGTGGATTCTGAAACCTAGCCCATGGGGCAAGGGCAGACATGGTGGAGGACGACGGCGATAAACTTACGTGGTTTACGTGATGCATCTTGTTCCTGCCTGTGCGTGATTTCCACATCTTCGGAACCAATTCGGAATCTTAACTCCCAGACTCTACAATACAAGTCCCAAAACACCAAACGCGTAAGTTTTATTAATCTGCTACAATACAAATCTTAGGCCTTAGGCCCCAATCCCTCCGCGGCGCCGACGAGTCCTGACTCGAAGGCTTGGCGCATGCAACTTCAGCTGCTCCGACCAGTTGTAGAGCACCGACAGCGGGCAAACAACAAGGTTTTTGCCTGAATCGCAGCAAGATACCCAGAGGCCCGATAGTAGTTCCTTTTTGGGATTACCTCGCAGAATAAAATATGAACCCCAAAAAGGAACTACTTCGGGGCCTTAGGATAGAGCCAGAGAAGGGAGAGAAGGGCGAGGGGCAGGAGGGGGTCGCAAGCAGACGGAAAGCAGAAAAAGGGATTCAACAGCTGGGCCGCCCCTAAGGCAGTCATCAAGGTGCTTTCCACTTATTTCGTAGTTGGACGTCGTCCGAAAGAACATGCACATTTTTTGCACGACATCTCAAGCAAAGCTTGCAGCATGCCCAAATTAATTAAGACAAAACTCCAAGGCTCTCGCCCTGGAAACAAGCTCGAAAGTAGAGCGCAAATACACGCACACCCTGCCACCGAAACCCCGTTTCAACCGGCATCCACGTCAGGGCTCTTTCAACAAATGGGAATTTCCGAAAACAGGGGACCCGAATATCGTGCCCTAAATAGTAGGATCCTTATTATAACGACCCCAAAATAACAATCAAGGTACCCCTAATTTTCGGAAACTCCCAAATGGCTCTGACGGTGTCTTCCCCGGCCTGGTGACTTCCCGGCTGCTGCACGAGACTCCCGCTGTGGGCTGGCAAGGATCAAGGCAATGGTCGTGATCGTCCTCCGCTCTTCAGCAAAATGGGGTCTGCCGGGCCTGTGGTTGCAGCATTGGTTTCATGACTTTCTTGTTGGTACATGGTTCTGGTGGCTGCGGGCTTTGGGGTTGGTTGTTGTGGTGCCGGGTGCCGCTTCTCGTTTCTGCGGCTGCAGCTGTTTGCTGTTGCTGTTGCCGTTGTGTTGGCTTTCTTGTTGTTGCTGCTGAAGGGGACCTCGGCTCACGGTGGAATATAACGGCCTTAAGACTTAGAACAGGGTTTTGGGAGGGTATACTATGCTATAATTTAAGATAAGGAACCCCCCAAAAATAGTATAGGTAAATATTGAGGCCTCTATAGTAGGGGTTCAGGTTTGGGTTTAGCCTTCGAACCGAACCTTTCGGGCGTGGTTTGAGTTCAGCAGAGCCAACAAAGTGTCACCGCTCACGAGTAATGTAGGGGCCTTAATAATTAGAATAGGCCTTGGGGCTCCTCTATAGTATTAGGAACCCGAAGGAATAAATTTGGCAACTAATTATTCTGGCCTCTGTAATACGGCTTGGGGTTTGCAGCCCAGGGTTGAGGTTGCCAAGTCTCCTCAGAGTATCCCCTGGCCCACCTGCATCTGAGGCACTTTGCAAGAAAACTGCATTCTTGTCGTGGCTCTTAATTTGATGTTGCCATGAAATGGAAATAGTTTGCTTACTCTGTCTATATATATATATATATATATTTGTACGGAAAGAGAGAGAGAGAGAGAGAGAGAGAGAGAGAGAGAGAGAGAGATGTTGATGCAGCAGAGTCGCTTGCCGAGGCCCATGTCGTCGGCAAGGATGCCGCCTCGCGGCAACCGCGGCGGCTTCTTAAATGCCGAGTTCGTCGCCAGGTTCTTGTACACCTCAGAACTCTTTGGCTTTCCGCTTCGAGGTTCAAGCTTTTGGGCATGAGGTTTCAGCAAGGGGGGCCTAATATATAGGGTTTTGGGGCCCACTTTACTATAACTATAATGAGGAACCCCCAAACTATTATAGATAATCTGTTTAAGGCCCCTATCTTAATTCAGGCCTAAGGTCTGTGTTGAAGCCTGGGACCAGCCAAGTTTTGAGCCTAGAGCCATGGATTTGGAAACTTCGGGCTTGTTGTCGGCAGAGGCTCGGCAGAGCGCTGGGAGGCGTTTAAGGGACATGCTGTGAAGTCTTTTCTGCATTAAAGCTATCATAAGCTCCAAGAAACTCCAGAAATCCTCCTGATTCAGGATCTCTAGTGTCGAGTCTAGGATCCCGTAGCGTAGGGAAGCCGAAACGCAAACTCTTCTGGGACGACTGGGACACACACAGACGAGGAGAGCCCGGGATGAACCCACATCGTTAGACCTGGAGCCTAAACTCCGAAACTCAAATCCTAAGTCCATAATTACGACTCACTCCGTAGGTTCTTACCCAAGAACCCTTTCAAACATAAAAAGGCTCCAACTCCTACACCTCAGAGTCGGATCCGGATGCACACATGTGCCATACTAGTTTCCGCAAGTAGCTTTGCAAGTTCTTGTGACTAGGAATTAAAACCCAGGCTGTGTTATCTTTTCTTGTGTGTGGGATTGGGGCTTTAGGGCATCTAGGGCTTTCAATTTCGAAAGTTTTTTTAATTCACAAGGTTTTCCTCGAGCTCTTGAAGTGCCAACCGTGACTGGTCGTCGACAGGCGAAACCAATCAGCACTGCACAGCTTTCATCAGACTCTTGAAAGGCAAGCGTCAATCCCGGAAGGAGACACTTCCTGCATGGCCGTTTGGAACTCCGCGGCGATACCGGAGGTCATGGCTTAGGGCTTTGTAGCTTGCGTGCAGGATTTAGCTGGGGAGCTTGGGCATTTGGTTTGGGTCAATGTTAAGGATACCGGCTGAGTGACTCAAGGCGATTCCTTCCAGTGGCGGCTACAGAGGGTTGGATGTTGCTGGGAGCGAAGTACCGTCCAGGCTTCAGCATCTCACATACGGGCCTGACAACTTTGTAGTCGCAACCCCACCATAGTATAGGTAATTATTTGGGCTCCTATAGTACCCCAAACCTCAGTCTCGACATTTCTGGCCCCTACAGTCTTGTGTCCGTAGGTCCGACATCCGAAGACCTCGGCATGGAGTGTTCGAATCCATGTTGAGCTGTTGCGGGGATTCCTAACGAAAGGGGAGGTCCCAGGTCTTTCTCAGAATCAGGATGCCTAAGGCAGCTTCAAAGTCATAAGCATGTAGTGAATGTAGTGTGTCGGAGCGTCGATTTCGGGCCGGTGTTCGTCTCAAATTCCTCGAACTTAGGCACAGTGACCCGTCCTTCGTCCAAAAGAAAACCTGCTGCAACGGGGCTGCGGCAGATCTCGCGGCCTCCACACATTCTGAAGTTGCGATCGAAGGACTTTCAAGTTTTTCTTGTTTCCTGCACGCCTTTTAAGGTCCTCTCTGCAGAAGCCTGAAAGCCCACCTCGGGCGGGCTGCAGGTTTAATGCTTTTTGTGGAGAGCTTCGGGTTTGGGGCACGATGCCCCTTCCCTTAACCCTAAAACCGTGGCTCAGGAGGAGGAGCTCGGACTTCCAGCTCAAGAGGTTTGGCGTTTCCGCTTCGGGCCTGCGCTCATTTCTGAACTCGCGCGCGCGTGGAAACGGCCTAGTTCCTGAGGACTAACTCAAACAAGGATATAAGAAGAAGTGGGGATAGGATAATAAGCCCTTCTTGGGATGTACTTATATGGATCAGTCTCTCCCCAAAGTAGTACGGCACCCATTTGAAAGGATCCAAAGGAAAGAACTGCCCATGTAGCTCCATGTACAGCCAACTGTGACAGGCTGAGTGTCCTGGGGCGGCTTCTCTTTATCCTGAGAAATGGTCGCATCATAAATGTTGTTCGGTTTAGCGTTCAGAGTTTCGGGTTTTTTCAATGGGCCCTTTCTCCTGGGTTTCGGGTTTAGGTGTTCAGGGTTTACGCTCCCGCAACTCGGACGTTTAGGGTTTAGGGGTTTAGGGGTTTTAGGGTTTAGAGTTTGGGGTTTCCCCAACCCTGAACCCCCTAAAACCCGACGGTCTGGGGAAGACCACAGGCCTTCGTACGCCCCCGGGGGGCCGATGAAGCCGCCGAGGTCCCCTCGCTTTCAGAAGCCGCCTCCGGTCGTCGCGAGGAAGTGCTAGGGTTAGGGTTGCTCTCTGGCTGCCCGTCTGCTGTCGCGTCATTGAGCACTCGCACCATACTCCAACCTTCCCACTGCTTACCACGCGATCTAGCTGCCTATCAATCTGGCGTGTTCCCCTCCTGCTTTCTGCATGGGCACATGCCCAAACGACTGCAACGAGGAACTGGACAGTACACCACTGATTGATAAGCCGCATCGCTCGATGAGCGTTCCGATTGGAATCTTAATAGTCTCTTGTGTTTTATATGAACAAAAATAAAAAAATCGTAAGGAGACTATAGTTTAAGGCCTCATAAGGGTGGGATCACGACTGTCACCGGTGTAGAGCGGAGGGCTCCTCCGATCTTCTTCGGGAAGACGAGCTTGGCGTTTAAGACCCGTCAGAACCGGCTTCTGCCCTTAGCTTAACTCCCAGTTCGCATATTCCGAAACTACGGCGGCGGACCTTGCTGCAATATAGCGGCCTTAGCACTGCCTTAGTACTTACATTTGAAAGGGCTGTAGTCGTAATCGCGAACGCATAGGACGACTGCTTAGCAGGCATCATAGCTCGTCTAGTTTTCAGTTTCGCGCTAGAGCTGCTAGGGTGCTCTCTGGAACCCGAGGGTTTCTACTCTATAACCTACACCTGAAACCCAATAATAAACATCGAAATCCCTTACAAATATTATACCAATAGTGGTCTAGCATCAAAAACAAGGGCAAGGGTCCCTGACCCTTATATACCCTTATTACGACGATAGACCACGATTGGTATACTAATGTGTCGATCGTCTTCAGGAAGCCTCGGCCAACTTCTCCTCGACTGTCAGGATGCGCTCCTGCCTGAGCGTCGGCACTTGCAACTGCCAACACTCCATGTAAGGGCATATACATGTACATATGTGTATCTATATATATGTATATACATGTGTGTATATATATATATATATATGATATATGATATATGAATAGAAAACCATCATATTTTCTACATAATATATATATATATATATATATATATATGTATATAAACATATATATATATATATATATATGTATGTATATATATATATATATATATATAAGTTTATATAAGTTAGAGTTCGGTAGGGTCCCCGTCACATGCAGACGAGTTCACAAGTATCCGGTCTCACTTGTGATGATACCGGCGTTGAGCAATATCGCAAATCGGGTTCGTTATTCCAGTAAACGATCAAACTCTGAAGAGCAGGAAACCCCCTAGGGGTAAAATCATTTGTGGCTCCTTATGTCTTGGCCCTGCGGGTGGTCCCGGTTGGGGGTTCAAGGCCAGGGAACTCGGCCGAACATGGAGCCGACTTGTACTTAGGAGCCTTAATAATTAGAATAATTAGGGCTTTGGGGTCATTTTAGGCTGGATTACAGTAAGGAACCCTAACATAGTATTGGTATGTATTGGTAAACATAGAGGCCCCTCTAGTAGGTTGACGGTAAGTCGGGCTGTAAGCACCTTTCTCGGAGCATCTACCTCGAGGCGAGCCATTCTCCAAAACTGCCTTCGTTGTCACCGTGCCTAAGTGCATCCACGGAGTGTACAAGGCGTCTGTTAAGTGTAGGACTTCCCAGAGCTGGTGCAGATTCCTGTGCTGCTGCAGCAGGCTTTCACAAGGGGGTTTGGAGGACTGGCGGAGGATTTCGGTGAAAAGTTTGCGCTGCGTACTTGTGGGGCAACATGCTGTACTGATATCACTCATTGTTGAAGGTCCTACATTTGGCTTCTTTGCAGTCCTGAAGGCATTTGGTTGGAAGCTAGACGCGTAGTTCCGAATGGACCGAGACTAACAAGAAACGTAGCAAGTCAAGGCTTACAAAGATTAAGCCGACCCGGGTATACTGCCAGAGCATGCATGACCGTGTGCCATATCTTCACAGCTTAACACTCACCTTGAGCTCCACTGTGGCAAGAAAGTATCCTGCAGTACTCCGAATATGCTACACTACGGAAGATTCGCTACACTTTATACAACGGATCGAGCTATCCATGCACAGCATTCGTAACAGAAATTTCGCCTGCTGCGCTGAACCCTTTACCAAGCTGCTGCAGCATCCAGTGCAGCGCCTTCCTAGGTGCAGTTCTGCTGGGTCCAGCACTGGGCACTTGATAGAATAGGGCTTTTGGGGTATATTTTGCCATGATTATAACAAGGAACCCCCAAAATAGTTTTGGTATAGTCATTTTTGGGTCTCGGATCGTTGAACTTCCCATGTTGCGACATCTGGGGCCGCATGGCCGGCTGAATGTTTTCAGGATGACAGTGTCGACGGGGGCTTTGGTCCATATGGAAACATCAAGAAGCTTCAGAGATTCCACCGGGCCGGCATGCAGCATCGCGCAAGCTGCTTGAAACTGAAACCAGAAACTAGCATAAACCCTTAGCCCTCTTCTGCACACTAGTGGTTGCCGAGTCTTCAACCCGGCGCCTTTTCAGGTTTCCCACGCTCTGACCGTACTTGTCTTGGGCACTGATAGCATTGCATCTATGGCTATGGCGACGAGGTTGACGACGATTGCCACCACCAAGACCACAGCTACTCCTACCTCTACACCCCGGCACCAGCAAGAAGAACAATACTTGTACGATGGTGATAATCATAACGAAGACGAAGACAATTTGATGGCACAGAGATCATGAAGGCATGCTATACTATACCGACAATAGCGGCTCAGGAATTCGTCTGACAAGGATGTTTAAGTTTAAGGTTCATTGTTCAGTTCCTTAGTTCCTCAAACCTTTTCTCCCTAAACCTGACTCCAATCACAGGTGGACCAGGCTCTAAATCCCAAAGACCCAAAGACTCCCTAGAGCCCTAAAACCTAAAACCCTAGAGGCCCAAAGACCCATGGATCTCCAAGCTATACCCCCTTAGAACCACAGTAAAAAGCATATGTTCAATATTCTCTTGGGCTTTAGATGAACAAAATAAGTACAAAAATAATTCCGAAGGAGACTATAGCAAGGCTCAGCTGGTGAGGATAGAGGCCAGTGATGAGTTCCGTCGGCTGCGAGGCTTCGGGTGCTGCTTCGTAGCCTCGTCAGCAGCGTCTACTTGCTGGCTCAAGGGGTTTAGGGTTTAGGGTTCAGGGTTTAAGGTTTATTGTAATGATTAGAGTAGGATTTTGTGGGTAGATGATAGTAGAACTTCATCATGGAGACGACATCAAGGGTAATACACATAATACACAGACCGTTGCTAATGATGGGAACAGGTTTTGTGGGTAAAGTTTCATAGAAGCATATGGAGACTACATGCTGATGAAGGCCCCAATTTCTCAGACCTCGGTTCACTTCGTAGTTCATGGCGGGTGGCTATTCAAGAGCTGCTTACAGGTGCTTTCGCTCTGGTTCGTCGCTACCACAATGCTCGCAGCTTCTGCTTCGGCGTCGCAATATCTTCCGAGCCCTGAAGTGACTCTGTCTTAAGCTAGGGGGTCGGCTTTCTGGGTGCAGCAACTTCTTGGCGCAGTACTTTGGGCTCGCCATTTGGACTTTCGGACTTCGTTGTGGGCAGGGTCGTAGGGTTGATGATATAAATCCTGCATTACCTTAAGGACCCTAAACCATGGGAATTATGGTATATTCCTTATTATGGGTAATGCAGGATTTATATCATCAACCGTAGGGGCTGTTGCTAGGAGGCTTTCTCATGCTTTTCAAGCTTTTGCAATCACAGGCACAAGGATCCAAGCAGAGTCGCCTCATAATTGATACGATGTTTTTCAACATACGTAGCAGGGGAGCCAGCGATGACAAGCCCCGGCGAACTTTCGGCTTTAGGGGTACTGTTTGGGGGCTTGGGGCTTACGATTTCAACATTTCGTGTTGATTTGGTGGTCATGCTTGACAGGACGGTGCAGAGAGGATTGTCTATGAGGACGGTCCTTATGTTTACTCGGAAACAAGCCTCTGGCATAGACCGTAAACGGCTAAATTGCTCCCTCCGAGAAACTTGGAGCTCAGCAGGGGTCTCCGAATAAAGCTATCCCCCATGACCCTAAAACACCCTCAACCTTTAGGCTTCCTTACTCTACTTTCCGTAACTAAGCCCTCGAATGGTAACATTTGCCCAAAAAACAACGTCCAACCCGGAGCCGCACACACAGGACCGGGGTTCGCGACCAAAATACAGATAGTGGCTGAAACAAATAGAAGAGGACAATAAGGTGAGTAACATTTCCAAATGTGAGTGAATATTGAGCCGCAGTGCCCTGCAGACGCTGCAAAAAGAACAAACCGAAAGACCCCCTCAACAACAGCAGTTTGAGTTTCAGAAAAAAACAGACACCCAAATTAATGCTACATGTTAGAGCATTGCATGTTCGTTAAGTTGGTCGGGTTTAGGGAAATCTCAGCTTGCCTCTGAAAAGCATCAAAAAGGTGGGATGAAGGGGATCACCCCACCTACCGTCATCCCCAACCCCCGGCTTCATCCCACCCTTGAAGCCTCGTGGATCGCGGAAGATCCCTTCCAGCTCTCGTTCGATGATGTCCCCCATGCCTACACTCACATGGGTTGAGGGTTAGGGGTTTATGGCCAAGTTTAAGGTTAGGGTTCTTGGGTGGTTCACCAAATTAGGGTCGTTTTGAGGGTTCTTTCTTATAAGACTGCCGTACGATTTCGGGGACCTAGAAAGAAACATTTATTGAGAGAGCTGCCCTCATACCCCGCTGCCAAAGGCGGCAAATGTTCTGGGTTTCTAGCACGCGGGGTCTTTGGGTTTTGGGGTTGTGTGGCTCTTTGGGTGAAGGAATGGGAGCAGAGTATCCGGGCTAAGCCGCCGTACCTCATGCAAGGCTGATGCAAGGTTCGAGCGACGTCGGGGTATTTTTAGTCTCATGGCCTTGAGATTGAAGATTGAGCTGAACAGGGCAGGCACCTGCACGCCCTGAGCTCCAAACCCAACCCTTATTGAACCTTTTCACGCCCCGAGAAAAGCATACACACACAAGCACACAAGAATTCACTTCTGCCCCCACTCTGTAATAGTCTGCGTTAGGGGTCGTACTAGCGGCTACATATGAGTATGCGACGGATTTCTCCAACCGGCACAGAATGGGGGCAGAGTTCAAGCACTAATTTTAAAACTGTAAATCCCCCCACAGAAGAGCCAAGTGACTGGGCCCTGTCGGCTTGGGGACTTTGAGCGCCTTGCCACCGGCGATGCTGCGCCACATCTCCGGCGTCATGTCAGCGACCTCGTGGGCAGAGTTGTGTTTTGTTTCAGGAGTTTGGGGTTTAGGGTTTGTGTTTCGGGATTTGAGGCTGGCTGATTGAAGCCGTGGAGCCGGAAACTGTTTATTTAGGGCTTAGATCCTGGGATTCGTTTGTCAATTTTTGCAAACCTACTATCTTTAAACATTGGGGGCTGTTGCATCGGAGTGCACAGGATGCTCAGCATGGTGGAGCTCAGGGGTCAAAAGCAGCTAAGTAGCCGCTACGTAGCCAACACAAACGCACTCGCCCTGGCTAGCTATGTGGCCTGCCGCACTACAACGACAACAGCAACAGCGACAGTATCGACAGCAGCCAGGAACGACAGTTACCTAAACTCTGCACCCCTACCCTAAACCCTAAACCCCTGCCCAAACCAACAGCACCACCAACACAAACAAACGACTAAGTAATCCTTTTGCAGACAGGGCTCGGGCGTGCCATCCTCCTGTGGCGAGCTCACCACCTGAAGAAACTTGGGGGGACGTTCTGAGAGTTTTGAGTTCAGCGGTTTAGGGTTTGGGGGCTTAGGGGTTGAGGTAGGGTTTCGGAGCTCACAAGGGTGTATATAGGCTTTGTTTTAAGTTGGGTTGACGTTCCTTTGTCTGTCTGCCCGCGCGGCTGCCAACAAAATGACGAACCGTCGGTGTAGGGTTTAAGGGGTTAGAGGTGTTAGGTAGCTTACTATTGACTTGAAGGATGTCGACCGTTTGTGCTTGGGGTTGACAGTCACAGAAGCAACCAAAGGATGAACAACCACGGAACGACGTCTCCGTTTGTACATTGTACGCCAAAGGTCAGTCTGCAATGTGTCTGCTGTCCAAGGCCGCCGAGCGGGCCACAGAGATTCACTAGGTTGGGATCGCCATCTACAGCTTGAAGACAGGCCCCAAATCCGAAACCCTAGTTCAACCTCAGGCCCTAGGCGCGCAACCGCAAATATGAAACGTCAGTTCAAAGTCAAACATGAAAATCTGAAACCGCAGTTCTGAAACCTTAACATCGCATGGTATTTCTGTGGGACCAGCCTCCACAGAACCACGTGCGGCCGCACAGTATCTGAGTGTAGTGCTCAGGCTAGTGGGTTTCGTCGCTCACTCTCGCGCAAGGCCGGCAAGGCTTCTGGCACTTAGATTTGAGCGTCTGGGGGCTTTGTCGGGGTTCACAATGGAGACCACAGGTAGTTATAGGATGGGTATTAGTACAGGTCGTGTGTAATCGGGATGCCGACAGACATGCACGTAGCTACTTGGACATTCACCCTCCAAATGAACTTGCATGAATCTTCCAGGAAAGCTTCTGAGGAGTTTATAGGCCCTTGTGCCTTCTCGGCGGCGTTTGCAATGGCCAAGCTATCCGTTCAATAAACTCGAAAATTTTCAGCGTGTTAAATCATGCTTACACTCCAACCCCAATGCCCGAGAACCCAAAGCAACACGCTAAACCCTAAGCTGAGAATCCAAAAGCGTTAGCCCCGTAAATCTAAACCTTGAGGCTATAAGGCCCTACCTCCCCAGAACCTTGCATGCCGCCCCAGCCACGTACGACGCAGGCGCTCCCCTAGATCTCGAAGCTGTGGGGCCAAGCGCCCGCTCCTCGTCTGCCATTGGGGCTGTGGTATTACTTAACCTTGGTTAGTAGGGAATGGAGGAATGGGGTACAATCATAATTATAACTACTATTACTACGATTCTTCCACTCCCTACTAGCTATAAAGGCTTGAAGAGGTTCAGAGAAAGCTTCGGGATTTGGGGTTGCAGATCCAGTTCAGAGTGCAGGGCTGCAGCGTTTATGCTGCACTGCCAAGACAAGACCTATTTCTTCGGGGAGCATTCAAGAACACCTAAGGAAAATCTAGACCCCTGACAACCTCTTTGCCGAGAGACGGATCTTGGCCGAAAACCTGCAGTCTCATTGGAATCGAGAACCTCGCCAGAGGGACTCGTCAGCTCTTGTTATGACAGGCCCTTTTCCGGTCGTTTGGCCGAGACATCGCAAGCTTCTGCGAAGCGCGCTTCGTGGCCCATAATCAAGGTTTCGCACTTGCAAAATATTGCAAACACAGAGTTCGGGGTGTTGGGGCATATTCTATATATATATATATATATGTAACTGCCAGAATTAGGATACGAAGCACTAAGGCATAGTATTTCTCATCATTCACGCTCGGAGATCCGCAGCCGTCATGACAACTATTATGGATCCGCGAAGTGAGCGCTTAGTATAGGGGCCTTCATAATTAGAATAGGGTTTTGGGGCCCGTTATACGATAATTACAATAAAGAACACCCAAAATGGGACAGGTAATCAATTCTTTAGGCCCCTCTACTAAACGAACCCGACCAATCCAGGCTTCTATTTACATTTTGCCCGGGGTGCACGTTGCCGGAGCCACGCGGAATGGATCCCTCGACCCGAAGCTCCTGTCCTTCACCAGGAAGAGCTTACTTGGAGGATCATGGGACTTAGTAAGTAGGGTTATAAGTACCCTAATTGGGGTTATAAGTAAGTATAAGTATAGTTGCCCTAATTATAACCCTAGTTACCAAGTCCCATGACCCTTTAAGTAGGGACCGGGCTTTAGGGTTTAGGCTTTTTGGGGTTTTGGAGTTCAGAGGTTATAGGGTTTAGGGATTGGGGTTTCGGCACTCGGACAGTCCTGGCGAGGCATGTGTCCATAGGTCGGATGGCTACAGATGGAAGGACGGGATTGGGGTCTCGCTTCAGGTTTTGGCTTTTGTAACGTTCCCTTTCCGTCTCGCAAAGATTCGGGAATCAGAGTCTCCTCCGAGCTTGGGTTTAGAGTTTGCCGCCAAACAATGTTGAGAAGGTGAAAGTATCTTGCGACAAAGTCGTGTCGAGTGCATCGCATGGCGGCGATCAGCTGTCAAGCCCTGTTTGTAAAGTGTTTCGCCTTTTCCCTCCATCCCACATCGGAAGCCGCCCAAATCTGTTTCTTTCAGGGTTTATACAGTCCCGAAACCTTAAACTTTAGACTTCTATAAATCCTAAACCCATCCCGAAACCCCAGACCCGGAGGCCCCCCCAAAAGCTCTACAGGAAGCCTCCGGGGTCACAGAGCACGATGCCCAGAATCCTGGGGCCTTTAGGGCTCAGAGCCCAGGGCCTTTGGGGATTTTTTTTTTTAGACTGCCCTTTTCTCCCTTTTTTGTTGGTTTAGGGTTTAGGGTTTAGGGATTTTGGGGTTTAAGGTTCAGGGTTTAGAGTTTGGGATTCATAGGGTCCAAGGATTTCATTGAAGGTCTAGGGATTCGGGGCTTAAGATCTCTAGGGCTAGCACTTAGGATCCTGAGAAGTTCAGGAAAGTTCAGGAAATATATATATATATATATATAGAGAGAGAGAGAGAGAGAGAGAGAGAGAGAGAGAGAGAGCGAGAGAGAGAGAGCGAGAGAGAGAGAGAGAGGGTCAGGAATTCCGACCATCAAAGACAAGCGCCAAGGCCCTTTTGGCGCCTTCGCCTCCCTGAAGAGCAGATAGCCGGTCCATGACGGGGGCAAGGGCCTGAAGATGAGGCTATGGGGTTTACTTAGGGTTTAGAGTTCAGGGTTTTGGGGATTAGGGCTTATTTATTTTGGGTTCAGGGTTTCATTAGGGTTCAGAGTAGGCACACTAGCCCGATCTTATCGTAGGTCGTAGGCATGTTGGTGGACCTGAACCAGCAAGAAAGGTTCTATGCGCCGGAGCCGTATAACCTACAGGCTCGAAGAAAGCTCATCAACCGAGAACGAGTCCTGCTAAAACCAAAGGACCACAATGCGGATTCTGGGTAAGGCAGCCTTAACTAAGGATTAATGAAGTCTCTCGCTGAATTTGGATACAAACGTTTCCGAATTATCAGACCTGGGAGTGTCGCGCAAGTTTTTTGGGCTTGTAGGTGTTTGTCTTGGATAATAATAAATTTTCACAAAAGTGCATGAAAGAACACAATCAGAGATGTAAGCTACCACTAATTAGTAACCATTTCATAAAAGGAACTTGCACCTTATCAGCCTATTAGTATAACTGCAATACTACCCCAGGAGTCTCCTGGCATGGCGGAAGGGGTGCGGGCGCAGACACTCAACCCCGAGCCTACGCCACATCCCAGCTTTCGAGAGCATAAAAGTCTCGAACCAAGTCGTATGCGTCGTATGCGCTTGTGCACAGGCCCTGCGTCTTTCGTCGTATAGTTGTGCGTACTCCTCATGTTCTGCCTGCTTCCGAGAAGGGAGCTTTAGATGCCCTGGGGTCCGGGCGGCGGCCATCTCCCGCGGAACATGGCCAATCTGCTCACTGCGCATGTTCAGGACCTGGTCTTGCGGGTCCGTGGGCTTGGTGGGTTAAACAAATTATAGAAGGCATTCATCATCTTGAGTCTCATTTTTAGAACTTCCGAGAAAGATAGTTCAAGTGCGTGCCTGGATGGCATTGCGATCGTAGGGGTTCGTTGGCTGACGTCGCAGAACCACGTTCTCGCGGTCAGACACGACACCATCATAGTGCTGGACACCAACGATCTTGCTCCCCAAGGCCAGGAACCATCTCTCCTTGTGGTGCGAAGCTGGTGAACTGAAATGCTCGCGTTGCCACACGATGTTCCCTCCTCTGGAGTTCGAATTCGATGCCGCCTGGATTGTTGATTCTCTTGCTCCACTACTCCACTGTTCAACTAGAGCTTTTAGGCTAGGGAAGGTCTGCCTGAATGCGTTTCAGAAGGCTGGACAAAAGTCAGTGGTTGGCATGCAAACAGCTGGGGAATGCAGCAGGCGAAGGCCATCCCTAATCCAGAACTGCCCCGGTCTTCCCGAAGCACTGCATACCCCCAGGCACGAGAAGGATCCAACTGAATCCCCGAACCCAGACTGTCCAAAATCCCTTCCATTATGGTTTTTTGATATACCTCAAACTGTATTAGGGATCCCACTATAGTCTAAGATATCTTCCTTAATCAAGGGATTTTGAAAGGAACCCTAATCCCTAAACCCTAAACCCGAAAACCCTAAACCCTAAGACCCCAAAACCCTAAGACCGTTTTTGCATCCAGGCCTCTTGATCTCTTGCCGGGGAACGCTAAGACTCCTAAAACCTAAAGCCCTAAGACCCTAAAACCCTAAGACCCTAAATCCCTAAAACCCTAAAACCCTAAGACCCTTTTTCCACAGGCTTGATTAGTGCTCGCCCGGCCAGGATCCCCAAGCACACCGCACTCGTGGCGAGATGCTCAGGCTAAGTACGGACAATACGCCTAAGACCCTAAAACCTAAAACCCAAGCCCCTAATCCCTAATCCCTAAAACCCTCAACCCCTAAACCCTCGGGGGCTCCTCCGCACCCGAGCTCGGCTCGGGCTCTTCAGCCGCTACCTGCCTGGTCCCAGGGCACTTGGAGGGTCGGGGGACTTAGTAACTGTAAGGGGTTCCTTTAGGGTTCCTTTAAAGGGATCTATAGGGATTCTGTAAGGGTTTAGGGTTTAGGGGGACTTAGTGACTAGATATTTTAGAGACTTATAAGTACCATAACCCCAATTAGGATCCCTTTTAGGGTACTTATAAGTCTACGTATTACCGACTTACTAAGTCCCCCGACCCTCCAAGCAGTCGTTTATCTTTCCCAAAGGGTCCAACTGTTGATGAGATAAATCCTGCATGACCCATAATACGGAATACACCATAATTCCAATAGTTTAGGGTCCTTAAGGTAATGCAGGATTTAAATCATCAGCCGAAGTACCAGTATAGTAGGTACTTAGTAGGTATTTGGGCCCCCAGGTATATACTATGCTAGTACAAGTCTCTTCTGTATGGCTCTTAGTGGGGAATGGGGGGACTGTTTGGGGTTCCCTTGAAGGGATCCTATGAGGGATCCTAGAAAGGGTTCTATAAGGGGTCCTTTGCTGTCTGGTTCTTAGTAGGGAATGGATTATTAGGGGATTATATACGGACTACTATAGGGCTCCATTCCCCCATTCCCTACTAAGAACCAGACAGTCTTATCTTTATGATCGCAGCAGTGGCATCAGCAGTGTAGGAAATTTATTTAGCAGAGATCGGCTAGAGATGAGGATGTTGTCGGTGATGCGGACGACCAAGACGCGGAGTACTGTCAGCGGAACAACTGCAAGCAGAACTACTTCACGTCTGGTCGGTGGGCTGCGGTGGCATGGTGGTTGCTCTGAGCTATGTGTAGTAACAGTTATGGCCGTCGCAGTTATCGGCCACCTCTTTATGTCAGGAGCAGTTGGAAGTTGGAACCGGAGACAGAAACAGTGGCCTTTGAAGAGGCCGGGGTGGCTGATAGGGCTCCAGAGCCGGTACCGACGAGGAGCTCGCACCTGAAAGGGGATCCAAGTCAGGCTTTGGAGCTCATAGTTTCTGTTTTCAATTTGTCTGTTTACGCTCTCACAACTCGGACACAGCCAATTTGTCTGTTTAGGGTTTAGGGTTATGTAACTCTTTTAAGCTATGCACTACCATAGTGTTTGTTTTCAATTCGTCTGTTTAGGGTTTAGGGTTATGCAACTTTTTAAGCTATGCCCTACGACTGGATTTTGAAGTTTGGGCCTCCGCGCTTGGGACAACTACGCGACCGGAATCCTCCAGGCTCGGAGCCCAAGCCCAGCCAAGCACGGGGTTTTGGGGCCCAATATACTATACTTATAAGAAGGAATCCCCAAAATCGTATTGGTAAGTAATAAGGCCCCTATAGTAGGGTTGAGAACTATCTCGCGCATCAAGCAGAAATCATCTTTGAGGAAAGCAACATGCAATCCTGGAGACATGTGAACATTGACCTCCATGCTTAACTACATCCCTGAGGCCCTCCAGGCCCTGTTCAACCCTAAAGGTCTCTTCCTGACTCTCCCTAACCACTATTTCTAACTCTCCAAACCGCCGAAACCATCAAGATCCCTCTCTCTCGCTCTCTCTCTGTCTCTGTCTCTCGCTCTCAAACAATGAACACAAAGAACAAACAGTAACAAAAACACATTACATCCACTAAATCGCTAGAAACTGCCGAAATCCTCGACTTCCCCAGTTCCATCCTCAAAGCCATCGGATCCCTTAACGGTTTAGACTTCAAACTTTAAAATAAGGGTATGCCTTTTTGCAAAGACTTGTATATGCCCGCCTGGATGTCGGAAGTCAAGGCGGCTGCACTCGCGGCAGCAACCATAACTTTCCGAAGTAACTGAAAACCCTGAACCCTAAACCGTAAGCTCTAAACCCTGAACCCTAAACCAACTGAAAACCCTGAACTCCCAAGCCTCCGGATGTTGCAGTCTCCATGTCCTCGGCGAGGCAGCTGGCCGCGGAGCGCTTCCGCCCTGCCAAAGCAAGCTTTTTGTTCCTTTCAGGTTAAATTTACTTTAAGGGTTTCTTTGAAGGGTTTCCTTTCTCAGGTTTTAAATGCGAGCTTCTATATAATTTATGGGTTTTAGCTGATTTGGTTTAGTATTCAGAGCTTTAGGGTGTCGATATTTATGTTGGCGTTTCATTGCAGATGGTTCCCGGCTTTAGGTTTGGGTTTGAGGGCTATTTGAGGGTGTTGAGTTCCGGAATTGGGCTGAGGATTTACGGCCTGTTTGCGGTTTGCGGGGTTGTGCGTTGAGTTTCGCAACGAGGAACAGTTCAAAAGCAACAACATCCATTTGTCTATCTATTTACCTATGTGTATATATATATAGAGAGAGAGATACACATACATATACATACATGTCTGTATTCATGCATGTGTACGTGTATATATATATATATATATATGTATATATACACATATGCAAGTGCTATAATATGTAAGCATACATACACATACATACGCCGACAGGGAGAACGTCTCTCAAACGGTGACCCCATGGGCTGGGCAGCTAGGACTCAGGGTTGAAGGACTCAAATGGTAGTTTCCGAAAATGGGGGCCCTACTATAGCACCCTAAATAGTACGATCCTTATTGTAAGGACCCCAACATTAAGTACCCCGAATTTTCAGCAACTCCCTATGTTTCTCGAAAGTTGTGTTTTTTGTGTGCGGATTTTTGTGCTACATTCCAACTGCGTGACAGCTCTCAAAAAGTTGTTTGTAGATGGCCTAGGAGTCGGCGGGTTCTCAGAATTGGGGTTTATGGGATTTAGGGCCAGGGTTTAGGATTAAGGCCTTAGGGCTTTTGAAAATTTGGGGGCTACGTAGATTGTTCCATGACTGTCTCAAAACATAATGTAACAATGAATGTAAAACCTCGCCAAAACCTTTAATTTAAGTCCCATGAACCCTGAAACCCTTTTTTTGCATCAAGACTAACTTTTCAACCCCAGCCTTAAACCCCTAAACCAGAAACCCCTCAACCGCTAAAGCCAACACCTGAAACACCTCTCTCTCTCTCTCTCTCTCTCTCTCTCTCTCCCTCTCCCAGGCATTCGAAACCTCAAGCCCGGCTGCAGGACCTGAAACACCTAAACCCCTAAACCCAAAACCTGAAACTCCTAAACCCTGAACCTGAAACCCTGAACTATAAACCCTACTACTACTACTACTACTACTACTACTACTACTACTACTACTACTGCTACTGCTACTGCTACTGCTACTGCTACTGCTACTACTACTACTACTACTACTACTACTACTACGTCACCCCCCCTCCACCTCTCTGCCGGCTCGAGGTTCCCGGAGAGCTCTCGGCCACGGACGCGCGGAAGGCCGAGACCTATAGAGCTCCAAGGCTTTTTGAGTTGTTTGAGAGGGATCTCATGAGGATATGTAGTGGTTTGAAACTTTTTAATGGTTTCAGTGGGGTCTCATGAGGGCTTTATAGTGTGTTTAAAGTCTATAAGGGTCTTTTTTTGCCACCCGCCCAGCTGAAACTCGTCGCACCTATAAGGGTCCTAGAAGGGTTAAGAGTTGTTGCAGAACGGTTTGGAATGGTTCTATAGCATCTGGCAGGGTTCGAATGAGGACTACCGAAGGTTCTTTAGACTATGTTACACGGTTTTGCAAGGTCCCATAAGGAATTTGCCGGGTTTCATAGGGATCGGCTTCAAAACAGGGACTATTGCTGACACAGTCAATAGTGCTGTGGCTGATGCTACGCTGCCATTACTATACACTGTACCCGACTACTAGTGTCTCCCCAACTACTTCTCACAAAGCCCCTACATACAACCTGAACCCTCGAAGTCCCAAACATGCCTGAAACCTCTGAGTCCTAAGCATGAGGACACGAGGGGCCCAAACCATCCTCTCATTTATCCCCAAACACCGAGCCAGCGCTCCTCGTCTATATCCCAAACTCCCCTAAGCCCTTCCCTCTTTCGCCCTGAACCCTAAACCCTAAATCCTAAACCCTCTTTGGCCATAAATGCTAAACCCTCTTTGGCCCTAAACCCTAAACCCTAAACGGCCCTTAACCAGAAACAGACTCCGCGGCGCCTCAGACTCCACATCGATAACCGCGGCGGAGGAGGCAAGGCTCCATGACTTCCTTCCAAGCTACGACTCGGGAGTTTCCGAAACAAGGGACCCTAATGCGTTTACAGAAATGAGGCAAGTTCTGCGATTTTGATATGGGAGTTTCCGAAAACAAGGGACCCTAATATAGCACCCTAAATGGTAGGATCCTAGTTATAAGATGTTATAAGGGCCCCAAAATAAGGTACCCAAGCTACGACTCGGGGTTTTGACACTGGGGTTTCATTTAGGGGCCTTGAGAATCGAAACAGACTAGTATGGTAATGATTAAAGCTCCAAGCTACGATTCTTTTGCCAGGACCCCACAAGGGCCCTTTCATGGAGCCCTTATGGGCCCTTAATAGTGGTTATTTGGGGTATGTTAGAGGGTAATTCTTTTCCTTCTCGCATGGCAGGAATCGAAGTCCACAAGCGAGGAAGTTTCGGGAAAGTTTCCAAGTACTATTCAGGGTTTTGACTCTTTTGACACTCGGTACACTTCTCGACTTGTGCGTGTCATGCTTGCGCAGGACCATGCTAAGCTTCTCTGTATCGTTCCAATCTTATCGGAGGATTCCCCTCGTATTCAGGGCTTGGGGTTTGGACTCGTGCACTCGCACGAAGGCACTCTAGACCCGAAGCCAAACGGATCGTACAGTTCTTGATAAAGGATTCTTGGGTTCCCCAGTTGTGACACCCCCACTCCCCTCGACGAGATCCGAAAGGGTGGGAATGAGATGAAGCGTTGAGCTGCATTGAGCTTCTAGGACTCCTGAAGGTGCCTTTAACACGAGGAACGGGGCTTGAGGGTCTACTATACTGCAAGTGCAATTAGCAAGTAGAAGGGGGCAGTACTATATACGGATTTTCCGACCCCTACATTCGAGCTGAGCGCTTAGGATCTAGCTAAGCATGGCGTTATGGGTACACATGTTTGTCTGCTGTGTTACTACTCAAAGTTGACAGAGAGAGGAGAAGTCTACTTACTTAGCTCCCAACCTTCCGACAGCCAAGACAAGCCACCGAGCCATGCTTAAAGGTGTCAAAAAGTTAGTGGAGGTTTAGGGCTCAGGCTGCAGTAAACCAGCCCGTGGAAAAAGTGAGCACCTCGCCCCGGAGCTGGAAGAGGAGGACTGGATGGGCAGCAGCACGCTGGACCTCGGACTGAAAAGCCCTGAAGACCAAAAGCCTTAAGGCTTTGTTGTTAAGGGCCGCTATTTTTCAGTGCAGTTACGACTGTGAACTTCCCTCGTGGGGAAGAGCCTTGGCTGGTGCCCGGTTGGGCATTGGAGGGTCGGTTATTAGGGTTCAGGGGTTCAGTTGTACGAGTGGGGCCGAAGCGCCGCCTTGCAACCTTACTCAACACCTGCACCTCTCCTCCTGCTGGACTAGAGCTCACTTGTCCAGTACCCTTGGGGACTAAAAGCTAACGTTTGGGACTATATGGGGATTACAGTGCCGCAGAAAGGCTAAAGGTTACCTACTCCACTACTACAGAGATTCATAGCTGACTTGCAGCTGCAAGAATAGCGACTACTCGTTCTGACCAGTGGCAGTAGCGAAGGCGCGTAATGGAATGACCACGCCCTCCTCAACTAAGAAACCTCCCTCCGGGGTTGATAATAAATATCCTATATGCGGACCCACAGCTTTAATGACACACTGATACCCTCCCTTGCTTGTCCCCAATATGTGGAGCTCTCTGGGTACATAAACCTCCTTAATGAAAGCATCCAGGGGGCTCCCCGGAAACGGGCTGGTCAGGCGAATGGGGGTCCGGTTGCTTCCCGGTGAGCTTCCTCAAGTGTGGTGGTGCGGGGAGGGCTTCTGGATGTAGTTTTAAATAATTTAATGGTAGTGAATTCATTTCTTGGGGCTGAAGAGTAAGCAGGCGATGCGGGCAAGCCTAGGCGCAGGCTTCGAATCGACCCCAGCGCAAGGTGTCGGATGATGCCGGGTCATTACAGCGCAGAAAATCAAACCCCGCTGCGGCTTGCGAGGTGTCCTCTTCAATGGCCGCGCAGTGGCCCGAACCTGTCTTTGTAGTCTGGACAGTTGCGAGAACCCAAGGTCGCTCCGTGAAGGCGACACTCGAGATCCCGTAACAACAGCTCTTGATAAGAAATTGCGGTCGGTAGCACTGCTGACCATCGACGTAATTCTGTTCGGTATGGCTGCAGTTACAGAACAGAACTGTTCCAGCACAACTATTGCTGCCATTCACTTGGCTCCACGAACCCAAACAAACAACTCTTCAAGAGACCTGTAAATCTCAAGATCCTGAGCCGTAAACTCTCTGAAACCGGGGGGGATCAAGCCGGGTAACAACGGCATTGTATGAAAATCGGCCCCCCCCCTCTCTCTCTCTCCTCTCTCTCTCTCTCTCTCTCTCTCTCTCTCTCTCTCTCTCTCTCTCTCTCTCTCTCTCTCTCTCTCTCTCTCTCTCTCTCTCTCTCTCTCTCATCTACTTGGATACATGCACTATTATAAGCTCTCTCTCTCTCTCTATCTATATACTTGGATACAGGCACTATTATAAGTACATATATAACGCCCAAGCCTCCCCTGCCCGCCTCTGACACCCTTGGCTTCGGCGGCTTCTGAGGAGAAGGCATGGGCCGTTGTGTTTTGGAGCGCGCTCTAAGGCTAAGGGTTCACTCAGTGTTTAGGGTCTTCGATTTTTGATTATTAGGGTTTAGGGGTTATAGGGCTTAGATTAGAGGTCAACTTCGAGGGTAGTGGGCTTGCAGTGGGGGTGTACTTGGAGCTTAACGTTTGACTCAGATTTACGAGTCAGGGTTGAGGGCAGGTGTTGGCGTGGGCTGCTGGTGTTACGTCGGGGCGGCTAGTGGCTAGTAAAGCTCGGCTGTTCTCGTGCAACAACCTGTGAAGGACAGAGGTGCCTTCCTGGCATGCCCGGCATGTGCTGAAACAGCTGCGGCATGGGCAGGTTCCGATTATCACGCACGCTACATGTCGATCAAAGTCTATCCTAGCAGCCCGCGCCACAGAGCCCAAGACCCATAGCCAAAGCTCTCGTTCCTTGCACGCCTGGTGCATTGCCAAGTTATACCAGTGTTGGCACATACTGGAAGAGTTGCCGTCACAGCGGCATCTTTAAAGGTGTGTGGTTGGGGTCCTGAAACACGGGCTGTGACATGCTCCGCAAGTCAAGCCATCCTAGTTCTGTCGTGAGGATTGGTGTGATCAAGGCTTTATGATCCAGGCCTTCAGCTCATCCCTCGACGCTGGTCAAGGTTGAAACCTATGCTGCAAACCGCGGAACCTGAAACATCAAGCCATGTTGTTTAAAATAAGCAGGTTAGTCACCAAAACAAGTTCAGAACAGGACTTCGGGGTACATTATGGTATAACTGTGCGAAGGAACCCTCAGGGATGGTATTGGTTTATTTATTCCAAATCCTCAAGTTGGAAATCGAAAAAACACCATTCAAAGCGTGATTGTCCCAAAGTGCCTTCGGTCCGTGACAGGAACCCCTTCAAAAATGAAGCGTGGGTCAGTTTATGCTCTCGCAACTCGGACAAGCCAGACGAGGTCTCTTGGATCCTGCGGCCTACAATGGTTTCGGGTTTTCACACCTATTACTTAAGCCTGAGGGTGATGGAATCCCGTCTCCTCCTCGCAGAGCTAGGCCCACACTGGCCAATGCAAGTCCCGCAGTCGCCACCGCACGGAGCTTGCCTGTCACGAATATCATCCAGAGGGTCTGAGTAGTCCCTGGTTACTCAAAGAGTCATGGGACTTAGTAACTAGGGTTATAACTAGGGTAACTATACTTATAATTACTTATAACCCCAATTAGGGTACTTATAACCCTATACTTACTAAGTCCCATAATCCTCCAAGTAGACCCTAAACCCTAAACTAAACCCTATAGGTCCCTTTAAGGAACCCTAAAGATCCCTTTGGGAGCCCTTTTAAGGAACCCTTAGTTTAGGATCCTAAACTTCCAAGGCGCCTTCCCAGCCAGCGAAGTCCTCCGCAGAGGCAGCGCTCGGGGCGGCAACCGCAGCAGCCGCTGCCAGAAAGGCTCTCCGGGGCCCCTGCGACTTGTGAAAGGGTTTAGGGTTTAGGGTTTAGGGTTTAGGGTTTAGGGTTTGTTAAGTTGTATCAGTTTAGGGTTTGGGTGCTCACACTCGGACAATCCAGGCGAGGCATATGGTTCGGAGTCTGCGAATGTGAGAGGTTTAAGGCCTGTCCCTAAGGGTCCAAGTATATGATAATCATATACTCTGTTAAATATTGAGCTACATAACTACTATCCTAAACCCAAGTCCCTAACTATTGGGTCTTTTGGGCCCTTAGGGTGTTGAACATAATCCTGTAGGCTTAAGATGGTGAGGTGCTCGAACTCGGTGTGTGAGATATTAAAAGCATTACATTGCGGCTGCTAGTGGTTCCGTGACTGCAAACGGACATAAAAGCATGACTACAGAAATTATGATTTCTGGGATGTGGTTTTCTGAACAGACAAAGGATCGAGGCTCCGAATCCCAAAAGCTCGAAATGCAAACAGAGCCGCACGATCGGATGACTTGAAGCCCAAAGAGCATGTAAGATTGCAGGGCTTCGGATTCCGTACCTGATCCCAGTATGGGGGCCCTATCAAGAGCCCCATTGGCGAAAATCCCGATTGACTTGCTACGGCCGAATGTGCGACGCAACCTACTAAAGGCATTCGAGGCTGACCGGCCGGGGGAACTCTGCTCTGGAAGATGGGAGACAATCAGAGAATGCCCTGCTAGGCCCACGACTTCCCCGCAAGGTGGATGCTTTTGTTGGCTGTCGCCGTTGGGGGGGTAGGGCTGTGGGTGTGTTGCTTGTCTTGCATTTTTGCCGCAGCACACGGGCGGGTGGATGTTCTGCCGTTGCTGTTACCGTTGTCCCTATTGGGACCCGACGCGGCTGTTCACTCACTTGCTGGTTTACTCCGGGATTCCTTACTGTATGCTGTAATATGACATTTACGAAAAAACTACTATTCTATGTTATATTGCTGCAGATCCCGGGGCCTCCCAAGCGGTCCCTGAATCGAAATCCAGGAGGCCTTGGCAACAGCGAAGGCGCTTTCCCTCGAGGTGGCTGCAACCAGCGCAGAGAAAGCCTCAAGTCGTCCGTGTCCGGAAAGCCTAACTAGATTGCCTGAAAAATTGTATGTGCCCTGCATGCTAATAAGAACCCCTTGCAATTAATCTTACGCGCCTTGCTATTGGCTTATGATGGGGATGTGCGTAGTTTTGGCTCTGGGGTCCAAGAAGGGGCTCAGGAATACCCAGAGAGCCCAATACCCCTTAATTAAGGAATATAGCTTAAATCATAATATGAAGCCCTATATAATTCAAGCCATATGTATTCCTTATTTAAGGGGTATTGGGCTCTCTGGGTAGTGGCATTATGGGAAGGTGGGTGGGGCCGTGGAGGGATAGCTGCTCGGACAAGGTAAGCGGAAGTAGTTTATTAGAAGCCTCGAGGCTTCGAGTGGCCGGGGGTTCAAGTCTGAGGCAGCCCGGCTTGTGGATTGAGGATGCCATCTCTGTACCCATAGGCCCCAAATTCGTTCCTTTTTGGGATTACCATATAGAATTCCAAATATGAACACCAAAAAGGAACTACTATGGGGGCCTATGGGTAGTTAGCACCTTTGCAGTTGGCGTGGAGCTATGGCAATGCCCCTGTTATTAGGAGCTTCGGGGTTCAGACTTCTCCACTGAAGACCTAAACTGAAGATGTCAGGGTCAGGAGCTTGCTGAAGACCTAAGCTGCAGAAGTCAGGGTCAAAAGTTCAGGGCGATAGTCTTCTCTTGCAAACATTGCTTCCCAATTCATTTATTGATAAAGAAGTATGTCCCGAATTTAAAGCCGTTCGATTGGACTCTGTAGTCGAATGCATACCGCCTTCAGCTTACCCGGCTGCCTCTAAACATCTATTTTCTTGTGCGTGTTTACCTATTTACCTCTGTAACTACTGCTTTTGACTCTGTTTATATACAAACACAAATGTATATGTATATATATATATATATATGCCATGTCTATAGCTCTACTTTAACATGTGACCCGCTTTTCAAGGTTCCCATAACCCAGGCTACAGATGGGTGACCTCCGCAGTTTAGACAAGCTTGTACTTTTGATAAGCCCGTAGAAGTTCCGCAACTTCGAGTCCTGAAAAAGCCTGGGTGTGTAGAGTCGGGTATTCGAGTGTCAGAGTGCTCGGCATTTTGGGGGGCTTGAGGCAGATGGTTTTGCTGGGGTGGATTGCGGTGGCTTCGCGCTAAACCCTAAACCCTAAACCCTGAACCCTAAACCCTAAACCCTAAGCCCAGGGTCGCCATTCATACACCCCGTAGGCGAGGCGTCTAGGCTTGCGATGTTGGCTGCCGTGTTTCGGGCTTCAAGGGTACAGCGACAGGGACACGAATCCTAGGACTTCAAGCCCCAACACCGAAGCTTTTGTCGCCAGGTGTAGATCCAGCAGCCCCAGGTGGAGAGCTTTGCAAATTCCAGTAATCATACTCAGGGCCAAAATTCAAGCACCTAGGAGCTCAAATGATGGTAAGTGTGGGGAGAGCAGAGTCAGATCAATAAAGGTCTTACACTATTGGTAACATATATGCATATACACATATTTACTGAATATGTGAACCCTAAACTTTGTTTAGAGAGACTTCGCTTACGAAAGCCCGCAGCGAAGAAGTCGGATCAAGCGAGACGCCGCTGCAGCAGCAGCTCGCTGTGTACCTGCGGTCAAGATTCTGTATTTAGCTTTACAGTACATTGGCTTGGGCTTTTTCTTACCCATCACTCTTCCACAGGATATAATGTCCACTGTCCACCTCATACGAGCAGACGGCAACATCTACATGCAGCTTGTGTTCGTAATTACATGTCAACAGGAGTGTATCAGCGTGTCTGCATGTGTAAACGGGTCTTCACAAACATACTTGTCATATTGCTATCCCCTCAGTGGGTCATGTATTTACCAAGCTTTCATAAGCTTTACGTGCTTACTCTCATTCCTTTCCGTTCATACACATGTGCCTAGAAACATAATATCCACAGAGAGAAAGAAACAGAGAGATGGAAACATAGATAGGTAGAGAGCTACAGGTACAGATGGATGTGCAGTATGCAAACAGATATAGAAATAAACAAATAGACAAACAGACATGTCAGTGGATAGATAGATAGATGGACATGTCAGTGGATAGATAGATAGATGGAGCGGTCGGCGAAAGAAAATAAATAAACCGATTCATGGATAATGATATAGACAGCTAGATAGGCTGCACGGATAAAGGTGCATACTTATGCAGGTAGATAGATAGATGGATAGATAGATCGATAGACAGATAGGTAGGTGCGCAGTTTTAGACAAAGAGAAACTGTGTGTGCGTGTCCAGCCTTGCATGTAAATCTTCCTCAACACCCCCACACACACATGTGCATCCATGCATGCATGGACGTACGAATGTATGGATGTATGTATGCATGTGCGTGTGGATAATTGCACACACGCACGCAACGCACGCCCGGGCGGGCGGGCGGGTGGATGGGATGGATGGATATACACAACCACGCATATATATGTACATGTATATATATATATATACACATATGTGTGTACAGATACACACGTATGGTGGTCTACACACGTGCATATATGAACACCGGGAAGGGGAAGAGAGAGCGAGAAGGGAGAGCGAGTGAGTTCGACACCAACGGCCGGGCCTGTAGCGGCTGCACCACACGGGACAGCAGGGCGGCGGCGTGCCATAGCAGTTAGTCCAACAAAAATCGTTGGAAAACCAAATCTCAAGCCTGCAGCACGAACACTGACTACTACAGTATAGGGGCCTTATCAATTGGAATAGGGTTTTGGGGTATCTTGTACTATAATTATTATAAGGAACCCCCAAAATAGTACAGGTAATTATTTAGGTCTGACCAAGCCCTTGGCACTGGGCTGGAACCTGAGACAAGGGCTTCTGCACGCTTCAGGGTTTGGGGCACCCAGAGACTCCAAAACCCCTTAATTAGGGAATATACCTTAAATATGATTTTAAGGTATATTCCTTAATTAAGGGGTTTTGGAGTCTCTGGGTATTTTGTATTGCGAGAACGGCATCACTTGATGGGAAATCCGCTGGCATACGGGGGCGGGGACTGAACATAAATCTTAGTCCAATACCAACTCCAACTTTCTCTGTTCATGTACATTCCTTACTTCAGGGAAGCCAAACTGGTGCGGTATTCCTGCTGGTACATGCACGCCTATTCCGATCTTAAATCACAACATCAACTGTAAACGGCGCACGGAAACCCGTACCTAAACCCTAAACCATACAACCCTAAACCCCTTTTTCCTAAACCCCAAACCCCTAATTAAACCCTAAACCCCTAAACCCCTAAACTCCCCAGACTCGACTCTTAAGCTCTTAAGAGTCGAATCATCAGAGCCCTTGGAGAGCATGAGGGAGCCACTGGGTCGTTAGCCATGTCGCAGTAGGAAGCAGTACTACGGTTGATGATGTAAATCCGGAAATACCCAGAATAAGGAATATACCGTAATTCCCATAGTTTCGGGTCCTTAAGGCAATGCAGGATTTAGGTCATCAACAGTAGTACGAGTCGAATGAACTATCCGCTGTCCGTCGTCGATAGTTTTTTGATGGCAGCAACCATTACATCATCGCTGTGGCTAACCCTGAACTCTAAGCTCGACGAGACGGTTTTCCTAGCAACGCGTGGGTTCTACTTTTACAACCTCACTTTGCATGCACACCCTAAACCCTAAAACCCCTAAACCCTTAACCCTACAACCCTAAACCCCAAAGCCTAAACCCTAAACCCTCTTTGAAAGAGTGCACTCTGGCAAGGCTTTTCTGGGACTCATACTCGGTCTAACCACGGAGGTCAATAGTGTACATTCAGAACTACGTACGGTCAAGCTGCAGGCCGTTCGTGCGCCTACTACCTGTTCCTCGGAAACGGAGAAGAAAGTGTGCCCTGTCCGGCAGATTTGTGCGAGGCTCAACTCATCTTTGCAAGGATTCCTGACTCACGGCTCCTGGTACACAACCTTGATAGGCAGTGGCGCGAGGTTGCCACCACCGAAGGTGAAAGTGCTCTCACCGATGCCCTTACCCTCGGAGGAGACGCCGTTCTCCTTCAAGTTCAGGGACAGGGCTGCCACAGGGTCCAGGACCTCGTCGTCCATGAACTCCATGAGGTCTTCGAACTTGATGCTCTTTGCATCCTGGCCGTTCACGGAGGCCACGACCCAACCCGGCTGGACGCCGGCCACGAAAGCCTGGCCCTGTGGGTCGCCTGGGTAGCGGGACTCCTGCTTCACCTCGCGGACCACGGCACCGTTGCCGCTCGCTCCGGGCGCGTAGCGGAGGATTCCGAAAGGCTTCTTCTTGAACTCGATCTCGTGGGTGGCACCTGAGGCAGTGTTTGGGTCCATAAGAGGAGGGTCGGCATCCTTGGGGCCGTTGCGCAGAAGATAGTCAACTCCCACATGCCGCACCACCTGAGGGCCTCCCCGCAGCTGCGGGGAGGATCCCACGAAGGCACCGCCAAGCTGACAGGCTACAAAGCCGAGGCCGAGTGCAGTCACGATGGCACCAGTGACGGAGCGGGAGCGGGCCATGTTTTGCAGCAGATGAAGGCAGCTTGAAACAAAGTGCGCTGTTTGAGCCTTGGCCAAAATGGCTGCGATTTCAAGATCGAGCGGTGGGATTGATCGTGAAGCTCAACAGCTCAGATGGTGGTTTCATGGGGTTTCCTTTCCCTTGAACCTGCACAAACACACATGCATATACCTATATATATATATATATATATATATATATATATATATACATACACGCAATTGATTTTACAAATTATGTTATAGACTATGAAAGATATGTATGTATGTATATATATATATATATATATATATATATATAGGTTTATATGTTTATGGGTACTTGTAGGCATATACTTACCAAGATATTTTCTTAGTATAATTATGTTTACATTTATATCTATGTGTGTACATAAAGAAGCTTCGGGATGCCCCTTGCCAACACAGCAAATCACTCGCCATGTGCCCATACAGAAGTATCACTTTTCCTTGCGACTAGCTGCTTAGGCGACCCAGGACTCCGTTCAGATTCATAGTTTCATAGTTCTAGGTTACAATGATCTCGATGGGATGGCTACAAGGACTTTGTCGGGTAGAAACGTCCTCCGTATGCCTGCCTCACCTTGCGATGTTGTGGGGCCTTACAGAAGCAAACCAAGCTTGATGCAGCTGATGCTGCCATGATGTGGATCAGCGTCTGTGAGGCCATTCGACGACCGGTTTTATCCACCAGGTCTTCCGGAGATATTTTAGACACTTCAAACTTGAGATTAACAGTTAAGTTTGTAGTAATATAAAGGGGCCTTAATAATTAGAATAGGGGTTTTAGGGGCCCATAATACTATATTCATAATAAGGAACCCGCAAATTAGTAGAGGGAATTTTTTAGGCCCCTATAGTAATACTCATCGGACAATCGGCAGCTGGGGAGGCGACTTTCACAACCTCTGCACCAAAGTAAGCCAAAGTCGCCCCTGTGAGCCGAGATTGCAAGGCGTTTTTTTTGTGGTTGAACCCTCCTTGGGGTTTAGGGTTTAAGGCAACTTCAAGAAACAATAAGGAGCAAAGAGGATTGAAGTAGAGGGTTTTTTCCAGGCAACCTCAAGAAACGATACGGAACAAAGAGGCTTGAAGTAGAGTGACATGCCTGAGGTTCTCAACGATCTCACTTGGGTAACCGTGCAACCACAGCAAGCTACCAGGCTTGTAGCTCTAAGCCCGCAAGGACTGATATTGGAAACAATCCAAGCACTATCATTCCAGGAATTCACTAAGGAATGGCGTTGGTGGTAGCTTCTCAGGCTTCTATATGGGAGCTTCCGAAAACAGGGGACCCTAGCACCCTAAACAGTAGCATCCTGATTATAAGGACGCCAAAATACGGTACCCCTTGCCTCTCAACGGCACGACTTGGTATGGGCTTCAGAGCAGGGCTTAGGGTTTAGGGTTGCAAGTTGGCGCACTGCACCGGCTCAGGATTCGCCCTGTTGCCCTGTACAAAAGCAGATGTTAGTCTGTGCTTGCATTTTTTACGAAGAAACCAGTGCCTTGACTGTTTTCGTTTGTTTTTCATGTACGCAACTGTACTCTCTGTCTACGATTGAAGTTAAGTTAAGCTACACTTCGAATAACAATTGCATAAGATGCTTAACTGTGTTGCTCTATGCTTGCACGGCAGATCTTAGATTGTCACGTTCTCCCTTTTGCTATGGTCTCAAGCGATGCTTACAGTACAGAGCCCTACACAGTACAATATCCGGAACCGAGGTCACGGCAACATACCCTAGTGGATCCGGAACCCGCAAACCCACTCAAGCATGCGACGACATGCGAAGACCAAAGCAACCTGCGCTCCAAACCTTAACAGAAGAACTGTGATAATCAGTTGTGCTTTGATCCTTTCTTGTAGGAACAGTTTCGATCAGGAACCAAACGTACGAAGGGTGTTTCGACAAACCTTGCAAGCCTGCATCGAAGTTGCATTTCTGTTCCAGTGAACTCCAAAGACACAACTAGGAAGTGCGAAGAGAAACTGAGGCAATGGGGCCTGTCCAACCTCCTGCAACTAGGCCGGGTCCGACCTGAAAAAAGCTGCTTCGTGCGGGTTCAGGGCTTAGGGATTAAGGCAGTCCGGATCTATAGGACGTGGGGGATCAGGGTAGTCCATCCCTTTGCGGATTCGTAAGCTATTGTATGGTAGTGCCGCCAGGATCCCCCGAAGGTATGGCCATAATTCCTTATGTTGGGGTCCCTGCTTGCTGGTCTTGATGCTTTAGGATAGTCAGGGGACAATTAGGATCCAGGGGAATCCCAGCATGGAAGGTCAAAACTAGTGACCTCATCTGTTTGAAAGTCCCATGTACAGCTTTGGGTGCAGGGCCTGCATTCGCACACGAACCTGAAGCTCTACGGCTCTACGGCTCCAAAAGTTCTAGCTCTCGGATGTTGCGGGTTTTAGGGTTTATGGTTTACGACACCATGGTGCCTAATTAGCTTTCACAGAGTCTCGAATCGCAAAAGAAACCGTAGCAGCTGAAGCTACACCAAGACCCTAAGTGTCCCATGTGTACATATAAGGATACTGTAAGGCCCAGGCACTTATATGACTATATACTTTATGAGTACATGGGACCTTTAAGGACAGCTATTGTCGGTTCCCGTGTCCAACAGGCCAGTCAGCAGAACGAAGATAGAGCGGTCAGAAAGATGCAACAGGCGCAGACAGATGCAGCAGTTATCACCGAAGACATGAACAACGCCTATTTCTTGTGACATGTTCAGAACCCTACACCGCAAAGCACACATCTAGACAAACAAACCCAGGCTAATCATGCTCTCTGACATCGACCCAGCTGAACCTGAGACCCTCCCCGGAACCCTGACAGCAAAAGCAATCCTGGAATACCAACAACTTCGATAGCATTCTTAATTTCATGAGAACAGTAATGCCAGAAAAAAGACAGTAATCTATTCTTCATTACCAAAAATCACCCGCCCCCCTCCACATCAGGAACAAGAACCCCACGGAAGCCTCGCCTCCAAAACCTTGAGGCCCTGGAGGGGCCTCGATGTCGAAGGTTCCTTGGACCTGGTGTCTTGGGCTTGCGGTCGAGGGGCTAGGGTAGAGTTTAAGTTTAAGGTAGGGCCCCAAAAAAGCACATAAGCAACAATTAGAATAGGGAAATCGCATGTAAACCCCCTTAACATGAAGCTCAATCAGGTAGGGATCTCTCGGTAAAATGCTTATGCTTGTGTGCTTTTTGGGTCCCTAATAAGGTTCGTCAGTCTCCATTGTGGCTACTTTTTGGGGTTACCTTACAGGATCCTCACTAAAAACATGGTTCAGATCAAGAAAGGCACTGCAATGGGTTGAGTGTAGTTAGGGTTGAAGGATCACAGTCACTAGATCCCGTAAGCAGCGAGCAAGCTGGCAAACGCCCTCACCCTCGGACTCGCCAGATAAAGCTCGCGGGTATGCGCAACCTGTTGAGACACGCCACCGACAGTAAATCCCTAAAACAAAGGTTCAGTTGCACGGCGTAGAATTCAACAGGGGCCGTAAAACTAAAGGGCATTATATCCCAATTACAAGAAAAAATTGGAATTATGTCGGGACTACAAGCACCAGAGGGCTGATGTTACCAAGTATTTGTGCCACCAACGCTAAGCCTCCACTAACCTACTAAGCAGGAGCTCCTTAAGTTTCGGAATGCAGACCACAAAGCAATTGCTTACTGTACCCCTCTGCTCGTGGGAACTAATAGGGTTTTGGGGTATAGGGTTTAGGGTATAGGATTTAGGAATTAGTCACCGCCAGGGCAGAAGGGGATGGGGCGGTGTCGCGCGAATGCAAATAAATTATTTCGCTGGGGTGGCCGCTCCAACTCATCCAAGCCACAGACCGCATGGATGTCTTGTGCCGTCGCTTCTCGATGTCTTGATCACCGCTTACACTCATGGCCGCAACCGTTTTGGAAACACCCTTTTTTGCACAGACTTGCATATGCCCGCCTGGATGTCGGATGTTGAAAACACACTAAACAGGCACACAGCCTCCTACCACTCTACAGTGTCAAGAGCATCAGCCCCAAGGCCTCGAAGCCTCATCGACCCCAACAGCACCGACACACAACCCCAAACCCTAATCAACCATGAAGGCCGGCCATTGAGTGTCTTGCAACAAACCTAGGGGTCCATATACACGACTATTATGGAATAGGCCCCCAAACCCATCATCGGGATGGTATTTTGGGCCAAATTCCATAGTAGTAGTAGTAGTAGTAGTAGTAGTAGTAGTAGTAGTAGTAGTAGTAGTAGTAGTAGTAGTAGTAGTAGTAGTAGTAGTAGTAGTAGTAGTAGTAGTAGTAGTAGTAGTAGTAGTATAAATGGACCCTCTGGAAAAGCGGAGGCACCTCTGCGCCGGCTTCGCCGAGCCTTCTGCGCGAAGCAGTGCCGGCCCCGCCTCGCCGCCGAACTTTACCGTTTAGGGTTTAGGGGCGGGATTAAACGACTTTGGTTCCAGGGTATGGGAGTATAGGTTTTTCACATTCAGGAACAAAAATCTCGGGAGCTTCCTGACACTGGTCCGTGGCTTCGCACCTGTTTTACATCCTAAGACTGCGGGGTCGCGATCGGCTTTAAGCCGTGGGCTTCAGAGGCAAAGTGAGAAAGCTGTCAGCAGGGGATGTGGCCTCAACCAAGCTGAGAGTTTCTTCGTAAGTTACGGTGCCGCAATCATGGGCTGGAGATGATCCGCCTGATGCAACCCTGAAGCCAAGTCTCAACAGCCTCAAATCCTGAACCCTACTCCACGAAGCTCTAGGCCCTAGAACACCTGGAAATCTCTCAACATCAAACCTTGAAGACACGAACCTTCAAAGAAACCCTCAAAGAAACCCTTAACGGATGCTTTAAAGGAATCCTTAAAGGATCCCTAAAAGGATTCCCTTTAAGGAAGCCTTTGCACCATTCTCCTTCCCGAGGACATGGACCGTCAGCCACTGCCCGGTCTGTGCCAACGGTAAGGCTTGGATGCCCGTTTCGACCTCAGGGCGGGCTTAGGGTTTAATTCGGGATCCAAAGTTTAGGAGTTCATTATCAAAACATCACTTGTAGAGTGATCAGAATATCGAAGGGCCTCGCATACAGCATCACGCACAGTTGGGCCTTGAAACTTAAATGCACTCTGCCATGAGCAAGGAAGAAAGAGTTCAGGGTCCACCCTCAAGTTGAGTTACGTAGGTACTTCCGTTGGTGTGAAAGATTACAAACTGAAGCCGTAAAGCAGGGTGCCGTTATTCAGAACAACCACACTTTGCAGCATTTAGTCTCTTATCGCTTCTCGGCAGGCATTAGGCCAAAGACAAACCATCCTTCTGACCCTGAACAGTGCCCCGAACCCTGAACCCAAATCCTAAACCACTTCTGGCTTCAGGTCCTGAAACCCTAAAATCTCCGTGCATCCAAGCTGCCCCAAGTCCCTCTAGCAATCGCAACACGTCCTCGGTAGCGACATTGCCGCTGGCTCCTGGACAGAGACTCCCACAAAGAGTTTGTGAGTCTGGGCGCAGGTTACGGTTAGGGTTTAGAGCTTTTTGCCTCTTGCATGGCTGATGGATGGCGAAGCAGTTACAGTTGTTTGACAGGTGAATTCGAGCGAATGCGGCAAGTTTTGTACGCTGCCCCGTCTCTCTAGGGCTTAGGGGTGTACATTGCCCTCAACGCACCCCGAAACCCGCTACTTGTATTGAAATTCGGCAACACAGTTAAGTTGCTGTAGCTGGACCTCTGCCCAACACATCCTGATCCGAGCTTACCTTCACTTCTCTTGTACTAGCAGCTGGGAAGGTGGGGAGGTGTCGGGATTCCTCCACTTGTCGATTGCTGCTACAAGTTGCTAAGTTGGTTGTGCCAAACATGTAGATGCTCCATGACGCCCGAAAGCTTTCGCTAGGCGCTTACTGGGTGCAAGCATGCTTTGTCATATCTCGTCCCGTGTAGTGCGATGGCCTTGGACTCGGAAATCCCACTCTCACTAGTTCACAAGTAACTAGTAGCTGGAAGGATTCTTCGATGATCTGAGGATTCTTTGCTGAAAGCAACTGCTAGCAACAAAAGAATTAATAATTACGAGGCAAGTCCTCGCGTTGCCACCTCCTACTTGGAGGATCATGGGACTTAGTAAGTAGGGTTGTAAGTACCCTAGTTGGGGTTATACGTAATTATAAGTATAGTTACCCTAATTATAACCCTAGTTACTAAGTCCCATGACCCTTTAAGTATCGTGCCAACTGCGAGGAACTCTTCAAACTCGGTGGCCTGGCCCTGCAAAAGGGCAACCGCCCACGCCGCCAGCAGCGGCGTCGACGCGGAGAACGCCAAATTGCAATGCCTGCAAGAACCAATGCAAATTAGTGTACGTACGTAGGCATACAAATTGTAAAATTCAAGTCATATACTTACCCTATTCAACTATGCATGCACAACATCATATGTCTGCTTGTCTGCCTGCCTTTCTCTCCAACTATTATCTATCCAACTATCTACCCGTCAGGCTATAGATATAGACACATATGTAAGTACAAATCGAGATTTTCATATAGGCTTTATGAAGTTCGGTCTGCACGAGAGGCCACATCAAGCCAAGGTATCCCTTCAAGCATCCACCCCGAGAAGCCCAGTTACCTACGTACTATATCCTAGGTCAGAAGTCCCTGACCCTAACACTAAAACATCGATGTTTATGTTTAAAGAAGGTTTATACACGAGGCACCTTTCTGGAGAACGCAAAAACGTATATTCTCCATATTAAGACACCCTGACCTCAACAAGCCTGTGCGATGTATCCTGCATGCCATGAGCAGCATGTCGCTGCTACATAGTAGAAGCTTCTTTCCAATCTGTGGCCTGGAGCGTCTGGTCTGGGACTGGCAGGTTCGAGTCTGGAACAGGTCCGTACAGTACAGTCTACATCAAGGGAGGTCTAGACGCGATGAGAGTTTTTTTGAATCCTTTACTAAGCTGCACCTATCGTAAGAAAGGCCGATGGTTCGGAGCCGACAATCCGTATTCATGATTGACTTAAACCCATCATTTTTGAAACCATCCCAGCCATGAATGCTGAGCCGACGGCTGCTAAGGTGTTGGCCACCGCCTGGTCGATCAGGAATTTAGGTTGCAGCTACCGGCCTAATGACTGGTCTATGAACTTCTGAAGAAAGGGGTTCCGCACTCACTGCTCCCACATGGTTAGAGTTAGAGCCAAAAGCCCAAAACGCCAACACCCAAGGCCGAGAGTCCCAAAAAAAGTGCTGTTGGCTTCCGCCAATCCCATGTGCCCACCAAGAGGTAACACTCGACATTGCCGTGATCAGAAACCAGAAATGTGAGCCGTAGTCCAACCACCATCAGCTTAACTCCCAGCATCATCGCCATCGTCATCATTACCGCAAGTACCACAATCGTAATGACAATCATGACCATGGGCAGCACATGACGGAGGGATTCTGTGCGTGCCCCTCGTTCTCCTCAACACCATCATCGCCACGGCCACCACAAGGATATGCATGTTCATCGCGGCCGCAATCGTCATCACCACCCGGATGGTGATGATGATCATGATGATGAAGATGATCATGATCATGATGATGAGGAAGACGGCGGTGGTGGTGATGGTGGTGGTGGTGGCGGTGGTGGCGGCGGTGAGGAAGAAGAAGATGATGACAATGATGATGATGATGATGATGATGATGATGATGATGATGATCATGATGAAGAGGACGACGACGAGGATGATGACAGTGACGTGACGATGGTGCACATGATGACGATGTTGATGCTCATGGTGATGATGAACATGATGATGAAGAAGATGATGATGCTGATGATGAGGAGGAGGAGGAGGACAGCGGTGGTGGTGGTGGTGGTGGTGGTGGTGGTGGTGGTGGTGGTGGTGGCGGTGGTAGTGGTGGTGGTGGTGGTGGTGGTGGTGGTGGTGGTGGTGGTGGTGGTGGTGGTGGTGGTGGCGGTGATGAAGAAGATTATGATGACAGTGATGATGAGAAGGAGGACGGCGAGGATGATGACAATGACGCGACGATGGTGCAGATGATGACGATGATGATGCTCATGGTGATGATGATGATGATGATGGTGATGATAATTAAGGGAACATCGCCATCATTGGTACAGTACCCCTTGTTTTCTAAGACTCCCATGTCATGTGACTGATTATGAGCCCTAGGCCGTGGCGTACATGATATGGCACAATTCAAAACTCAAAACAACTGCTCACCAAAATCCCAGATCCCAGACGTTAACCCTATCATACAGTATCTCTCACGGCCACTCCCCACCTGGCCGTAGGTGTCGTGGAAATGGACTCCAATTTGTTCCATGGGGACACCCGCACCTGCCCAACAAAGGCTACGGAGTTTGCTGTTGAGGCGTTAGTTGCATAGCGGCTTCAGCGTTTGGAGCTCCGGGCCTGATGGTTTCAGGACTCTCGGGCCATGTTCATCAACACAGACCCCCAATCCTTCAACCACAAGCTCTAGTTTGAAAGCCAGCCACACCCTGGGGTCGAAAAGTGTGCATGATTGTTGGATGATGCTGAGAGGCATCGGAGCTTTCGGGATAGTGCTTGGGACACCAAACCCCGACAAGAACGTCTTAACAAAATAAGACACAACTGCCCAAAATCCTATATAAGCTTTAACTTCCCCTAAGGCTTGACCTGAAAACCCTTTATGCTGCCACCCAGCTCTGCAACACCCTTCAACCCCCCCCCCCCCTGCAGCACTCGCGATGAGGATCACCCCTTCAAAGGCTGGTGTCCGGGCCTCGGATTGAGAAATGTCTTCCCTACACCCAACTGCCCAGTTCCTGATGCCCCAAAGAACCCTTGTAGCAACGTTTTCGGTGACCGTAAGTAGAACCCATGTACCTCTCGTGTAGCCCGAATAATATACTTAATATACCATGCAGGAAGCCTTACCTGGACCCTAGCCCTGGAGAACCTAGCACTTGTAGGAAATCATAATAAGGATCCTATAAAAAGGTAGGTTCTTCAGGGTGCAGGTATAGAAAAAGTAGATGTTTTATTTGGGTTAGGTTGATGCAGGGCCCAGCCAGGCCTGCCACCTCCTCAAGGACCCGCCTCCTGGGTTTTGGCCGCTGTGTTCGGCAATGCGGAGTTTTCAGAAAGCTAGGGTTTTAGGGTTTAGGGGTTTAGTGATTTAGGGGTTCAGGGGTTAGGGTTTTGGGTTAGATGTTCAAGGTTTACGCTCTCACAACTCGGACATTTCAGGCGAGGTTCTTGGTGCGGGTCGGTGTGACACATCAGCTTCATGAACTTCCTCTGCTCGTGACCAGGCAACCATAAACCCCATACTTAAGTAGCTATCGAACACCTGTTCAATGGGGCCTTCTGTACGACTAGATACCCCAGGGCCCAGGATAGCACTAAAACAAAAAAAAAACTACACTCACCGACGCCGCTCCGAGAGCTCAGTGCAGAATCCGCATGCCCAAATCGCCATTTGCAAACGTTGAAAAGGCCCAAAAACCTGCCCCCCCCCCCCCCCCCCCCCCCCGGGAGTGTGGCTTAAACCGGGTCTATTTGGCAGCTGGATGTGTGTGTATTGGCAGGACTCCACGCGCCAGCTGCCAAATAGACCCCATGTGGTGTTCCAGCGCGCCTGGACCCCGGGAATTAAATAATTTAAATCCGGGGGCCTCCCCCGTATTTAAATTATTTAATTGGGGCCAGGAATTATAATTAAATAATTTAAATAATTTAAATAATTTAAATCCTGGGGGAGGGGGGTCCGGGGAGGGGCGGGGCCATGAATTAAATAATTTAAATAATTTAAATCCGGGGGAATCTGCCGGGGCCGGGAATTAAATAATTTAAATAATTTAAATAATATTATTTAAATTATTTAAATTAATTTAAATCCTGGGGGAGGGGGGTCTGGGGGAGGGGCGGGGCCGGGAATTAAATAATTTAAATAATTTAAATACGGGGGCCTCGCCCGTATTTAAATTATTTAATTCCCGCGGGGGGGTCCGGACCCGCCCGCCCCGGACCCCCTCCCTCAGGATTTAAATTATTTAAATTATTTAAATTATTTAAATTATTTAAATTATTTAATTGGGGCCGGGAATTAAATAATTTAAATAATTTAAATCCGGAGGCCTCGCCCGTATTTAAATTATTTAATTGGGGCCGGGAATTAAATAATTTAAATAATTTAAATCCGGGGGCCTCCCCCGTATTTAAATTATTTAATTGGGGCCGGGAATTAAATAATTTAAATAATTTAAATAATTTAAATAATTTAAATAATTTAAATCCTGGGGGAGGGGGGTCTGGGGGAGGGGCGGGGCCGGGAATTAAATAATTTAAATAATTTAAATCCGGGGGCCTCGCCCGTATTTAAATTATTTAATTCCCGCGGGGGGGTCCGGACCCGCCCGCCCCGGACCCCCTCCCTCAGGATTTAAATTAAATTATTTAAATTATTTAAATTATTTAAATTATTTAATTGGGGCCGGGAATTAAATAATTTAAATAATTTAAATCCGGAGGCCTCGCCCGTATTTAAATTATTTAATTGGGGCCGGGAATTAAATAATTTAAATAATTTAAATCCGGGGGCCTCCCCCGTATTTAAATTATTTAATTGGGGCCGGGAATTAAATAATTTAAATAATTTAAATAATTTAAATAATTTAAATCCTGGGGGAGGGGGGTCTGGGGGAGGGGCGGGGCCGGGAATTAAATAATTTAAATAATTTAAATCCGGGGGCCTCGCCCGTATTTAAATTATTTAATTCCCGCGGGGGGGTCCGGACCCGCCCGCCCCGGACCCCCTCCCTCAGGATTTAAATTATTTAAATTATTTAAATTATTTAAATTATTTAATTGGGGCCGGGAATTAAATAATTTAAATAATTTAAATCCGGAGGCCTCGCCCGTATTTAAATTATTTAATTGGGGCCGGGAATTAAATAATTTAAATAATTTCAATCCGGGGGCCTCCCCCGTATTTAAATTATTTAATTGGGGCCGGGAATTAAATAATTTAAATAATTTAAATAATTTAAATAATTTAAATAATTTAAATCCTGGGGGAGGGGGGTCTGGGGGAGGGGCGGGGCCGGGAATTAAATAATTTAAATAATTTAAATCCGGGGGCCTCGCCCGTATTTAAATTATTTAATTCCCGCGGGGGGGTCCGGACCCGCCCGCCCCGGACCCCCTCCCTCAGGATTTAAATTATTTAAATTATTTAAATTATTTAAATTATTTAATTGGGGCCGGGAATTAAATAATTTAAATAATTTAAATCCGGAGGCCTCGCCCGTATTTAAATTATTTAATTGGGGCCGGGAATTAAATAATTTAAATAATTTAAATCCGGGGGCCTCCCCCGTATTTAAATTATTTAATTGGGGCCGGGAATTAAATAATTTAAATAATTTAAATAATTTAAATAATTTAAATCCTGGGGGAGGGGGGTCTGGGGGAGGGGCGGGGCCGGGAATTAAATAATTTAAATAATTTAAATCCGGGGGCCTCGCCCGTATTTAAATTATTTAATTCCCGCGGGGGGGTCCGGACCCGCCCGCCCCACCCCCTCCCTCAGGATTTAAATTGTTTAAATTATGTAAATTATTTAAACTATTTAAATTATTTAAATTATTTAATTGGGGCCGGGAATTAAACCCTCCCACCACCCTCTCACCCACCACTTCAAGGGCTAGGGATCCCACACATCTGCGGGCAAAATCTGGCGGAAGTGATCCGCCACCGAGCAAAAAGCCTGTAAATACCGCATTCAACAAAGGGCCAGGGATTTCACACATCTGTTGGCAAAATCTGGCGGAAGTGAGCAGTCGGTACCTCCGCCAGATTTTGCCAACAGATGTGTGAAATCCCTGGCCCTTTGTTTAATGCGGTATTTACAGGCTTTTTGCTCGGTGGCGGATCACTTCCGCCAGATTTTGCCCGCAGATGTGTGAGATCCCTGGCCGTTGTTTTAACGCGGTATTTACAGGCGTTCTGCTCGGTCGCGGCTCGCAGGGATGAGGGGGACACCCCTTGCGCTCTGTGGTTTTCTGATCTGAGTTTTCACAAGACCTTAGGGGGACACCACTTGCGATCTATGATTTTGGGATCTGAGTTCTTACACAACCTTCCCTCCACCTCCTGCCCACGCTACCTCCCAGACACCCTCCCACCACCCTCTCACCCACCACTTCAAGGGCTAGGGATCCCACACATCTGCGGGCAAAATCTGGCGGAAGTGATCCGCCACCGAGCAAAAAGCCCGTAAATACCGCATTAAACAAAGGGCCAGGGATTTCGCACATCTGTTGGCAAAATCTGGCGGAAGTACCGACTGCTCACTTCCGCCAGATTTTGCCAACAGATGTGTGAAATCCCTGGCCCTTTGTTGAATGCGGTATTTACAAGCTTTTTGCTCGGTGGCGGATCACTTCCGCCAGATTTTGCGCGAGATGTGTGGGGTCCCTGGCCGTTGTTTTTAACGCGGTATTTACAGGCTTTCTGCTCGGTCGCGGCTCGCAGGGATTAGGAGGACACCCCTTGCGATTTGTGATTTTGGAACTTATTTGTTATAACAACCTTTAGGGGGACACCACTTGCGATCTGTGGTTTTCGGTTCTGAGTTTTCACAAAACCTTGGGGAGACACCCCTTGCGATCTGTGATTTCGGGATCTGAGTTCTTACAAAACCTTGGGGGGGACACCGCTTGCGATTTGTGGTGTTGGAATTCTTTTGTTATAAAAAGCTTTAGGGAGACACCCCTTGCGATTTATTGTTTTGGAACTTGTTGTTTCAACGAACCCTTAGGGGGACACCCCTTGCGATCTGGGTTTTTGGGATCTGAGTCTGTACAAATCTTGGGGCGACACCCTTGTGATCTGTGATTTTCTCTGTGTTTTTTGCAGAACTTCAAGGAAAAAAAATCTTGCCGACGCAGGGGTAGATGGAGCTCTCTTGTCTTTCGTGAAGTTGAAGGGGCCTGTCTGCTGTGCTGAGATGGACCTCTCTCCCGTCTCATTACATGGGAGGAAGCTCTCAATCATTTCTTGTGGAGGATGAAGTAGAAGACTTTTCTTTTTGGAAGCAAGGGGAGCCCTGGCTTCTCTTGCTAGGAGCGAAGTCTCTTCAATCTTCTTAAGATAAAAGCGACTTACCAAGAGGTAAAGGCTCTCTCTGCTGAAATAAAGCTCTCGTCGCTTACCAAGAATAACTTGGAGTGAGCTCTCTTCCTGCTTCACAGCAGGGTAAGGTAGAGGGCTTGGGCTTCTCGTCTCGTTTTGAAGGCCACGGGGAGGACCGGCCATTCTCTTGTCAAGGATTGAAATTTGGAAAAGCTCTATCCTTCCTTCCTGATCGTACGCTCCCTTCCAAGTTTTTTTCTCGAGGAGGAGATGTTCAGGAGCTGTCGCTGCTGACGAACAGAGAAAGAAGTTTTCTTCTTATCGCCAGAGAGGCAGTCGGAGCTCCCTTCTTTCTCGTGATGCGTTGTTCTTTTGCCACGAACAACCTTTGGGGACTGTTTTCTTGCTTTGGAGCATGAGGTCTTTTCTTTTGAAGGCTGGCGACTGAGGAAGGTATAAGAAATCTCCTCTAGGGAAATCTGCTCTTGCCAAGAATAACTAGGAATGAGAACGCTCTGTCCTCACCTCTTGAGAGATATCTCTCTTCTATCCCTTGGAGAGGAAGTGGTGGCAACATGGAGAAGTTAGAAGGGTTTCTTTCTTGATTCAGAGGGTGGGGAAGAGGGCTGCTCATGTCTTATTGAAGGCTGAGGGGAGGATCGGACTCTTCTTTTGTCGATTGAGAGAGCTCTGTCCTCACTTCTTGAGAGCTATCTCTGTTCTATCCCTTGAGGAGGAAGAGGGGACGACAAGGAGCTCCTCTCTCTTCTTGTCGACTAAGAGGCAGCCGCAGTTCTTTTTGAAACTGGAGATGCTTTGAGCCCTGTCTTCTTCGACTAGAAGCGAGCTCCCTTCGATTCTCTTCAGAGGAGATGGAGACCTACCAAGAGAGGGAGGAGCTCGCTGCTAGAAATCAGCCGAATGACTTGGAGGGACTCTCTCCGTGTTTTCGTTGAGGGTTGGGGGAATCCCTACCGTTTCTTCTTGAGCGTCAAGAAAATAACAGGATCTCTTTCCACTGCCAAGAGAGAAAGGAGGTTTCTTCTTCTTGTGCGTATGCTGTTTTCCATCTTTTGAGAAGGTAAGGGCAGTAATCAGGATCTCTTTCCACTGCCAAGAGAGAAAGGAGGTTTCTTCTTCTTGTGCGTATGCTGTTCTCCATCTTTTGAAAAGGTAAAAGAAATGCTCAAGATCCAACCCCTTATGAAGAGAGAAAGGAGTTATCTTCTTTCCGACCGATGGGTAAACGGAGACCTTTGAATTCTCGTGAAGTTGGAGGGGCCTGTCTGCTGGGCTGAGATGAAGCTCTCTTGCGTCTCATTACATGGGAGGAAGCTCTCAGTGATTTCTTGTGGAGGATGAGGTAGAAAATCTTTCTTTTTGGAAGCTATGGGAGCTCTGTCTTTGTTGCTAGGAGCGAGGTCTCTTCAATCTTCTTAAGACGAAAAGGCGACATACCAAGAGGTAAAAAGGCTCTCTGCTAGAAGGATGCTCTCTTCTGTTGCCACGAATATCCTGGAGACTCTCTTCTTGTTTTGGAGCATGAGGTCATTTCCCTTTGAAGGCTGAGGGACGACCAGATGTCTCTGTTTGAAAATTGGGGGGAGCTCCACCCTTTCTTCTTGAGTTGGGGGGAGCTCCACCCTTTCTTCTTGAGTGTATGCTCTCTTCCATTTTTAAAACGGCGACGGAAATAATCAGGATCCCCTCCCCATATCAGGAAAGAAAGGAGGTCTCTTCTTGCCGAAAGGTAAACGGTGCCCTCTTCTTTCTCATGAAATTGGAGCGGCCTGTTTGCTTTGTTGAGATGGCGCTTTCTTTTGTCCCATTAGTTTGGAGGAAGCTCTCAGTCTCTTCTTGTCGAGGATGAGGCAGAGGATTTGTCTTTTTGAAAGCTAATTCAGAGCATGGGGTAGAGGGCTGCTCATGTCTTGTTGAAGGATGAGGGGAGGATCAGACTCTTCTTCTGAAGATTGAGCGAGCTCTGTCCTCACTTCTTGAAAGCTATCCCTCTTCTATCCCTTGAAGAGGAAGAGGGGACGACAAGGAGCTCCTCTCTCTTCTTGTCGACTAAGAGGCAGCCGCAGTTCTTTTTGAAACTGGAGATGCGTTGAGCCTTGTCTTCTTCGACTAGAAGCGAGCTCCCTTCAATTCTCTTCAGAGGAGATGGAGACCTACCAAGAGAGGGAGGAGCTCGCTGCTCGAAATCAGCTGAATGACTTGGAGGGACTCTCTCCGTGGTTTCGTTGAGGGGTGGGGGCATCTCCGCCCTTTCTTCTTGAGCGTATGCCCTTTTCCATCTTTTGAAAAGGTAAGGGAAGTAATCAGGATCTCTTTCCACTGCCAAGAGAGAAAGGAGGTTTCTTCTTCTTGTGCGTATGCTGTTCTCCATCTTTTGAAAAGGTAAAAGAAATGCGCAAGATTCAACCCCTTATGAAGAGAGAAAGGAGTTATTTTCTTTCCGACCGATGGGTAAACGGAGACCTTTGAATTCTCGTGAACTTGGAGAGGCCTGTCTGCTGGGCTGAGATGAAGCTCTCTTGCGTCTCATTACATGGGAGGAAGCACTCAGTGATTTCTTGTGGAGGATGAGGTAGAAAATCTTTCTTTTTGGAAGCTAGGGGAGCTCTGTCCTTTGTTGCTAGGAGCGAGGTCTCTTCAATCTTCTTAAGACGAAAAGGCGACATACCAAGAGGTAAAAAGGCTCTCTGCTAGAAGGATGCTCTCTTCTGTTGCCACAAATCACCTGGAGACTCTCTTCTTGTTTTGGGGCTTGAGGTCTTTTCCTTTTAAATGCTGAGGGATGACCAGATGTCTCTACTTGAAAATTGGGGGAGCTCCACCCTTTCTTCTTGAGCGTCCTCCCCTTGTCAAGAAAGAAAGGAGGTCTCTTCTTGCCGAGGGGTAAACGGAGCCCTCTTCTTTCTCGTGAAGTTGGAGCGGCCTGTTTGCTTTGTTGAGATGGCGCTTTCTTCTGCCGCCTTAGATTGCTCTCAATCTCTTCTTGTCGAGGATGAGTTTTTGGAGTAGAGGGCTGCTCATGTCTTATTGAAGGCTAAGGGAGGATCAGACTCTTCTTTTGAAGATTGAGAAGCTCAGTCCTCACTTCTTGAAAGCTATCTCTCTTCTATCCCTTGAGGAGGAAGAGGGGACGACAAGGGGCTCCTCTCTCTTCTTGTCGACTGAGAGGCAGCCGGAGTTCTTTTTTTCTCGTGACGTTGGAAGGGTTCTCTGCTCCTTTGAGATGCTGCCGTAGAGGATGTGCCAAGGGATCTCTTCCTTACCCTTTTGGAGAAAAGAAGCTCATTTCTTGCGGATGACGAAGCAGCGAGCTCCCTTCATTTTATCGTCAGAGGAGATGATGGGAGGAAGCTCTCAGTGATTTCTTGTGGAGGATGAGGCAGACAATCTTTCTTTTTGGAAGCTAGGGGAGCTCTGTCCTTTCTTGCTAGGAGCGAGGTCTCTTCAATCTCCTTAAGACGAAAAGGCGACATACCAAGAGGTAAGAAGGATGCTCTCTTTTGTTGCCACGAATATCCTGGGAACTCTCTTCTTGTTTTGGAGCATGAGGTCTTTTCCTTTTAAATGCTGAGGGATGAAAAGATGTCTCTACTTGAAAATTGGGGGAGCTCCACCCTTTCTTCTTGAGTGTCCTCCCCTTTTCAAGAAAGAAAGGAGGTCTCTTCTTGCCGAGGGGTAAACGGAGCCCTCTTCTTTCTCGTGAAGTTGGAGCGGCCTGTTTGCTTTGTTGAGAGGGCGCTTTCTTTTGTCCCATTAGTTTGGAGGAAGCTCTCAGTCTCTTCTTGCCGAGGATGAGGCAGAGGATTTTTTTGGAAGCTAATTCAGAGGATGGGGTAGAGGGCTGCTCATGTCTTATTGAAGGCTAAGGGGAGGATCAGACTCTTCTTTTGAAGATTGAGAAGCTCAGTCCTCACTTCTTGAAAGCTATCTCTCTTCTATCCCTTGAGGAGGAAGAGGGGACGACAAGCAGCTCCTCTCTCTTCTTGTCGACTGAGAGGCAGCCGGAGTTCTTTTTTTCTCGTGACGTTGGAAGGGTTCTCTGCTCCGCGGTAGAGGATGTGCCAAGGGATTTCCTTACCCTTTTGGGGAAAAGAAGCTCATTTCTTGCGGATGACGAAGCAGCGAGCTCCCTTCATTTATCGTCAGAGGAGATGATGGGAGGAAGCTCTCAGTGATTTCTTGTGGAGGATGAGGTAGACAATCTTTCTTTTTGGAAGCTAGGGGAGCTCTGTCCTTTCTTGCTAGGAGCGAGGTCTCTTCAATCTCCTTAAGACGAAGAGGCGACATACCAAGAGGTAAGAAGGATGCTCTCTTTTGTTGCCACGAATATCCTGGGGACTCTCTTCTTGTTTTGGAGCATGAGGTCTTTTCCTTTTAAATGCTGAGGGATGACCAGATGTCTCTACTTGAAAATTGGGGGAGCTCCACCCTTTCTTCTTGAGTGTCCTCCCCTTTTCAAGAAAGAAAGGAGGTCTCTTCTTGCCGAGGGGTAAACGGAGCCCTCTTCTTTCTCGTGAAGTTGGAGCGGCCTGTTTGCTTTGTTGAGATGGCGCTTTCTTTTGTCCCATTAGTTTGGAGGAAGCTCTCAGTCTCTTCTTGTCGAGGATGAGGCAAAGGATTTTTTTGGAAGCTAATTCAGAGGATGGGGTAGAGGGCTGCTCATGTCTTATTGAAGGCTAAGGGGAGGATCAGACTCTTCTTTTGAAGATTGAGACAGCTCAGTCCTCACTTCTTGAAAGCTATCTCTCTTCTATCCCTTGAGGAGGAAGAGGGGACGACAAGGAGCTCCTCTCTCTTCTTGTCGACTAAGAGGCAGCCGGAGTTCTTTTTTTCTCGTGACGTTGGAAGGGTTCTCTGCTCCTTTGAGATGCTGCGGTAGAGGATGTGCCAAGGGATCTCTTCCTTACCCTTTTGGGGAAAAGAAGCTCATTTCTTGCGGATGACGAAGCAGCGAGCTCCCTTCATTTATCGTCAGAGGAGATGGAGACTTACCAAGAGGTAGAGGAGCTCGCTGCTAGAAATCAGCTGAATGACTTGGAGAGACTTTCTCCGTGTTTTCGTTGAGGGTTGGGGGAATCTCCACCCTTTCTTGAGCCGTCTGTCTACATTCCAAGGAGTCGTGGACATTCTGATTGGTTAAACATTACATTACATTCACACGAACTTTGGGCGCAAGTGGCCGCCGCTTGTATGTCGCAGTGTAATACGCAGCTAGGCACCACGAGAGCGCAGACATTTTCAACGATCAATTATGCACGCATGGAGTCTGTGCCTACGTCACCCGTGTCATGGCGTGGTCTGTGGTGATGAGAATAAGCACTACTTGAATGCAAAAACACAGCCATCCAGCTGCCAAATAGACCCTATTTAAGCCGGCCACCCCCCCCCCCCCCGCCGCCCAGCCCCCCCTCCCCAAAAAAAGACTCCCTAAAATCACCAGACCGCTTTGAACCGAAACCCCTCCACCCTCCGAGCCGGAGGCCCGAAGCCACCCGAAAGTCCAAGAAGTGCCCTGGACCTCCGAAACCCCCAAACTCCCCCTTATGTAATAATGTAAAAACCTGATTAAGAAACCCTGGTCTTATTACAGCAAACTAATAAGATTCATATAAGGAACCCTAATAAAGCCACAAAGGTTTCTTAATCAGGCTCCTACATTACCCTAAACACCCTGAATAATCCTCAACCCTAAACGTAAGCAGCCCTACAAAATGATGCGAAGTCGCACTCCGGCTGCGGTACCCACACCCGTCGTGTCGCAAATCAAGAGCTCCTCGCAGCCTGCCTTGGATAAGGGCGTTCCTCACCTCTGGAACCCCAAATCCATCCTGTTTCGCAGCATTCCGTTTGGGCCACGAAAACGCACCTAAACACTAACTGTTGAGACCTCCCCCGTTTGTGGTAGCACACTGTTCGAGTAACTTATATCAAAGATTCTTCCACAAGAAACCAGAATATGGAGCCGCACTACTCAGCACCCCGGTAAAAAAGTTGCCGAGCCACCTCGTAAAGGCGAGCAGCCACCTGCACGGGCAAGAGTACAGTTACAAGGGGCTGAGAAGATGGAAGAGCTTTTTGCGGGCCATACAAAAACATCAGGATTAAGCGGCGAGAATATTATCATATTCAAAATTAAGCCCTAAACCCTAAACCCTAAACATTAAGCCCTGGAGCTGAGATTGACAGTACAAAAGCCAGATCGGAGGCCTGAGTAGCAACCAGTGGCAGAACTGTACAACCAATTCTGTACAATAAACCTCATTTAGGTGGTGCTTTTCAAGCCTTTGAAAAATATTAGTAAATAAGATCTTCTTAAGCCCAATAAGGGAAAATATAAAATGCCCCCAGGCCCTACCTAGTCATCCCCAAAGCCTCATGTAATCCTACCACGCTTTTTCGAAGTTCCACGCCGGGATTCAGGTCGAGTGTAGGGGCGTCGACCGGGAGCAAGCATTGAGGCGAAGTCAGGGTCTCTGCGCTCAATCTCGGGCATGCTAGGCGAGCGGCGAGGTTCTAGGGTGGTCTAGCGACGAAAGCCCGAACAAAGAAGACGCCTGGTTTTCGCAGCACCGGCTTAAATTGCGAATTCAACTGCTTCAGGCCCGAATTTCGTCTCACGTATGGAAACCTAGCCTGAGGTTCAAGTTCCAGATCAAGCGATTTCCTTGGAAGCAAGCTCTAACGCCTAGCGCATAAGTCCTTCAAATCATGAATCACCCTTTTCCAATTCTAAAACAAACAACGGTCAACAGGCACGATCGGCCTTGGCCACTTGTCTAGGAGGCACCTCACCCTCATACGGGCATCCGAGGCCTTCGCCCAGCGGTGGGTTCTAGGGTGTCGGGCTCTAGAATCTACAGGCTCTTAAATGTTGCGGGTTTCTGAAGCTCGTCGAGATTAAAGTGAACCCCAGAAGGTTGGAACATGGATTAGGGCTGATTCGTGCTAGGATTCCTTCTACTTCTCCTAAAGCACATCAGGATAACGATGTTCCGAGTTTCTGGCTTCTACTCTTGCGTTTGGGATTTAAGCTTTTAGGGCCTTTCAGAGCTTCAGGACGGAGCTTCGGCGCTGACTTGGAGGATCATGGGACTTAGTAAGTAGGGTTGTAAGTACCCTAATTGGGGTTATAAGGACTTATAAGTATAGTTACCCTAATTATAACCCTAGTTACTAAGTCCCATGACCCTTTAAGTAGTTTAGAGCGAACCGATTGGGTCCAAGTCGACTGATGCGGTACTTCGTATACAGCCAACATGAAGGCCTAGCGCTGACCATCGAGCCGTTGTGGCATTTGAAGATCCCTATAGTATAGTACCCCTATATACCCCTTTACAAGGAACCCTAAACCCTGTTGTAACCTGACAAAAAATCCGGAGTCTCACACGACGACTCCGCAAGCCTAATGCATATAGGAACTTGATTAAGAAACCTTGGGCCTTTATTTGGGTTCCTTGTATGAATCCTACTACTTTGGGGGTTGTCGGGCCAAGGTTTCTTAATTCCTACATTAAACCCCCAAAATCCCAAACTCTGTTGCATTCCAACCCTGACACCACACCCAGTGCCCATGTCTGTCTAGTTCTTAGTAGGGAATGGAGGAATGGATCCCTATGATGGTCCCTTAAGGGTCCCTCATGGCTGTCCCTATGATACCCATTGCCCCCATTCCCCACTAAGAACCAGACCGATCTTTACTCAGGCTGTCGCCGACAGAGATGGCTGCGCGCACCGAGCAATTAGCTTGCTGCGCTCGTTCCATGACTGCCTGGCGTAATATAGAATATAGTGGCCGTAATCGTTAGAATAGGGCTTTTGGGCATATATAGCAACGTCATAGAAGGAACCCGACATTATAGTGGCTTCTTCTTCTATACACATCTAAACTGCAAGGAGCCCGAAGGAGCTCATAACCAGTGGGTTTTTTCCGACTTCTAGCTCGGGGTGGAGCTCGGGGCTCGGACCGGTCCAGAGTCGAAGCACGGCCACCGGTCCGGTGCGATATGGTAGGGGCCTTCATAAGTAGAATGGGGCTTGGGGGCTCCCTTACTACCACTGTCATAGTAGAATATACCCCCAAACCCTATATTCTATTCATCCAGGCCCCTAAAATTTCTACTTGCGGGTCCAGGTGATGTGGTGTTGATCAAGTAACAGTACATCGTCAGGACAGATCAGGGCAGGTCCATTGACGCACGTTGTCGTTGTTGAGACTTGCGGAAATCGTGAGTGACCCCAGTATAAAACCCAATTTCAGGATAGCCTCAAAATTGGCTGGCCTGTCTAGGAATCCGCGGATCCGACTAAGAAAGGTGCCTTAACGAATGGGTGTTGGGGAATATTATACTTTCATTATACTATGGAACCCTTAAAATAGTACAGGTAATTATTAAGGCCTCTATGTTACTCAGGGTCGTTCTCTGAAATCCCGAGGCCCGCATGCCCCAAGACGCGTCAGGCCAGACCCTGGCCCTCTCCAAGTTCTCCTCAACGGTGCAGTTCCTGGATGGGCCACAGGGGCGTTGACCGACTGCTCTGTACTTCCATCCATCCATCCATCCCTCCAGCATGTATGCTTGCATGCAAAGACAGACAGATAGATAGACAGACATACGAACCAACATAGATGCATACATACTCGCTTGGATAGCTTCTGGGCATTCAGATCGGGGGAGGAGGTCCAAGTGATGCTAGTATAGGGGCCTGCAGAAGTAGGTTTCGGGGGGTAGGTCATACCAGATATCATAGTAAGGAGCCCCATGGAACAGTAATTCATTGTACTACACCATTCAAGCGTCAATGTTTCTTGCACTAGTGGAGACCACCCACTGGTTAATGAGGCCTCGCTAGTTCTGGCATGAAAGGTTTGGAGCGAGATCCAGTTGGTCAAAAATTCAAAAAGACTCTTGGCTGACTGATTGCGAGAGTACTTTACGAGTCATCTCATGGATGACTTTCTGGTGTTCCAATTTCTATATCCACAAGGGCGTTGTCCCGGGACCAGTCTAGGTCTTGGCTAGCTAGCAGAACTTATTCCAAGTTTGCTGCATCAGGGTGCGGTCATGTCTTGTCGACGAAGCTGCACACGGTTTCGAGCTTTTTCCGTGATGTTTTTTACGGCTTCAAACTGGAAATAGCCACTGTCAACAGCAAAAGCCTTGCTGCGGTGCTTCTCTGAAGTATGACCTGCGCTTCGAACAATCCTGGACCAAACCCCTCAGTCAAGCCGCGTGTTCTTCTGGGCGAAGGTGTCGCTTGCAGCAGCAAGGAGGGTGACCTTTGAAACTGCTTATAGCCTCCGTTGCAGCTCATGTTGGTTAAACGTTTACTTTCATGCAAGGGCACAGGGGGCAGGCTCAGCTTGGGTGCAGAATTAACAATTTCCCTTGGCCCAAAGTACCACCTCATGGCAACTGCTATGCTTCTCACTCATCACTAAGAAATCACCAGTGTCATCATCCACCCTCATCGCGCTCACCACCGATCTCATCGCCATTCTCACACTTCCCCATACCTTTCGAACGGAAATCCGAAATCATCAGCAACCGCACCAACAGCATCACACCTTGTAGCCCTAAGGTTCCCTTACGGTCTCCTAAGGACCCCTAGTACCCTACCCCGTGGAAACACAATCCCTAAACCCTAAACCCCAAACCCTTCTTGCACAGACTTGTATATGCCCGCCTGGATGTAAGCCCCTAACCCCCAAACCCTCCCTTAGGAATGCGATAAACACACGTAATGGCACGCCTGCCTCCTTTGCTCCTGCTGCCAGTGCCGCCTCACATCGGAACCCCACAAAACCGGAACCCTCAACCTAACCCCTAACCCTGAGCCCCTAAACTACGAACCCCAGACCTTAAAACGCCAAACTATAAAACCAACAATTTTGTAAGCACGATAGATGAAAACGGCAATAATCAAAGGCTTTCGCGGGTCCAGTGAGCCTTTGGGGGAGGGTATAGCATGGTAGGGTGTAGGGGCCTTGTAATAATTAGAATAGGGTTGAGGGGGATTGTGATGATACTGCTCTTTGATAATCATAAGGAAACCTCAGGAATGATATCGAGAAACATTCAGACCGGGCCATATAAATCTGAGGCAGTTCCTGCGAACCGAGATAATGCATTGGGCAGGACATGCATTTGGCTTCAAATTAAGGCCGCCAATACTAATGGTTAAAACTAGAAATGGAACACTCCTAGTCTTATTCATTGACAAGGTTCTTTGTAGTGGTGAGGGCTCTTAGAAGTCGCCACAGCTGCAAATCTAAGGTGCAAGACCTCTACCTGTGAACGATAATTACTATCCTACAGTTAAGTTAGGTGTCGCTTCTAACAGTAGCTGACAAAGCCTCTTTAGACTAGCTAACCAGATGTCCTCGGCCCCATGGGGCAGGTTGGAGCAAGATGTTCGCACAAAGCGAACAGCTTTCTGTCTGTTGGACCTACAAAAACTTAGCCACAAAAACGACAGCCATCTGGCCACATACTGAAAATGTAGTCCCTAGAGCCCCTAGGAGCCCCAAAAACTAGCCTACAACAAAGATGCGGACACAGGAAGTGTCGGAGAGGAGTGTCATTTTTGCGGCTGATATCTGTCCTTCATCTTGTGGTTCACACTTACTGTCAAAAAGCTTGAAACTCTGAACACGAACCCGGAAATCTTAAGCCTGTGGTGCTCATCCCCTGGGCCCAAACACGAACCCTTCAGCAATCCGTAAACAACCAGCGGCATTTGAATCCTAAAGCCCACATCGCAAACCCTATCCTGAAGCTGGCAACTCCGAATCTACACCAGAGGAGCCCTAAAGCTCTTGCCCGAAAGCCCCAGACCCCAAATCCGGCCAGGAATCCAACGTCACCGAAAAGTTACGCCCTAAACTCGAAACCCTAAATCCGACACCCTAAACCCTAAACCCGTCGCTCCCAGAACCTGTTCTGATTATCGACCCCAAGGAGCCTTGGAACTCGAACCTCGCCTGACACTACGGCTGATGGTATAGATCCCAGGGTTCCTTTAAAGGGATCTATACAAGGGTACCTTTACGGGGCTCCTTTAAGGAATCTATAAGGGGTTTTAGGGTTTAGGGTTGATGGTATAAACCCTGCATTGCCCATAATAGGGAATGTACCAGAATTTCCATAGTTTAAGGTTCTTAAGGTAATGCAGGATTTATATCATCAACCGTACCCCAACGACCCTACTCTAATTACTTACAAATAACCCCAAGATCCCGAACCCAGACACCCCAAGGGTCCGAAACGCCAAGAACCCAAAATCACCGAACGGAAGCTTTCGCAGGAACCCCTCCTAAAGCCCTAAACCCAAAAACAAAACAATTAATATAGAAGCCTCAATAATTTACCTATCCTAGTGTAGGGTTCATCATTACAACTATAGCACAATGGGTCCCAAAACCCTATCCTAATTGTTGAGGCCCATATCGTAGACCCGACCATTGGCCTCCAATCCTCGGAGGTTGGGCACGAGCACCGGGAAGCGAACGTCCGGATGCTCGGTGACGCCTCGGAACCACAACTATTGTGGTTTAGGGTTTAGGGTTTACGGGTTTAGGGGTTTACGCTCTCACAACTCGGACATGCCAGGAGGGTTTAGGGATTAGAGTTTTGGGCTGGGTTGTGCATTGGAGGGTTTGGGGCTGATAGGGTTCAGTTTTCCCTCTCGCATGGCAGGAACTGAAGTCCACTGGCGAGGAAGTTTCGGGTTTATAGGGTTTAGGGGTTTAGGGGTTTTGAAAGCATGTTGGAAGGCTAGCAGGCTCTTGGCTTCGGAGAGTTGAACGTGGGGTTTCCGGATAAGGCTGCTGGGGTTACATTCACTTACAGCTTAGGATTCTTGATTTAGGGCCTTCTGGAGGTCTGCAGGAAGTCTTCGAACTGGGGATTTTGACACTCACTCTCGGACAAGCCCGGCAAGGTCTGCAGAAGTAGGTTCGAGTGTCGAGAACTGGGATTTAGGGTTTCGAACGAAAAGGCTCAAGTTTGGTCGGATCTTGCGCTTGAAAGTCACCATAGGATCGGCTTCTCTTCCGAAAAGAAAGTTGGCTTCCGGGCTTTAAGAGACTTGTGTGGGCTGTGGGTTTAATCTAAAGGCCCGGTCAACGTCCGGTCAAAATCCATTCAAAACTTCATGCCTTCAAACACAAGCCCGCCCCAAAACAATCCCTGCACTCTTTGGGTAGGCATCTTGCAAGATGGACAGCTCTGGGTTCCCGAGTTATGTATGCAGCTTACGGTTTTCAGTGCCTGACGACTTTCTCTAAGGCCCGCCCATCTAGAGCTACGGACTCATATCCCAAACCCATAGCCAGTTCAATGCTACATCCGGCCGCCAAAAGTCCTAGTTGAACTTCATTTCTGAATCCCCAGCCCGCTTAACCCTTTTCTTCTCCTCACGATTATTAGTGTGCCAATATCACTACTATTGGTATCATTATTTTTGCTGTTGCTGCTGTTGTTGGTAATTGTTTACTGTGATGATTATTATTTTATTGGAAGGACTATTGCTGTTAGTGTCTTCGGCCTCATTACTATCTCAGTTAGTCGCCTAGCAACAACCCGGTTGAACCGGCATCCCTGTCTCTCAGCGGCTAGCATGACTTGAGCACATCGGCCGCATCCGCCTTGGTTGGTGTTGGACCCGGGTGCAGAAGATGTGACGAGGTTCCGGGTTATCGGCTCAGGGATCATGGGTAGCTGGAAGTAAGGACTTAGAAGCATCGAAGCGTCAGTCGCAATTACTTGGAATGCCGGCCATACTGATCTGATAGCTGCTAGCCGCTGCTAGCCCCTGAATCCTCTTACCCTATGACGTGAGCTGGAGATCGCTGCAAATAATCTTGTTTGTAATATAGCCGATAACGACCCCCCAAACCCCCCGATACCCCGAAAGACCCAATTGACTTTGCAGGTCGGTTTGAAAACCAGACAACCCCCACCAAAAGGCCTATGCCCGGCCTTAAACCCTCAACCCCAAGCCGTAAACCCCAACCCTTAAACACCTGACCCTCAACCCCTAAGCCTTAACTCTGACCCTTAAACCCCTGACCTTCAACCCCTAACACTAAACCCTAACCCTTAAACCCCTGACCTTCAACCCCTAACTCTGAACCCTAACCCTTAAACCCCCAACCCTCAACCCTTAACCACATCCTGCAGAGACGAGAGGCCATCTGTGGCACGAGCTTCGGGTTCACGAAGGAAGTTGATTCGATGCTTCCTCGGGCTGTTTACATCGTCGCCTAGAGCTGTTTTTTGTTGTTGAGCTCCTTTTCTGCATCGCCCGAAAGGTCTACGAGGCTAGGGTTTAGGGTTTGGGGTTTACGCCCTCGCAACTCGGACTTGCCAGACGAGGACTCACGGTTCGAAACTTCGACTGGTCGGCTCTAGCAGCTGCCATTCAGTTCAACACGATTTAGGGTTTAGGGGGTAGGGTGGAGCACTGAGCAACACGGACAGCTGCATACTTCAGAAAGTCTGTGCTGACTGTCAGCCGATCTGCTGTTGGTCGATATTGGTGGGGGCCCATCACATATTGGGGTGTTGAGGGTCAACGATAGTCTAGATGGGAACTTCCGAAAGTAGGGGCCTAAAAGAAGGTACCTCTACCTTTCGGAACCTCCCATATTGGGCTCCCATCTTTTTGCCCCTTCTTCCTGCGACAAATCAGACAGGCTCTTCCTGTGATGGTCTCCATTGAAGCTAGGCTTTCATGTGGGGCTTCGGGGGTGAGCAGTCTAGGGTCGTGGGGGTTCAGGAATTTGGGATTTCGGCTTTCTCTCGTCGGGGTGGCTAAGCTAGATGAGATTAGTTTGCTGTCCTGGAGCCCGCCAAAAAATTTCTCGCAAAGATGGTTGGAAAAGGAAGGTGAACGTGCAGGTTTCGTTTGAGGTTCAAGAAGATGCAACTCACGGCTGCAAGTAGCTGTAGTTTTTTGTCACCCACATGGTATGCCTATGACAGCTCCGCGGGGACTTCAACGGTAAAGTAGCTGTAGTTGTAGTTGTAGTAGTAAGTAGTGGTAGTAGTAGTAGTAGTAGCAGCAGCAGCCAGGAGTAGTAGTAGTAGTAGTAGTAGTAGTAGTAGTAGTAGTAGTAGTAGTAGTAGTAGTAGTAGTAGTAGTAGTGGTAGTCGTAGTAGTTGTAGTAGTAGCAGTAGTAGTAGTAGTAGTAGTAGTTGTAGTAGTAGTAGTAGTAGTAGTAGTAGTAATAGTAGTAGTAGTAGTAGTAGTAGTAGTAGTAGTAGTAGTAGTAGTAGTAGTAGTAGTAGTAGTAGTAGTAGTAGTAGTGATAGTAGTAGTGATAGTAGTAGTGATAGTAGTAGTGATAGTAGTAGTGATAGTAGTAGTAGTAGTAGTAGTAGTAGTAGTAGTAGTAGTAGTAGTAGTAGGCACCCCTCACCCCTACCAACTACACTTGCTCTCAACCATGTTAAGACAACATCCATTTTACTCGGTATTTACGGCACTTTCGTCATGTGCGATCATCCTAAGAGGCCTCAAAATCGACTTGTCGAGATTGCAAACTCGGGCTCTTGATTTTGGACTTGCTTCTGGGGGTGGGTGGGGGGGTGGGGGGGGGGATGATGACGACAGTGTTACGCGAACACACCCAGCAGTATCACCACAAGAGCCGTTTAACTCGGTACTTACGGTACTTTCGTGATGTCAGACTTTGTTACAAATTCTGAGCCCCTACTTCTCGACTATGCGTATTAAACTTTGCTGTTTGGAACTGTTTGCAAAAAAACTCGAAATTGGGTGGGGGAAAGCTTCTTCGGGGATGATCACGACACTGTTTTGCGGACACCCTGAACAATATTTCCACACTCAAGCGTGCACACACACACACCACTTCAAAAACAGACCCTCCTACGCAGAGGTTGGGCGGTAGGGGTGTTGGCGAGCCCCTCCCACGTACAGCTGGCATCTTTGTTTTTGATGTTTAGAAGATGTTGCGCTTCAGGTTCTGAAAATGTTAAACCCTTCTTGGACGCACCTGGGTTTTGCACGGTATTTACAGCGTTTTCGTACTATCCGACCACCTGCGGTTCAGCTGTTTCTTCCCCGTCGAGCTTGCAACTCCGGCTGCTGTCGCAGTTTTGGGGCCTGAGCCCTTGCAACTTCACCGGTTGTGACAGTTAAGGAAACGGAGCCCCTGCAACTTCTGCAGCTGTCGCAGATAGGGAGCTTGAGCCCGTGCATCTTCTGCAACTGTCGCAGTTAAGGCCCCTAGCAGCTGCCGCTGCGCAGCCCGGATGGAACAAGTGTAGTTGGTAGGGGCGGGGGGGTGGCTAGTAGTAGTAGTAGTAGTAGTAGTAGTAGTAGTAGTAGTAGTAGTAGTAGTAGTAGTAGTAGTAGTAGTAGTAGTAGTAGTCGTGGTAGTAGTAGTAGTGGTAGTAGTAGTAGTAGTAGCACTAGTAGTAGTAGTAGTAGTAGTAGTAGTAGTAGTAGCAGTAGCACTAGTAGTAGTAGTAGTAGTAGTAGTAGCAGTAGTAGTAGTAGTAGTGGTAGTGGTAGTAGTAGCAGCAGTAGTAGTCTGTAGTAGTAGTAGTAGTAGTAGTGGTAGTGGTAGTGGTAGTGGTAGTGGTAGTGGTAGTGGTATTGGTAGTGGTAGTGGTAGTGGTAGTGGTAGTGTTAGTGTTAGTGGTAGTGGTAGTGGTAGTGGTAATGGTAGTAGCAGCGGCAGCAGCAGTATTAGCAGCAGTAGTATTGTAGTAGTGTTGTAGCAGTATTGTGGAAGTAGTAGTGGTAGCTGGTAGCAGAAGTAGCAGGGGCAGATAGTAGCAGCGGCAGAACTAGTACCAAAAGTGGAAGCAGCTACTTCTCGGTGTGGTGTCAATGTTCATCACTGCTGCTGCCAGCTTCTTGATGGACACTGTACTGCCTGCAATTCTGCCATCAGTACTATTACGAGACATGGGGGGGAAATCCAAGTAGGTCGGGAGACCAACTCTGTTCAAAACAGGGCCTCCAGGGGTCAGAACAGAAAAGCCCTACTTGGTCTCAGAGCTTAGGGTCCAGTGCCTCCTTCTACGCAATCCGGGAGCATGGTTCGCAGATCTGGAAAGCGGGACTCTTGCAATTTAACAGAGCTTGCAGAATCTCCGTTCGGAGATCTGCCCCAGAGTGAGTGCGTTGACTTCAAGCTTGAAAGGTCTAGGGCCGGCCTGGATTTAGTCGGACATTGGCTTAGGCTTAGGGCCTTTGGGCAGAGCTCGTGGGGTGAAGGGTAGGATGAACATACAGTAGGGGTCCCAAGAAGGCGGAACGGTTTTAGGGTATATTAGAGCACAATTATTGACAGTCTTTTTCTTGCGCTCTTATATGCATGGGTTCTTGCGCTGATTCTTTTAGACCTGAGGTGACTGAAGAAAGCGGGAGCTGCTTCCAGGAGCTTCCACCAGCCCTACACCAATCAATGCGCTTCCGCTCACTTTCCCTTTCGGATGCCATCGATAAAGAGGTTCATGCACCTCGGCTGAAAGCAAATCTTCCGAGAGATTCGGGCTTAGATTTCTCTGTAATAGGACCACTATATACAACGCTGCAAGCAGAAACGAACTCTTAGAAAAAACACTCAAACAAGCTTTGTTGTTCACTCACCCATGTCACGGTGCCACTGTGGAGTGGCTCAAAGAATTTCGATCGCACCGTATCTTTCTGGAAGCAGGTTCAGGGTCGTGGGCTTGAAGGTATTTAATACAGGGACCTTATAATCATTAATTACCTATACCATTTTGGGGGGTTCCTTATCATAAATGTAGTATAACGGGTCCCAAAACCCTATTCTAATTATTAAGGCCCCTACATTATTAAGTGAAGTCTTTGTGGCTTGGGGCTTGGGATGCTGAGGGTGCAGGTGCTGCGCGGTTTTTGGCAGGAGCCAGGCTGCCAGTTCCCAAGCACCCTATCCGGTTTCCACAGCTTGGGAGCGCAGGAAAGTTAAAGCGGTTTTAAATTAAAGAGGGTTTTTTTTTAATAAAAAACCCTCTAAGCAGTTTTAAATTAAAGTAAGTAAAGCTTCAAACGGATAGTTCAAAGATCTTGAAAGGAAGGGCCCTAATTACCACTCTCTCTCTCTCTCTCGCGGTGCGTCCCGAGGCAGAGGGTCTAGTAGAGCCTCTATCTTTTTGTTGTGGGAAGCTCTAACGTAGACCAAACCCTTGATTAGCGTGTCGGCTCTGACTAGAGGCCGGCTTGCCATTTACATAAGCCCTGCATGCTAGAGTTGCGAGGTTCGGGTTTAGGGTTTAGGGTAGGGTCTAGGGCTTAGGGTTTACGGCCTAGGGTCTGGGGTTCAAGGTAGGGTTTAGGGTTTAGGGCTAGACCCACCATCTCCAAACCAGAACATCTCGACAGTGCATAATCGTGGCGCCTTAAGAAATAGAAGGGGGTTCACGCTCAAAAGGTTTGGGGAGTTATAGCAGGGTCCCTGTACTAAGGAACCGTGAGGAATACTGTTGTTGGCACTGGTCATTTGCCGATCCCTTTCTTTACGTCGCGGCGCAAGGTAAAGAGCTCCGCCTTCTTCGCGTCTGCGAACTTGAAGGAGATACACTCCTTGGCAAACGATGTAGGTTTAGGGTTTACGGCTGGGTTAAAGCTTCAGGGTTTCTGGTTTGCGGAGTAGTGTTTGGAGTTCAAGGTCAGAAGGCTCCACACCCCACATGGCCCCCAAGCCCTATAAGATTAAGGTACGTCCTCCATGCAAGGCATGGTGGTAGCAACTGGACACTACCAACCTCTCCTACTCAGCGAGGGTGTGGTTATTTTCCGGATGTGTTTTCCCTCTCGCATATTTTCCGGTTTCAGGGCTTGGGGATTATGGTCCCTCATTGTCGCGCCTTTTCGAGGTTTACCGTTGATTTCTTACAAAGGTATTAACAGCCAAACCTTGCGGCTTCCATTGCCAGGGGCTTCGATCTTGTGACACCGCAACCACCCAAGTCCTGAAGGACTATGTTTCTTCGGCTTTAGTAGGGTTCAGGAATGCCTAAACTTGAGTCTATACAAACCCTATGTAAAGCCCTAAAACGGGGCAGAATCGATCTGCGAAACCGACCCGAAGTGGCAAAGCGCGCGCACATGGAAAGAATAGTCAGGCAAGGGCAAGGACTTCCCCCTCCCCGCCTGCGTGCTCCTAAGCCCCAAACCTATAATTTCCAAATTATATACCCTAATCCATACAACCTTCAATGCGAAAGACATAGCAGAAATCATAATATTCACGCAAACTCGCTCCGAACCTCGCAAATGCTCTCCCTACCCCAACACCCAAACCGCTCAACCCCTGACACAAGCCCTAAAACCCCTGAACAAAGTGGAACAGAGAGCCAACAAAAACCTTAACCCTCGAATGCCCTTTTACACCTGGACTATGCATAGAATGCCCTAAACCTAAACCCTACACCCCAAACAAAAACTAAAGCCTAAACCCATCAAAGCCCTAACAGCCCTATCCTCCGGACCGAAAAGTATGATTAGACTAAAGGAACCCTCAGGAGCAGTAGAACAACTACTCCAGGGCCTTCATAGTTAGGGTTTTGGAGCCCATGATGCAATAATTATAATAAGGATCCCCACAACAGTGTTGGTAATTATTAAGGCCCCTATATTAGTCAACTTCACTAATTATATGCTCAGCCTACGTAGGCCCCAACCAACAAGGAACTTAAAAGGAGTCGTACTACAAACTATTCGGTTTATTGTACCAAAAGCCCCAAGGCCCTAAACCCCTTTTGCACAGACTTGTAATTACATGCAAACCCTTTTAGAGATGTGCCTCCAGCAATTGAATTTCCTCAATCTCTCTAGCTTTTCAAGAGAGACAAAGGCAAACATGTCTAATTACATAGCTGCGCACCCTAAACCCTAAATGGGCCCTAAACCCCTCCGAACCGACGGGCCTCTGGGAGGAGGAGTGTGGCGCAGGCGTCGTCCAAGGGAGTTGAGAGGTCATTCAGCTCGTCGGGGGCCCCATGGAGCACCTCCAGGGGTACGAAGGCTTCCTTCGAAGGTTAAGGTTTAGGGTTTAGGGTTTAGGGTTTAGGGTTTAGGGGTAAGCTCCATAAAGTTGGGAACCCGATTAAGGCCAAATAGTGCTGGGATTCCCTAGACATGACTCTTGAGGATTGAGGCAATTTTGTTTCCAACTTTTGGGCTTCTGCTGTAGGGGTTTAAGGAGTTGAGGATTTTTGGATGTTGGGGTTGGGGGATTCTGGAGTCTTAAGATTTTGGCACACAGGGTTCCTTTGCGGGAGCTAGAGGGGTTTAGGGTATGTTGAAGGGAGAGCTTGCGGCTTAGGGTGCGTTTATTTGGGGAGCTGAAAAGCACTGCCCGAGGAATAAAAGCCGAACAGCAAAGCCTCCCGATTCATGCCCCCTTGCCCCAACACCTCCAGAACCCGCTTTACACAGGCCCGTCCAGAACCCTAAACCTTAAGATCCCTCCTTCTCCACGTCACCGAGGCGTAGATTACGCGTCTCCCCGCCCGACTTGATCTTCAGGGCATCCAGGGTCCTATGGGCAGGCTTGGGTTCTTTGGGCTTAGGGTTTGGCTGGGGCTGCTGGGGATTAGGGTGCGGAATTGGGGTGTTGAATGGTGTTGAAGGGCTTGCGGATCGGAGTTGCGTCGACTGGCGTAATAGGGCAATGACCACTTTTCGCTAATTCGCTGGGTCGTAGGTTTGGGCTTCTATCTTTGTTTGCTTGCTTTGAACTTGCAAGGGGCTTGTGCCTGAGTAAACCTCCGCCTTTTTGAAGGAGCCCGTAAGCTTTTGAAAAGTAATGTCTTTGGTTTGCTGTTCGGTTACATAATTAATTACTCTTTCGTACAGATCCAGATAGCATCAGCAACATTGTTGTGACCATCATCACCAGCTGTTTGACTTTGACATACTTGGACCCTGACCATACCATCCGCATCACGAGCAAGATCACCATCCCAGTCTGTGTCAATGGCACCATTTTTTGTCAATGGCACCCTAAACCCTAAACCCTCTTCTTCGTGTTGAGCGCCACTTTATGTCCATCACCAGCAAGGCTGCTACCGCTGTCGATCACTACTCCCCATAGGTTTTTTTTGAGCCCCTTTTTACAACTGCACATCCGTCTGACCCCATAGGGTTTAGGGTTTAAGGCCTCGGTCACCAACATCATCACAGAGCGCCTTCCTCTGCCACCCTCGTCGTCATCCTGCTGGAATGCTGAAAGGCGAAGAGCCGAACTTCAAAACTCCGCCCCAAAACCCGGGTAAATCCTGGCAAACCACCTGCTCAGCTCTCCGAACCATGACCCCTAACACTCAAACCTGACGCCAGGAACCCTCATGCCCTCATGTGGCCTTGTGAGCCCACACTTCACCTCCATGAGACTGCCATCCACACGCAACACGTTCATCTCCTTGCCCTGCGTTTTGGTTCAGGTATAGGGTTCAGGGTTCTGGATGGAGCTGGGTTGCCTTCAAAGGTATCGGGTTTGGGTTCATGGGTAGATTCCCGTCAGGATGCGGGCAAGCATGTAAAGACTGCCTTACAAGTAAAGCAAACTACGTTACTTTACATCTATCCACAGCCTCTGGCCTCGGAATGGTAACGCTTCTAAGTTCAACGCAAGTCCTGGCAAAATCCATGGAAACCTGGCTTTGCTCATAGGGACCCTTGGGACTTTCCTTCCTTAACTAAGCCTTATTACGTCCTCATTATAGGCATTAAGGCCCCCGACCCCCCTTCCCCCTAATCTGCAGATCCTGACCAAAGGAGACATTCCACGGCGATGGGCGCAGGCTGGGATTGACAGGACGTATTTCGACGCCACGGGCCCGTACCTAACATAAAGGCCTTAATGCTTCGAATAGTGTTTGGGGGCATGTTATCCTTGATTTAAAAACACAATCTTACTTCCATTTTTTGATGAAGCTTCCGAATTACGGGCTCACGCGACGGATCATAAAGCCAACCACTCCTGGATGTCAAGGTTTATGGCGTGCCTAAACCCCATACCATCTCCCTTAAGCGCGGCTTGCGACATCAACGCCCCTGAACCCTAAAACAAAAAGCTCTAAACCCCGAACGCTTATTAAAGCCCTCAACTCCTTAGCCCCCAACCCCGATAAACCCCGGCAACCCGTAAGCCCTAAAGCCCAGAAACTCCAAAACACCTTAACTAAGGAATATACTTGATGTTATGTTAGGGTTCCTATTCTAATCGAAGGTATGTTGCTTAATTAAGGAGTATACTTTAAATCACATTAGGGTTCCTAGTATAAAATACGGTAGATTTCTTCATTAAGGGGTTTGGGAGTCTCTGGGAGCACGGCCTTCACCCCAAACCCCAAACCCGAAACCCTAAAACCCAAAACCGAAAACCCTAAACCCTCAACCCTAAACCCCAAACCCTGAACCCTTCAACCCTAAACCTTAAACCCTAAACCCTCAACCCTAAACCCCAAACCCTAAACCCTAAAACCCTAAACCTTAAACCCTAAACCCTCAACCCTAGACCTTAAACTCTAAACCCTCAACCCTAAACCTTAAACCCTAAACCCTCAACCCTAAACCTTAAACCCTAAACCCTCAACCCTAAACCTTAAACCCTAAACCCTCAACCCTAAACCTTAAACCCTAGACCTTAAACCCTAAACCCTAAACCTTAAATCCTAAACCCTAAACCCCAAGCCTTCACCATCTCCCTCACGAACTCTTTGACCATCTTCTTGATTTCTGCCGAGGACTTCTTTGGTCCTCGGATTGATGGTGCCGTAATAGTTAGAATATGGTTCCAATTTAAGGGTCCTTGAAGGTATAGTAGAAGGGCTCTATAAGGGATTTAGGGATGTAGGGGCCTTAATGATTAGAAGAGGGTTTTGGGGGTATATTATACTATAACTACAATAAGGCGCCTCTCAAAATATTGTAGGTTATTGTTAAGGCCCCAATAGTATATGATTTAGGGTTCTTTCCCACCACCTTCGTTGACTAGGGTTTGTTTCCTTCCCACTTAGCCAAGGTGAGCGCGCATTGCAGGGTTACTCCGAAGCAACTGCTGACTACAGCGCTGACTACTTAAAGGGTCATGGGACTTAGTAACTAGGGTTATAATTAGGGTAACTATACTTACAATTACTTATAACACCAATTAGGGTACTTATAACCCTACTTACGCAGTCCCATGACCCTCCAAGTAGGGTTCAGGTTCATGGGTCTCAGGCTTCAGGGTTTTGGTCCTCGTGTAGGGTTTAGGGTGACGGCCCCTACTCTCGCGCAAACCAGGCCAGGCTCTTGGTACTTCACCGGTTGAGAGTAAAACGAATCCGAATCTCATTACTATAGGGGCCGAAATAATTCACCTATACTATGGTGGGGGTTCCCTATTATAACTATAGTATCATGGGCCCCAAAACCCTATTCTAATTATTAAGGCCCCTACAATACTCGCACAGGGTTTGGGCTCAGCTTGCTGTTTCGACTCCCGCACTCGCTCAAAGCAGGTAAGGCCCCTCGGGTGCCATAGGGTTTGGGCAAGTCAGACTGTGATTTAATAGGGCTTAGGGCCTAGGCTTCAAGATCTGCGGGTTACAATGCCATTGTAAACATATAGAACTAAGTGAATAAACAATGTCTACAGTAAACCCCATAAGATTGGAAACCGGATTAAGGCCAAACAGTGCTGGGATTCCCTCTACATTACTCTTAAGGATAAAGGCTAGTGGGTTTCCAACTTTTGGGCTACTGTATACGAATAAGTATATAGATCGAAAAGATAGATGCAGATACAGACTCAGACCCAGATGCAGATATACATAAAGATATGGACATAAATTCTATTGCTATTTGGGTGTTAAAGCTATAGATCTAGCTTTAGATGTACGTGTAGCTACAGGTATAGAGACAGATGTAGATACAGATATAGCTATAGATATACCTATACATTTAGCTATAGATACAGCTATAGGTATAGATAAAGATATAGGTATAGACGGTATAGTTATAAACAGATATATATTATATGTAGATAAGTCTATATAGAGGGAGAGTAAGTAGACTCTGCTCTGCCGATAGTAGCCGCCACGCATTCTTGTAACGTGGCCTCGGGTTTCAAGCCTTCGGCGCCGTAGCACTCGAATCGTCAGAGCAGTGCGGCTGTCCGACATTTGCCCATCCTTTTCAAATGTAGCTCTTTTTTTTGAGCTCCTTTTTATGTCCGCCCTTCGTCCAGGCTTACACAAGGCCATCGGCCAGGAGAAGGTGTCGGGGACTTACCCCCCAATACCCTTTATGCCACCAGCTTTAAGGTCAGGTCGGCCGGGCAAGGTGATAGGCAACGACAGCAAGGATAGGATACTGCTATGAAATTGGATAGCCAAGAACAACACCGGCATTGGACAGTACAGGTACATATGCAGTCAAGGCACCTGACAGCTGGTCCGAGTATCGCCTGGGACGCGTGTTTCAGGAATTCGGATTCGTGGACTTGTTCGTTTTTTTGAGTCCTGGGTTGGGGCTTCGGAGTCGGGATTTACGGCTCAGATGTGGCACAGATTTCATACCAACAAAAAACCACAACTAATCCCTAAGTGCCGACCCTGCTCTCTTTTCTGCAAGGAGACTCCAGCTAAGTCTTGTCGAAGGCACTCATACTCGTAGACGATTCTATCTGCAGTTCTTCGCAAAAGTTCGGGAGCAGGCACTCCAGTGATCTGGGACGAGCCCCTTTCCCCTCGAGACGCTGCACACTGACCATAATGGATCTGGGTTGAGGGTCTATTGGAGGGTTCAGGAGTTAAGCAAAGCGGTCTTGAGATGTGTTGAGTGTTCTTCTAGTATCACCAACCTGGCCAAGAATAATGAGCCTAGCATAGCTACGCAACCCTCACACCCATAATCCGAAAGCAGTTGCCGAAACCCCAAACCCGTGTTAGCCCGAAAAGCCCCGGACCCTATAAGCCTTGAACCCAATGCTCTAATGTAGGAACCTGATCAGGAAACCCTGGCCCTGTAACCCCAACATACTAGGGTTCAAATAAGGAACCCTAATAAACTCCCAAGGTTTCTTAATCAGGTTCCTACATTAATCACGGCTTCTAATCAGCTCAGTTCGGACCGGACACGCACCGAGAGACTGCAAAGACGAGGGGGTGCTGACGGTCTGGGTCGGTTCGGGGGATCACTGCTCCTCCCACCACTGGTGGCTGCCTGTTTGCTGTCTGCTGCGTTGGGCAGACCGGCAGAAAGCCCTGCACACCCTAGTGTGTAAACAGGCTTAAATGTAACTCTCACTTGATGAAGTGTCGCAGCAGAAGGTATGCTGCAAAGAAAACTGGGGTTGATCCTTACTGATGAAGGCCTAGCACCCATACGACCGGCAGTGCGTGCGTGCAGCCTTAAACACTTGAGGAGTTGTGGCGCAATGGTACAGCACTGGGCCCAGGTTTTGGCTTCTCAGATGGGGTTGCGAGACTCGCTTAAATGGTGAGCCAGCACGGATGATGGGTGCTTGATGTCGCTTCCAAGCAAGTCTCGCTTCAACCTGAAGCCCCTGAAGCCCTCAGGCTCCGGGATAAAAGTGAAAGGCCCAACTGTGGCTGTGCGGCATGTTTAAATATTTCGCTGCACGTCCGGGTGGTTGGGAGAGGAGACATTAAACAAAGCAAGGCTAAGTGGACGGACCGATTTCGAAGAAGGCACGAAGGTTACAATGTATCTGCAGGCTCACCCATGGCTTCGTGGTCCTAGTCTGTTGCTCGACTGAACCACGGCCGTGTGAAGTTCCTGGGTCGGTCATCAACAAAACTTTCTCACGCGAAGGTGCTGAAGATGTTGAAAAGACCCACAGTTAAGGTGCGCGGTGCTGATCTGTTAATTCGCCAACTTGTTCGAAGCTGATTTGTACGTCCATCTAGCTCAAAGCTTCAAGAAACACCGACATGCCGAAAACATCGAACCCGCTTCATAGCCTTAAAGTAGCTGCCAAGTGCGCCCCAGAAGCCACCCACGTGGCTTGGGCGATGGTGCCTTCTTCGCGTCTTCTTGCAGATCGGGCTGCCTCCGGTCAAACCCTTTGTTTGCATCCAGGCCTCTTCGAGGTGCCAGGTACCCGTAAAATGTCAAACCTCCGAAACCCTTTTTGAACAAGGTCTCTTAAGTGCCTCCGAGACCCTTTTTGCCACTGGGCTTGGCCTCCGAGACCCTAAATCCTAAAGCCTAAGCGACCCTTAGGGTCCCTATATAACCCTATCCTAAACCCTCAGCGACCCTAAACCCTAAATCCTAAACCCTCAGCGACCCTAAACCCTAAATCCTAAACCCTAAACCCCTAAACCCTCTCTCTCTCTCTCTCTCTCTCTCTCTCTCTCTCTCTCTCTCACAGGCACTCGAAGCGTCAGGCCTAAACCCTAAACCCTAAATCCTTAGCCTGCCTGCGGGAAGCGACCTCCTTCTGGAGCTTGCGCCTGCCTGAGAGGGTGGTGAGCTCCTGCGAAGCTCGGGGTTTAGGATTTGGGGCTTAGGGAGTTTAGGGTTTTTTTTTTAAAGTGCAATGACCCTTTCTCCGCTGGCTGCAGGTCTGGAGTTTAGGGTTTAGGGCTTAGGGTTCCGGGTTTAGGGAACGACTGTTGACCTCTTTTTTTCTCGAAGGGCCTTTTCTGTCGCACGAAGCTCTAGAGTCTCTAGAGTAGCTTTAGGTTGCGATTCAACGGTTTACCCTTTATGGGTTGCTTTAAGGGTTTCTTTCGGGTTCCCTAGTTTGTTGGGTTCCATGGCCGACAAACAGATGTTGAGCTCGTTCAAAAAAAATATGGCTTCACTACAGACAGACAAACAGACATACAATGCATGCCAGTTTGTTTGTGTGTTTATCAGACCAAATAACTGTGCACACATGCAAGAAGCTTGCTTACAAGAATGAGAGTTGCCTGAGGAGAAACCACGATTCAGATGCAGCGAAGCCTAATGGACTGTCACTCGCTTGGCTACGTGAGAAAACGCTCTAAAGCAAGGAAAGCATGTCCTTCATCATGTGCTCGATGCAAGCTTTATGGTGGTTGTGCAATATCCGGTTCGGGGCCGCAGGCACCTCGGGCCTTGTGGGAAAGTTGTTGGAGAAGTACGACTGTCGAGTGTCCAAAGAAGGCACCCCAAAGTCACCAGTGTTCACGCGACCGCGTCGGCACGTCTCACCTCCATCGAGCAGTAGGGGCTCGTCTCCGTCGCTCATGCGGGGTTGGACATGCAGACTCTCGTCAATCGGGACAGCCGGTGGTAGATCCTGATCTCCACCAACCTCCGTTGGCTTGCGGGGTGGTGGTACGAAGTTGAGTCTCGACCCCCATAACACCATGGCCATTGCAGGACAATCCGCGGAGACTCTGTCTGCATACCCGTCCTACTCCACTTGCCGGCTTTGGTCCAACCGCGTTGCATATATATGGCCATGCAGCTCTGCCCATCCGTCTCTCGCCCGCATACTGCCAGAAGGGCAAGTGGCTACTTGGCCGCACAATGGGCTTGTTGACAAGAACCTCCTTCCAGCTACTGCTACTGCTCTACTAGTACCACCAACATCTCCAGAGACGAACATAACACGAGGACGAACAAACCAAGACGGGCACAAAAAGACGGTGACTGGTACTGCTTCTGCCATTGCAACAACTACTGCATACTGATCCTTCTCCGCCTGCTGCCTGCTACTGCAACTAACCGCACTGCTGCTGCTGTTGCTGCTGCTTCGAGTGCTCCTCCTCCTCCTCCTCCTCCTACTACTACTACGACGACTACTACTACTACTGCTACTACTACTACGACTACTACGACTACTACGACTACGACGACGACGACTACTACTAGATCACCTGTGTTTGCCCCGGTGCCATTTCCATGCTGCCAACCCATCCATTGGCCAGGGCATCCATGCCCAAAGCCTGGTCACGTCCCCGCTACCAAGCCATCCAAGCCATCCAATTGGCCGGTGCATCCATGCCCAAACCATGATAGCGTCCATGCTACCAGTCCATCCATTGGCCAGTGCAACTATGCTCAAACCAGTAAATATTTTTCAATGCAGAAACATCGTTGTTTGTTAGCATTTCTTACTGCCTATATCATCATAACGGTAACGCCATGTTGAGCAATGCTAACATGCGAAAGTATCGGCCGTGCCATGCTGTTTTTCCAACACTCTTCGAAGCCAGTGTGACAGAACACATTGTGCAAAACCTAGACTTGAGCCTCCATCCCATCCTGCCGTGGCACCTCCCTGTCAAAATGAAGAAGCTTGGCCGTGCAGAAACATCGAAGTTTTTTTGTTGCGATGTTTGCTCCGCATATCATCATCAAAGGGGAGCTTTTCGCACTCTGTTCGAAGACAAACTGGGGGCAAACGACGGCGATCCACCTTGCTAGTAGTACTAGCACCAGGTCTAGTACTGGTACTACTAAGTATTTCGTACTACTGCTGCTGCTGCGACTACTAACTACTACTACGACGACAACGACGACGACTACTAATACTACTACTAACGCGACATTGTGCTAGTGGAAGACTGGGCTGGATCAAAAAAACACTTGACTTTAAATCTCGATCCTTCGCCACTCTGTGTTCCTGGCAGGGGTGAACGGGGCTAGAAGCCATCATGCGCCCTTTACCTCCATAAACAAATACACACATATGTCAAGAAATGAAGCTGCAACTGTATGCGTGACTCTGTTTGTGCGACTGCCTGGGACACCGGTTAAGGATTTCGGCTTTTGTTTCAAAATCCTGCTGGGAATCAGGATTTGCAGTTCAGCGTTTACTCCATCCGTGCTGAACAGTACATGTTGAACCGCTTCGGCCTAGTGTGGCGGCCGGGCGCCTAAACTTCCTAAACCCTCACGTCTTCCTCAGAGTCCCGCACACTCTTCTGAAGTGGTACTCGAGCCAAGTCTGGCCGTCAGGCAAACACTAACAGACAGACAAAATACGCAGTTTTCTCTCAGGCGTCCCATAGCCCCCCAACGGGGTATAGAACAGTTTTCAGTTCAAGTTCCGGTGCAGGCACTCCAGTGATCTGGGACGAGCGAATGCTGGACACTTACGAAAATGGATCCGGATTTAGAGTTTTCTTCCAGGGTGATCAGTTACTGGCAATCACAGTCTTGAGATGTCTTGAGAACTTGACTCTGTTCTTCTAGCTTCGTCAGGCCAAGTAAGTACCAGAGACCAAACCACTACACCCTGGAGTACACCTGCTGTCCGAAAGCAGGTTGCCGACAAGGACCAGGTTAACGGTCTTGCGACGGCTTTACGTCGAAACACTCACTTGGTTCCACATGAGAACATTGCACTCTGACGACCTCGCACCCCGCCTTGTCCTATAGACACATTACCTGTCTTTCTTCGCTCTCCCCAATCACTGGTGGCTACCTGCTTGCTGTCTGCTGACCGTTGCGCAGACAGGAAATCTAGGGGCCCCGATATTTAATTAGCATAGGGTTTGGGAGTACAGTATACTATAATCAAAAGCATTTATTGTAGAAAGCCCTCATGGGCCTCTGTGGCCTTGTCCACAGGAGTATGTGAACAGGCTGAAAAGCAACTCTCAGCTGAAGCATGCTGAAGAGGCGCCCACTGATGAATGCCTAGCACCCATGTGACCGGCGGCGTGCAGCCTTAAACACAAGAGGAGGCGCGGCGCCATGGTACAGCACTGGCCGATCCGGGTTTGGGCATCTCAGTGTGCGGATTGTGAGACTCGCTTAAATGGCGAGCAAGGCACGGATGATGTGTGCTTGATTCACCTTCCGAACAAGTCTCGCTCCAGCGTGAAGCCCTCAGGCTGAGAGTGAAAAGTTCAGTTCCCAGCACGGTGGCCGTGCGGCACGATTGAACTTTCGCCGCACGTCCGGGTGGTTGGGGGAAAACACAATTAACTAAGGAGAGCTAAGTGGACGTCCCGGTCTTGACGAAGGCAACCATGTCAAAAACGCATCGGTAGACATCCACATGGCTTCGTGATCCTAGGCTGTTGCTCGCCTGAACCACGGCCGTGTGAAGATCCTCGGCAAGTCATCAGCGAAACTTTCTTCCACGAGGGTGCTACAGGTGTGGGGTGCAGCTTCATTCAGCAGCAAACTTCTTCGATCTGACTAGTTAAGCTCAGAGCATGCAAAACAAAAACTACATGGTGATACATATGAACAATGAGCAAAGCTGCCAAGTGCGACCTAGCAACCACCAGCATGGCTTCGGCGATGCTGGCTGCTTCGGGTCTTCGTGCGGTTCGGGGTGCCTCCGGTCAGCCCTTTTTGGCACTGGACTCAAGTCTAGCCAGTCTACGACCCACAATCATCTTGTTCGAGGCCGACATGCAGCACCGATACCCTAAACCCTTGACCCCAAACTGTTAACCCCAAACCGTTAACCCTGAACCCTACTGTAAGGGCCTGAATATCAATTAAGTATACTACGTTTGGGGTTCCTTATTATAACTAGAGTATAGTGGGCCCCAAAACCCTATTCTAGGCCCCTATATGGACCCTTTTTCCTTAGCCTGCCTGCGCGAAGCCACCTCATTCTGGAGCTTTCGCCTCCCTGAAAGTGTGGAGAGTTCCTGCGGAACACGGTTCTCGAGCTTGCTGGATTCCATGACCCACATATGAAGCGATTTTCTGAAGTATGGCTTTCACCTATGTGTATGTGTTTGTGCGTATGCATGTGCATGTGTACATATGTATATAAGTATGTACATATTTAAATGTAATATATATGTATATATATATATACACAATATACTCACAGACACATGTGGACGCACGCCTGCATGTGTGTGTGTGTGTACGATATTATATTTTACCCGTGTCTACGTCTTGGTATTTGCGATGTGTTACTACTGATTTGTTCACATCCTGAGGAAGGTTGCACAGATTGCGGGGGAATACCAAATCAGCCATCTCATAAAGCAAGGGAAGCGGGTCCTTCATCATGTTCTCGATACGAAGTTTATGGTGGTTGTGCAATATCCGGTTCGGTGCCGCAGGCACCTCGGGCCTTTTGGGCATGCTGTTGGAGAAGTACGACTGTCGAGTGTCCAAAGAAGGCACCCCAAAGTCACCAGTGGTCACGCGACCGCGTCGGCACGTCTCACCTCCATCGAGCAGTAGGGGCTCGTCTCCGTCGCTCATGCGGGGTTGGACATGCAGACTCTCGTCAATCGGGACAGCTGGTGGTAGATCCTGATCTCCACCAACCTCCGTTGGCTTGCGGGGTGGTGGTACGGAGCTGAGTCTCGACCCCGATAACACCATGGCCATTGCTGCACAATCCACGCAGACTCTGTCTGCATACCCGTCCTACTCCACTTCCCGGCTTGGGTCCAACTGCGTTGCATCATGGCCATGCAACAAGGGATGCAACTCTGCCCATGCTCTCAGTCTCTCGCCCTCGACCTGCCAGAAGAGCAAGTAGCTAAGAAGCTGCTTGGCAGTACAATGCATTTGTTCACAAAAACGCCAACTACAGGACAACTGCTCCCACTCTTACTTGTCCTCCTCCCTGGTACTGCTACTCCTGATACTGCTACTGCTACTACTGCTGCTACTGCTACTACTGCTGCTACTGCTACTACTGCTGCTACTGCTACTACTGCTACTACTGCTACTACTGCTACTACTGCTACGACTGCTACTACTGCTACTACTGCTACTACTGCCACTACTTCTACTGCTCCTTGCTCCCCTCCTGCTCTCCCTGGTCCTCCTCGTCCCTTAATTAATCGTACTACAAACATCCCAAGAAGAAGAAGAACACGAGGACGAACAAACGACGACGGGGACAAGAAGATGGCGACTGGTACTGCTACTGCCAATGCAACAAACTACTGTATACTGCTTCTTCTGCGCCTCTGCCTGCTACTTCATGACTAACCGCACTGCAGCGGCTGCTGCTGCTGCTTGTGCTACTCGAACGCCAGCAACAAGACCAACGACAACGCCAACAACAACGGCAACACCAACCACACGCGAACACAAACACGAATACCAATGCCAACGCCACCAACACTAACACCAAAACATACCAAAACCATCACCACCACCACCAGCAGCACCAGCAGGCATAGGCACAAGCACAAGCACAAGCACCAGACAGGCACAAGTTCAACACTAGTTCAACCAATCTGCGCTGAACCTGGCTCAACTCGTTTGGCCTCCTGCGAGTGTGGCGGTCGGGCAAGGCCCGACCGACTGCAACTTCCTAAAACGATGTGGCGCAAAGTTCTTACCAACAAAACTTACCTTTGGTTAGTAGGGAATGGAGGAACGGGGTACAATTAAACTACTATTACTACCATTCTTCCATTCCCTACTAACCAAAGATGAGAAAAACAACAACTGATCCCTACGTGCCGAGGCCCGGCCCTCTCTTTTCTGCCAAAAGGCTCAGGCAGCACCTTGTGCAAGGCACTCAAACTGGTAGACTCTTACATGCTTCGTCTCAAAAGTCCCATAGCCCCCAAACGGGGTATAGGACAGTTTTCAATTTTCAAGTCAAGCTTTATGTACAGGCACTCCAGTGATCTGGGACGGGCAGCTGTCCCCCCAAAGATGCCGGACAGTTGCGGTAATGTAGGGGCCTTAATAATGAGAACAGAGTTTGGGGAGCTCCTTCTTATAATTATGGTATAATATACCCCCAAACCCTATTCTAATTATTAAGGCCACTATAGTATTGGATCCGAGTTCATGGTTTGTTTGAGGGTTCAGGATTTAGGCGAATCAAGGTCTTGAGCTGTCTTGAGTCTGTTTTTCTAGCTTCGCCATGTTTCGCCCGTGTGGTGAATGGTGAAGTACAATGCACAATCATAGAACCCTACACCTCATCCGAAATCAGACGCCCCTCTTTGCCCGAAGCCCTAAACGTATGCTGAGCTTGGTACCCTTGCAAAAGTCATAGGTTCAGGTGATTATAGTAGTCAAAAACGAAAATCGTCTCCAAATACCCCTAAACCATCGCAAATGCTGCATCCTATGCCATACTCAAGTGTCATCAAGGGCATGCGCTTGCGCTGATAGGTAAAACCCCAAACACTGCATCCTATGCCGTACTCTGGTGTCACCAAGGGTATTCGCTTACGTTCACAGGAAGGCTTCTGGTCGAATCAACTCAATTCGGAGACCGGGTACATGCTCAAAGATAGCAGGACCTAGGTTAGTGCAGCTCTTGCTGCGGGTTAATGTCAAAACCAATGATGAATACTCATTGAAACACTGCGCAACCCTAGCCACGTTGACTGCTTCGGGGGTCCTGTGCTCCTCCGAATCACTGGTGGCTACCTGTTTGCCGTCTGCCACCTGGGCAGACAAGAATAAGCAGAAAGCCCTCATGGGGCCCCTGACTAATGCCCTGGCCTTGCGCGCAGGAGTGTGTGAACAAGCCCTTAGCATCTCACACCCATGAGACATCGCAGCAGAAAGTACTTTAGGGGCCGTATTAATTACAATAAGGTGTACTATAATTATAATCCCCAATAGTATCCGTATTCATTTAGGCCCCTGTAGTTTGCCGCCAAAAACTGGGGTCGATACCACGATGGTTCATCATGGCCAACCACTGATGAATGTCGGGCCTAGCACCCACGTGACCAGCCCAAGTAACACTGGGTCTCCAGTCGCAGCACCATTTTACGCGCGACCTCGAACTTTAAAATAGTTCGGGTGGCATGACGCCATTGTGCAGCGCCGCTGGGCCGATCCGGGTTTTCGCTTTGCTCTATCGGATTGTGGGACTTATAGTACTTAATGGCAAGAGAGCAAG